AAGGCCCAGGAGTCCAAGAAGGTCGACGCCTCCAAGACCTCTGAGCAGAAGGCCCAGGAGTCCAAGAAGGCCGACGCCTCCAAGACCACCCAGACGCAGTCCTCAGCCAACACCTGCGGCACCAAGCCCTCCGCCAGCACCAAGAACCAGCCCATCTCCACCCCTTCGGTCACCTCCGAGGACGCATGCAAGGTCAAGTGCCAGGCAAACAGCTCCTGCAAGTCTTTCACCTGCGGCAAGGTCGACAACGCCATGGTCTGCAAGCTCTACTCCGTCGCTGCTGCCCAGGTTCCTGCTCCCAGCACCACCGCCCAGAAGAACGTCCTCAAGGCCTACGATGTCGGCTGCTCTATCTAAAGGATCTTTTCTTAGGGCGGTAAGCCAGATGGTGGTGAGGTGGTGGATGTTGATGGGGTGAGAGGGCAGCTGGGGCGGTGGACGCACTGCTCGAACGCGCTGCGATGGTGTGACAATAGTGTGCGGATTAGTACACGACAACTTTTCCTCTTTTCTTTGTTTAGACAATCACGCTCGTTCTGTTTTCTGGATGATCTGGTGTTTTCTGTAGAGCTTAGCATCAATGCAATGTTTGGTACCATAAGTCCTGTTCCTTGCTTAAAGTGACTATCCGGAACTTGACCATCTTCACTGTCCACGAGTGACTTTACATTTTGGTCTTCGGACTGTATGGGCATGAAGGAGCAAAGTTTTGGTAAATGAATGATCAGGCTTTCTTTCATGCGGCTGCGAAGCTGCGAAGCTGCAACAAAACTGAGCTCAACAGCACTAAATGCAGCGCAAACAGACTTTTCATAGACTATCCTGAGGTTACAAGGCAACCTTGTTGATAATGGCTATCTGCGATGTATGTCAGCGGACGTTCGCAGCTGGAAGTCGAACCGAGCGTGCAGCGTAAACGTTCATCCGCTGTCGTCATTCAGGACTGGAAGTGTGGTTCAGGGTCCAGGCCACGTCAGAAGCCTCACAACGTAGGAAGGAACCAGACCTTGGCCTTTCTCAATTCAAATGCCATGCCGCGCAATTGTCTTGGGCGTGGATGGATGTATATCTGTTCTGGTATTGTGAAGCGATGTTATAAGAAGCCTATTTTAGTGCTCCTGATCGTCATCAGGGATGGTCTTCACTCAACCCCGGCCAGATCTCAGACAGGCCTTGACCTTGCAAGTGCTGAACCGGGATGCGTCGACTGTGACGTTCAATGAAGGGAGTGGATGCACTGATCTGGGGCTCCGTTACGCTTTCTGAGACTCATTGTAGTCCTACGTACGCACTGCCTACGCTCCATTTTCAGCTTCTTTTGCTGCCTTCGCAGCCTTCCACTTCTGCGCATTGGCCATAAGCTTCGCCAACTTCGCCGCACTCTCGTCGTCCGCAGGGAAAATGTAATCGACATACTCCTCGAAGCTGTCGTCGTCGAGCTTTCTCCTTTTCTTAACCTTGCGCGGCATCTGCTTATCGATCTTCTCCTGATCCTCCGGACTGCCATGAATTGCCTCAAGGCTCTTCCAAGCATTGAGCAGCGCAACACGATCTTCCTTGAGATCCTTGTCCTTCATACGCTTATGCGCACGCTCGAATACAGCGCGAGCGCGCGCCTTCGCTGCCTCACTAACGGGCTTGTCTTCGTCGTTGTTATCCTCGGCTTCGGAGTCTGGAATGCCGATTTCCAGCTGCGCCCACGATGTCCAAACCTTAACATGATCTGTCTTTTCGAGGAGGCGCTCGTACAGGGCGCGGGTACGCTCGTATTCGCCCTCACCTTCTTCGAAGTCGATGTATGCTTTCCACAACAGCTCGGGCATGTCGAGTTGAGGCTCTTCGACTGCGAGTTCGAAGATGGCGCGCGCACGGTCCAAATCGTCGAGACCGCGTTCGAGTTCGGCGAATTTGATCCAGGTTTGTGTGTTGGAGCCGTTGAATTCGATGTATTTTGTGTAGAGTTGGCGGCAGCGAGTGAACTCGAAGAGTTTCATTTCGAGCTCGATGTAGCCCTTGAAAAGCTTGTCTTTGGGACACATGCCGATTGCTTGGCCGAGGAGCTTTCGTGCCGCTGTGAGTTGGGACTGGCGAGTCTCGAAGTGAGCAAACATCAGCCACAACTTAGCGAACGTGAAACGCTTGTGCGGGATCAACCGTATGCATTCCTGATAGATTTGCCGTGTGCGGGTGATGTCTTTTGTGATTGATTCTTCGTAAACGGCGTACTGTAGATCGGTTAGTAAGAGTCTACAAGCATCTCGGAAGGTGAACTTACGAATAGCCAAAGGTAGATATATCTTCTCCAGTGGCGCTTTTCTTGTGTGGGTGGAATTTGTGCGATCGCTCGTTCGTAAACGTCTCGTACACGGTCTGTGTTTCCTGATGTCTCTTCCAACCGCGCAAAGTCGATCCATGCATCGTAGTTCTTAGGGTTCTCCTTGATCTGTTCTTCATAGTGCACTCTTCGTTTTGACAGAACAACGTCCTCGATACCGTCTCGGTCGCCGTACTGCTTTTCGAACGTTGTGAAAGCCTTGTGAAGGTTGACCGATTTCGAGCGCGGCATGCGGTCCAGCGCAAATTTGTAAATAGCTCTTGCTCGCTCTGTCTCCTTCAGCCTTGCTTCGAACTTAGCATATGCCATGAACAGCTTTTCATCCATGAACTCGTCGCCGAGAGTCTCTACAGCTGTACCATACACATCTCGTACCAGATCGCTGGTGCCGTTCTCCTCCTCGAACTTGGCCCACTTGATCCAATTCTTCGGCTCGGGGTGCACTACGGTGAAGCGCTCGAAGATGGCCCTGGCCCGCTCAAATTCTCCGTGCCTCTTCTCCAGCTTGATGTATGACGACCATGCAGATTCCTCAGGCTCCCACTGAACCCAGCGCTCAAAGACAGAGCGAGCACCGTCAATGTTGCCGAGGGTCTCTTCCATATAGACATACTTGTACCAAAGCTTGTCCACACGGGGAAGGATCGTAACGGCGCGGTCAAGGAGGTTTCGTGCGTGGTTAATGTTGCGGTGTTTCATCTCAGCTTCGATGTACCTCAACCACAAAGCCACGGACGTGCTGTCGACATCCAGCGCACGCTCAAAGATGGATCGCGCACGCCTGAACTCCTTCTGCTCGAGCTCCCAGGCGGCATAGCGCATCCAGTTGTTCATATTGATCCTATTGCGGCGCACATAGTCCTCGAACTCCTTCCTCTTGCGCCCCTGGTGCTCGTGCAGCTCCTCCATATCCGCAAAGCGCTGCGTAGGCGCTTTGAGCTTCTCATCCTGGCGGTCGACTGCTTCGCGCAGCAGCTGTTCGGCGCTGATCTGAATGGGCGCGGCCGCCTTGTTCTTGACGCGCGGTGGTCCTCGTGCCTCCATGATTGCGGTCGTTCACGTGAGTTTTGAGGAAACTGAGAAGGCGTCGGTCGCGCTGCCCAGCTCGTAGGAGCTGATAGCGTCACGTGCGATTGTTGAGTAGAGTTGGCGTTGAGGATTGCCCTCGTGAAGATGCATGGAAATTCAGAGGCAGCAAGCGCACGCGCCCACGCTAGCAGCTCTGCCGCGGTGATTTCTCAGCTATGATGCGCGCCTTCTCTCTTTCCTCGCCAACCACCAAATTTGACAATTCACACCAACGGCCATGGCGACACTCGAGCAGGAGCTGCTTGCCGATTTCGCGGACTCTGGCGACGAGGATGTTGCGGATCTGGAGAACGACTTCGCTGGCGGAGATTTTGGCTCTCCAGAAGCGGAGAATGGCGAGGACGAGGAGATGGTAGATGAGGAGGCAAATTACGCAGAGAAAGAAGGCAAAAAGAAGGAGAAGGGACCGGCGGATATAAGAAATGCGCATACCCTCATGGCCAATCTGCAACCAGTACTCCAGCAGATTGATGAGGTTAGAGACAAGATGGAGGAGGTGATGGACGGCGAGTCGATTGAAGACAACCCCGAATACCAGCTATTGAAGGAGGCAAACGAGTTTTCAACCCAAATTGACGGAGAAATCCAGGCGGTGCACAAGTTCATTCGCGACAACTACTCGCTGCGCTTCCCCTACCTCGAAGAGCTTGTCAAGAACCCCGTCGATTACGCAAAGACAGTTGCCATTCTTGGAAACCGCCCGCTAGATGATATCAAGAACATTGCGCAGGACACAGATAACGTTGTGGGAGCGCCGCTGAGGAGCATTTTGGACGCGCCTTCACTCATGGTCATCACGGTCGAAGCTACTCGAGCCAGTGGGCGCGAACTCCAAGACATCGAGCTTGCAGCTGTCATGACTGCCTCCAAACTTCTGCTCAACCTCGACAAGTCGAAGCACATCCTCACTGAATACGTCCAATCACGCATGAGCGTCTTTGCCCCAAACCTCACAGAACTTATTGGTTCCCTTACCGCCGCCCAATTGATCAACTACGCCGGAGGCCTCGCTGGTCTTGCAAAAATACCGGCTTGTAACATTGCACCGCTGGGTTCGAACAAAGCATCTGGTCTTGGTCTAGCCACCAACATTGGGATCAGACATCAAGGTTTCCTCTACCACAGCCCGATCCTTGAACAAATTCGTCCAGACCTCAAGAAGCAGGGTCTGCGTATCGTATCCGCAAAAGTAATTCTTGCTGCACGCGTCGACATGGTCCACCAAGCGCCCGACGGTTCCACTGGCCGTCAGCTCAAAGACGAGTGCGAACGACGCCTCGACAAGCTGACCGAGATCCCTGCCAACAAGGGTGTTCGCGCTCTCCCTGCACCAGACGACAAGCCCGCACGAAAACGTGGTGGTCGGCGTGCGCGCAAGGCCAAGGAAGCAACCGCCATGACTGAGATCAGGAAGGCACAGAACAGAATGGCGTTCGGCAAGGAAGAGAAGGAAGTCGGCTACGGCGACTCAACAAAGGGTATGGGCATGATCGGCGCCACAGACACAGGTCGTCTGCGCGCCCAGCAAATCGACCCCAAGACAAGAGCGAAGCTCTCAAAGAAGAACCCCGGCTGGGGTGGCGACACAACACTCGGTGCTGCCTCATCACTCAAGGGCTTTGGTTCTGGTGGCACAGCTACGAGCTTACGTGCACAGGGCCTCAGGACTGGTGGTGTTGGCCTTCAAGGCTCCGGCATGAGCTCAGTTGCCTTCACTCCTGTGCAAGGTCTTGAGCTTGTCGACCCAAGGGCGAGAGAGGAAGCGAACCGGAAGCGGAAGGCTGATGAGGATCGCTGGTTTAAGGGTGGTTCATTCACACAGCTCGGTGGCAAGACAGATGCGGCGGCCTTCAAGGTGCCTGCGCTGCCCATGAAGAAGCCGAGGACAGAGTGATCGAACGGTCATAACTGATTCAAACCGGACGATAGCCTTTTGTGGTTTTCAGCAGCAAGCACTGTATAAGAGGTATGCATTATTCGGCGTTTATGGATATAGGATGGTTGATACCAGGGCCTTGGAAGCGCCCACCTCCATACTAGTACATAAGATAAGACTCATGAACATTACCAGAAGAGATCAGCCCTATGTTTTCGTCCTTATCATCAAGCCCACCTCGGCAGGAAAATTTCCACTGGCACTGAAGATCCATGTAAGCCCTCCCAGATCAAAAATTGTACCTCCACGACGTGGACCTGAGCTATATGTACAGTCAGACTAAAGTTGGCATACATCACGGTATATAACCACATGGCTTAAGTCACTTGGTATCCTATTGTAGTAGGTACTGCCCAGGGGCAAGTGCACTTACCTCTGAGCTGAGAGCTCCTGAACATGGTAGACACTGACGGGTGGTGCTGTAGCACTGACGAGAGACTTTAGAAAGTGTTGCTCAGGGAAGGGGTATGTGGACAGGGGGTGTGCTTGCACTGTTTACTTTCAGATGTGAGAATATGGGAAGAAAGTAGGGTGGTATGGGCTTTGAAGCGAGCGATTTCTAGTGGAAGGCGGAAGGCAGGGTAAGGAAAGGGAAGGCTCAACTGTTGTAGTAGAGGGGGTTGTGAGAATACTTTGACTTAAGGCCCCGTCATCGAAGAGGGCTGCGCACAACAGCAGCCGGACTTGGTGATTGCTCATTGCAAGTCCTTCTCGACAGCGTTGAAAGAGTGTTTGTGTTGTGATGTGTTCCTTCCTTCTGCAGCGCGCATGCTTTGTTATTAAGCTCCTTCTCAGTTGCCATTCCAGGCACCTGCGACGTGGCGGCTTCTCTATGTTTCACTCTACTAGCCTTATCTACTCATTGCCGCTGCATGATGGGACACCGCGAACGAACTTCATGTTCAACCAGTCGTTCGACTCTGCAGCGTTCAGAGTTGCTACATTAGGCTGTTAGCCTAACATTAAGATTTCACTACAACTTCGTGAAACTGTCTTTTTTTCAGTTCATTTTGATCATTGAGCTCCTTCAATACACTTCGTGGGTCGAACATGACCTTCCCAATGGAATTGGTGCTCGCACGAGGCGGACCTGAGTAATATGTACATTCACATTAAGGTTTGCATACATTATCTAGCATTTTAGTATTCCTAACATAACACGATACGTGTTCCGAACCGCCTCTGTACATAATCCGTGGAGAGTTCAAACGTCGTTTACCTACCACGAGCGGAGCTATTGATCAGTGCAATATACCCGGATCTTCCGCTCATTGCTTAATTCTGATTTGTTAAGCTTTGAAAATGACCATCGGTACGAGTAGGAGCCTATGATACTGTGATTGCACCCAGTCTGTAGTATTGTACGTGTGTAGTTTTGTTACGCATCGTTACCGATGAACAGAATCGAGATATGCTGTGCATGCACATTACTCAGAAGATCCTCGCCACAATGATATATTCAGATCGGTCAGAGATGAGTATAAAGGATACACTCCGGGCACTGTTAATTGCTCACTCCACATCCATACCAAGGATGCAATTTTACTAGCTATTTCGAAATTACCACTCATCCCACCGAATCGTCGACATGAAGTTCAACCTATCTACCTCGCCACTATCGTCGCCGTTGCAATGGCGGCTCCGCCAAGTGCACTATCTGCCTGTCATGTACTGGAGCCCAACTGTCACGCTCCTAATAAGTGTATTGGCCGTGAGTGATATATCTTTTTCTTCATCGCAGACTGTCCGAGTTCGTTCTAGGTATTGCTTTTCTTGAGTAACCAATGTCTTTACAAAATGCACCACTTCCAGGGGTCTTTGCTACTCTGGAAACTCAGTCTTCGACAAACGATGTGATGGCCAGACCTGTGTTCCGACTTGACGAAAGCCTGATCGCATTTCTCTGAGGGTTGTGGGAGATCCCTATCTACGGAAGGAGGTACGGACGGAAAGCAGATCACTACTCAACATAGTGCGAAGATGCTCTTACATGAACTCTAGCTAATATAGAACGCTCGCTTGGGTATATGACAGTCGCTTCGAGTCAATAGAAATTTGCATTGGCCTCGGAATGAACGCGACCATTCTCAGCTCTGGTAAAATTTGCTAATAGCATAGAGGTCCCTTTCCCTAGCGTACGCCATTGTAATCTCCCTCACTACCTGGAAACCCAGTAGAGTCTGAAGATCCATACACAGCAGCATTGACATTTTCTCCGCCATCATGGCCGGTTAGGTAAGGCGTGTTTTTGTCGCACCTGGGTCAAGTATTCAACTCTTATGTGCTGGTCTGCGAAGTAGTGAAGGATGGTTGTTGTTATTGAAAGCGTACTTTTGCGCGTGCAACTTTTAACTAGGCACACCTTGAGCTAGAGATAGACAGACCATTCTGGACGCCCATAGCGTGTGTACCGTAGTGGAGAAGAATCCGTACAAATAATCGTAGCTAAAACTTTTGGTATTGATATGCATTAAACATCGATATGTTGTCAGGGTGAACATGAAGCACCTGGGTAATTTGACCGTACGGCAAAAGCGATGTCAGCACTGCGGCAGGCAGCATAAGAAGTGGTATTGTCGCGCCCGTAATCATGTTGGTTATGTATGCAGCAAGTTGAGACGCATGGGAGATGAGGTAGATCGAAGTCATTGGGAATATCGTTCTGTATGGCGTCAGGTTTGTTCGTTGGCAAATAGTCGAGGTTTGTAATTCATGGTGTCAAATGTCTGGGTTTTCAGAAGCAGGTTCGTTCACAATATTTAAGTTGTTAAAGACTGAGATATAGACAAGTCCAAGATGGAGATGCGAAAAAGAAATTGGCGTTAGAGGCCTCGATAAAAGCCAAGTGAAATGATCGGGCAGAACGTTTAGAGAGTGAAAGAGATAACGAGAGACAGTAGAGATCCATCAGCTGAGCCTTGCAGCTCAACTCCCTACATCCTGCGGTATCACCGACTGCAGAACTTTGCTGACGTAGCAGGCGGTGGAACCCTTCAATAGTTTTCGCTCGAACGTTCGACACTTCAGGCCACCAAGTGTATCCTGGGAAGATAGCAGAACACACGGCACCTTCAAGGCCAGCACCTCTGCATGAAGTATCGGAGTAAGACGTACCGTTCATCATAGGGCTGAGACTCTGAATTCACCCACCCAATCACTTCTCCCCGCCGAGCATCAGGCCCGTCTGCACATATAACACTCCGCTTCAGCTGCATGTAACACTGCTTCAAAGCCGTTCTTAACCAGAGAAAACAGCCTGCTGTCCAGCGTTGCATTGCCTAGCCGCCAAACCACGTCGCTGTACTCCCACCTGTTACCAGTCTACACCGCGCATCAGGCCCCGTGATGTCGACATAGGTCTCGAACTTTCTCGTGTATAAGCACGAAAGCAGACAATGTGCCGACACACGATTACAAAGGGTCCACTGACCTGCACTCAGTTCAGCCCTACCCTCCGTAAGCATGCCACTGCCGCGCCGTTGCACAAGGAACATGCAGCGGCGGCCGGTCAGACTGCCCGTGACCCGACTGACATCGGCGTGGAAGCAGTGGGTCGGCACCAGGTTTGAATGCGATGCCGCGAAATTGATATTGGGATCGTTATTGTGGCTGGGGTATGCGGTTGATGCTGTGTATTGGTACGGACACGCACGGAGTCGGAACTACCAATTACAGCCAATCCGTGTTATCTGGAATGGGGCTGCTTGATCAAAGTGGAGCAGGACATGGATGAGGACGCGAGACAAGAAACGTGGTACTGTGTTTGCGGGCCATGTTTTAATAGCACAAATTACGCCTCTGTGCTACGCGTGCATGGATTGATTCCAGCCACGGGAATCCGCAGGATTCCTCCTCAAGCGAAAGGATTACCAACTCGAACCACGTTGTGCACGTTTCTTTGTCCCGTGTTCTCCCTGTGCTCTGTGCTCGACTGTGCCTCTGGAAATTACCAGCAAAGTTCAGAGATCAGCGCATTGTGAATCTTGAGGTTGAGGACAATTCATGTCAGTATACAAATATTTCAGAAAGTCGAATCAGTTTGCGGAGTTTGCGAGACTGCGTCCACCAACGCAGGCCGCACGTTATGCTCGAGCACGGTCGAGCATCTCCAGACATGTCCCCACGCAGCCAAAAGTCGCCAATGTCTCCAATTGGACGCGTTTCGGCCCCCAACCCGCCACGCAGCCCCAGCCTTATCATAAGATCTTGATTCGTTGCAACAAACTCACGCACTGGAGTACTAAAGAAGATTGCCAATGAGCATAGCTTTCGTTAAGTGTTAGGCAGAGACATGGGATTCTGGACTCGTCACCGATTTCTGCGGGTTGGTGTTGGAAGCATGCAAGATTAGGCTAGTACGAAGTGAGGCTAGCGGAAGGATGGAAGAATGAACACCTGCATTGGGATTCGGAGTCTTGCTTGGCCCCGCTTTCCTGGTTGACGCGTTGGCTACAGCGCTTCTGCGTTTTGTAACTTGCTGAATGTGGAGTACAGCTCGCAGCATGTGACTGGATGTGGAAATCAATAGGATTCCGCATGCGACACAGCGAGGCAGCACATTATAAATTGTTGATGAATTGGCTTTATGAATGTGAAATGGCAGTCTTTCGAAACACTTTCGTAGTGCTTTGAAATTCAAGGGTATCTGACTGTGTGTCCACGTGGGATTGTCATAGTCCTCAGCCCTATGGCAAGAGCCCCTTCGTAACAGTAAGCGCTTGTGCAGAGATCCCGTTCGCAGAGTTCGACATCAGATGCTTGGCGAAGTTGAGTGCTTACTTGGAATCCGGGGAAAGCCAGAGGCGTTCAAGATGCTGCATCCTGAAACTCTCAGAGCATCGTTGATGTCCGTTGCATAACGACATAATTAATAACGAAAGCATGCCGTCAAATGCCTCAGCTCTAGCTTCCACAGGCATCGCGGGTTGCATATGGATTCACCGAAACCCTCAGCTCGCTCGTCGGGGATTCCGGGTATGCCTCAATAGGCAAGCGATGCGCAAGCTCCTATTGAAGTTAGCACGCTTCGCCATGCCTTGTCCCGATTTGCGGGTCTGCACTCCGCTTAAGCGTCGATTGGTGTCGTACGCGAGCCAAGGCTGGATCTCCAGTTTTCCATTCAACGCTGTGAACAGAGTTTCAAGGCGAGTAACGATGACGGATAAATTCCACCGCGACAGCCAGTGGATGCTCTTGAGTCATGTTCATTTTCTTGGAGTCGACGGGATATCGGTGTTTCGGGTTGTGGATTTCGTTTATCACTGGTTAGCGATGGACAAGGTCAAGGTGCTGAGGGCTCGCGTAGTCTCCGGCGCTAGACATCCTGTCAAAGGCTTAGGTTTTACACGGCTTTAGCTACAGTCGGGTGCCAAAAGTCTGTTCGCGACGGCTTTACCCCACCAAAGTTGACCATATTCTATAATAAATATAACAGCCTTTGCTTATTTAGATAATATAAGATAAAGAAGTATAGAAGTGAATATCTCTTTCTAATACTCTCTTAAGTTTTAGCAATTAATCTTAAGTTTGTACAGAATTAGAGGAGGGGTAAAGAGAGACTAGTAATAAACCCCGCTTAATCTTCCTTTTTTCTTAGATAATCTATCTTTGCTATCTTCTCTATTCTTGCTCTAGTCTTAGAAATAAGATAAAGATCTAAGACTTCTAGAATATGTTCTTCTACTAAATTCTTTTCAACAAGTATAACTTTATAGCTCTGTATTATTTAGAGAGGTAGGTATCTTAAGGTGAAAGAGGTGACTTTTGGTGAGGAGGTCCGCTAAGCGAACAAACTTTTGGCCTACTGTAGTACTCTTCGACTCATGCTAACCCATCAGCAAATGCCATCATGGTGCTCTGCTCCGCTTTAACAAAAGTGATGAACGCACTCAGTTAGTGGTTGCGAAACGATGCTGCGATCAAGGCTTGGAGACATCGTGATGTCGATCTGATCTCCAAGGTTGTCCAAGCCTCAGGTGGCGGGAGGCCTGACTTTGCACTGCACAAGGCCCAAGAATAGACCTGACAACGGAACGAATGGCTGACATTCAGTTCCTGCCCCTGAGCCATGGGTGGTGCTAAGCGCGTGAAGCAGTTACAGCTGTTTGTTGCTTGTCTCTCACACATCACCGCTCGATGTTGTGAAGTTGGTATCGACAGCTCATCCTAGCCTGCCTCAAGCTCCGAAGCTAGCGATTGAAGCTCCACAACGAATTTGGCAAACCGGTATTTTGTGCATTAAGGGTAGTTTGGTGGTGGCAGCCATCAACCCCAAGCTTTGGTCATGGGCTTTCAGGGCCGTTGAACTTTAGTCTGTAACATAGCTGCCAGCTTGGTCGTCACTAAGACTGCTTGAATATCTTCCTCGGAGTGCGCCGATGAATGCCGTGATCGTTCACTGAGGTTGGTGAGCACTGAGGTCCGGGTTGACTATTTGGAGTTAGACAAGGATATATGAGGCCGCAAACGCTTGTCGCATTGGGATGCCTGAACTGGCAAGTTGGGAGCCATTGACGTGAAGCAGACCACAATAGCGCGGATGGGAAATTTGCCGGTCTTGAACGAGCAAGTTCTGAAGTTTGAAGGTTGGAACAGGCGACGCGCGATGCTTGTTTCGACATGTCGGGGAACCGATGGCTTGGATGCTATCGGCTCGCAATGAAAGGGCGGCGCGGGGTATGGGGTGGATGAATCAGCGATCGACACTCTATGGTACCGTTGGCTTTACGCCCTTCGAGAGGAGACTGGATAAATTCGACGGGCTTCACCTAGGCGCGGTAAGCAAATCCATCTGAATGGTCGTTCCGCTATTCGTACCTGCGAACCAGATCTGTAAAGCTATCACACCGTGCCATCGGCGACAGACTTATCTCCAAAGTGCGCTCTGAAGGCCATGGCTAGGCTAGTCACGAAGGTTGCAGTAGGGCGAAAGGCGTTCGTCATCTGTGAGCTCCAAGGCTTCGTCGCTCACGAAGGGTCTACACGTACGCGGACGAGAAGAGGGTCTCGACGACTGATCACGACATCGTTGTTGTGACGAAACCTCCCCAATAACTGATCGCTGGGCATATGTTGGCAAGCTTTCCAACACTGGTACGGGGTTAAGACGTGAGTCCGAAAGGGCGTGAGATTCGACCTATCAGTTTGCCAAAAGTATCAGGCAGATAACAAATATGTTTTTGTGAATGCATGGAAGTATTGCACAGCAGCAGTTGAGATGCTTTGTCACCACCTCCACTATGCGCCAGCCTTGCTCACCGTTCTGGCACCGTTAAGCCTTACGTCCGTACCCCTGAAGTATCTCGAGGTTAGTGCATTCGCTTCGATGCATGGCTACCGAACATCGTATGAGAGCAGTTCATGATCGGTGAATACCCTTCGTAATCAACGTCTCGAGTTGTGCATTTACACGAGAAGTGGGGTGCCGCTGAGACCAAGTACGGCCTCTCCGGCTAAACACGTGTTGGTGATTTATGTCTGTTTCTTCAAGATGGGAAAGAGAATTGAGCATCGTTCTGTGGCGATCTGCAAGATGTATAGAACAAGTACACATGGCGCGGTAGCCGCTATTGGAGAGACATGCTTCGACACTGTGCACTGAAGCATAAATGTGACTCAACGAAGGTTCCTGTACGAGCGGACGAAAAGTCTAGGTCGAGCATTGCAGTGGACACCCCTGCTACAACGCAAAGGACTATCTGATGAAGACGATGCCGCGACAGTGCTGATTTTTGTTGTCGGCATTGGGCAATCTGTAGCCTGTGATCTGTAATCAGTAATCGGACCTCCATGTCCTTGCTGCATCAAGATGCAGCTTTACGCCTTGAATATTTCAAGTCATCGATCGCAAAGACAAGACCAAAATCGAACAACTCGCCGACATGTCCAGCGGTGAAAACGTGCGTGCGACTGGCCCGCTCGCTGGAACGTTTCGAGATTACCTCCTAGCAATGCGGCGTCACCGTAAGCGACCCCAGAGAGCGGCCATCCACCTTCGATGCATAATGACGGGAGGACAACTGCCACGCGGACGCGTGTCCGGATCCGAGTCTATGTGCAAGGCGGGCACTTTCCCATGTCACCGCTACGCGAACGGTGAGATTGAAGCATGGGGGTTTAGCGATGGAGCTTTCATACCTGAGCGACGTCAACTCGTATGTTCATCCGCGTCGATCCGTCCATGTGATGTATTGTCACGGGTTGGTCGCTGCCCAAATTTGGTGATACACAGAGCGCCTAGGAGGTACAAGGAGGGGCGCACATGTCGTACATACTCGCGTCTACGCGAGTGTCGGGCGAACTCATTCGTTATTGATGTGCATTGTAGGGCTGTAGGGCTGTGATGGTGGATTATTGTTGGAAGGAAAGTGCTGCCGTCAGGCTCGTGGCCACCTTGGCGGGCGGCCACTAAAAATAGCGCCTTCTATGGCGCATGCACAGAACAACAGCGCAGCGCGGCTGTACGCTCGAGGCCATAGGCGCACTCGAAGTAAATGTTGTGGTTGCTGGCGGCTATGCATGTTGACGCTATTTCGTGGATAGAGGTTGTTGCATTTGTCAGAAGGGCGAAGGGTGAATTGAGGTTGTGTAAAGTATCCACCCAAGAATGTGTTTTAGCAACCTTTCGCATTCGGTGCTCAAAGAGGAAAGAACCATGGCCAGGAATCCTGTAGCGACGGTTCACAGGCGCAATCAAACGACCCCACAGTCTGGATCGGCTTGGTCACATAACAGCCTAGCAAACACCACCTCTCGGTTTGGATTGCGTGCAGCGGTGTGAAAAGCACGGAAATACCGAGCAAGAGGTCGCTTGCGCGCCTCAAACAGGCAAGAGGCTCGTTTGAACCATTCAGAAGTGGACACAGAGACCCGCTGGCAGGGATCGGTGGCACATCTAACCTGTTGTGGGTGGCAGGTGGATCTACCCGCTCTCCAACTCACCGCGTCTGAACATCTTGACTTCAACGCCGGCGATGACGGTTTACAGGCAATGTGTTCAAGGATTTGAGCGGTGATTGCAACGCGGATCAAATTGTTGTTGGTGGCATGTTGTGCAAAGTACATTGTTTTGGCGGTGGGTACTGTGGATGCTGGCCGTCCCTCGCAGCAGGGCGGTGCTGTAGCGCATGGAATGCCTGAACAAAGTTTGATGCTACGGTGTTGACTGTTTGAAGTTCTACAGTAGTCACAGAAGGATGGGAAGTAGCAGTGAAGAAATGGCATGTGCACTCCAGAGTGGACACGCCTTTGTAACTGAGTTTGGGATCGCTGGCTGCGATCTCTCGAACATAGGCTGATGTTCTACTTAGAGCATACAACAAGCTTTTGCTACCATGGTCTTCCTGTGTCTCAGAGTTCTGGAGGAGTTACATTGAGGCGGCCACCCAGTATGCTCCGCCCTGATGGAGACATCTCAGCCCTACTGTGCAAGCCAGGTGTCCGACGAGCTGTCTCGGAGGCTTATCATGTACCGAGATCATTTCAAATCACTGCTTGGCAGATCACTTAGTCCTCCGTACATTGCGTCGCTGGCGGTCCTCACCAATAGCACCGAAGAGTTGACGCGTCGAGGGCCGAACCCAAACGACATGAAGAACTCAACGTGAAGAATGACCTGCCAGGCCAGAAGTTGTGGAAGTAAAATCTCTGGGGCAGCCCCCTGGCGGCTTGAGCCTCTTCGACGTGGATACGGTCCGCAGCTGTGATCCAATGACCTCCTCCTTGGTATCACGGATGCTTACGCGGAGACGGTGCAATAGAGCCCGTTTGTTTATATACAACCCACTGAGCCCATACGGCCGAGATCAGTCCCTGGAATGGTGCTCAAACAAACCCAATGAGATGCACGCAAGGGCATTGCCACTATCTCACGAGATGTGCTGTGCATTGGAGCAGCTTCTCGGGCTAAAGGTGGATCTCAAGATGGACACGGCCATGACCTTCCGGGCTCTTTGTCTACAGCTAACAACCAGACCTTTGCCTGTTCTGAGGCTTACTCCCACGTAGGCGAGCTGTGGAGAGCTGAGGACCCACTGCCTGTAGCTTGAGGCTGATCAGCCTTGAAGCCATTCGAGGAGCTATTGAGACATCATCTCCGTGAATGCGGTGATCGGCTACCCTTTGAGAGAGGACTGCTTGCCAGCGCAGCTCAGTGATCCTTGGTATTGCGACTTGGATGAAGTTGTCATAAGACATCGTGGACTTGCCGTGCGTCTAGGCTCAGAGCTCCACATCCGCCCATGCGCAGACCACTATACCCATGTGCGCTGTGAAGTTCAACTGGGATTCCCGTGTTCGACAGTCTTGAGCCGTAGCACACTAGGGGGTCGGCGGGACGGTAGGCCTAGTCCTATTTCTGGCGACAAAGGAAATGAAACAAGACTTTGAAGCTGTACACAGCAGCCTCTCATAATTGGGTAGAGACCACGACCAAACATCGGCACTCCAAGCTAGGATCATAACGGTAGTAGCCCTTGTATCTTGAGTGAGCAGTATGGAATCAAATGCAACTTGATGTCCCCACACAGTATCAATTGACTGTGTATGAGCCATCAAGTATTAAAGAGAGTACAACGTGGCAAGGAAAAGTTTCCGTAGCCTGTGAAGCTATTGCGGAATTTCCTCATCTGGTGGTTTCGCTGCAGTGGCTCAGTACTGGTAGTGTAGGCGCAACTACGGGAAGCCTGATTCTGAACAGAGCCCCGCGCCAGTTGTGAGGCGTGCCACCAGACTGTTGCACTATTTTGGCGTAAGAGGTTTAATCACCGCCAGCAACTTTGAGGCTTTTTCGCGAAGTGTTTCGAAAAGGCCTATTCCAGTGCTGATTGGCCTGGCTTTGCAGGATAGACCACAAGCGTTACAGGAGCCGGAAGACAAGCTTTGGCTGACTGGCCGTACCCGCAAGTGGGAACCGCTCTCACCGACTCTGCAGTACCTCGAAGTAACAAAGTGCTGATGAGGCGGCGGGAGAGCGTGGGGACAGTGCGTAGGGCTGCTGGCTGTGAGACGCTCGTTTGGTGGGGTGCCTGGGGCTCAACGAGTGGCTGCGGCTGGTCGATGGGGGAATTGGTGGAAATGGAACCATGGTAAAGTTAGACGGCCTTACAAAGCAAGTTAAAAGCATCTGCGGCCAGGATGGGAAATAAGTGCTAGGCTTGATGCAGGATATGGTGTCCAAAGCAGCGATCTCCTCTTGCGGAGGGGTTCTGGAGAGAGTGTACCGTGTCCGTCGGCCAGCGGTCCAACGGTGCGGCGCTAGGGATTTGAAATTCAGCGAGTGCCCGACAAGTCACGGTGTGCAGCATCCTGTGAGGTTGTGCATGCGCGAGGACGCGGCGAGGAGAGCCAATGAGTGTGCGTGCTGTGCGACTGCGGTGATCTGGTGCAAGCCCTCAAGCCCCAGCACACTCGTGGACGTTCACTCACCAACACCGCCCTGGAAGATATGCAGGGCGTTTCATGCACGCCCATTCCAAAAACTCCGCCCAGCAATGAGTGCAATTTACCCAGGAGAGCAACCGCTCGCCGAATAGTTGATGCTGCTGCCTCTGGCCCCAGGTAACGGCTGCGTTTGGGGCTTGAGACGGCTGGCAGTCAAAGTTGTGCCTCTCGCTGCGGGCAAGCCGTCACTTGGTGCAGCTGAAGCAGCTCGCGGCGCCATCAGAGCGGCCGCCGAATGTGATGATGGAAGCAACTCTCGCACAGCATGTACACGGAGATAATGACGGATCCGAAGTGTACGCTGGCCAAGAGTCATAGGGCTGGTGGTGATGGAGCAGGGCGTGGGTGCGGCGCAGGGGTGTCGAGTGAACTGACCGCTGTATCGAAACGCAGACCGATGGCAGAACCACCCTACTGCCCACCCATGCATACGGCCCCCGACTTTCCCGTGCGCTGAGCCTTGACGGTCCCCAACGTTACTGGCCCGCTACAAGCCCTGTGTCTAGCGCTATCCTAAATTTACGAAGCTGCCTGTCGGTGAAGGACAGGGTTGCCTCCGCCGCAAGTAGTCCTGGATGCAGATGAGGGCCTGAAGCTGGAGACCACCACTCAGCAGTCTGTGCTCCACTTGAACGACTGCGGATGCATTTGACAGCTAGATAAATATACCGTGATTCCCGACTACCTTGAGCCTCCCACCATTCATCCCACTGATATCCAGCCTGTCCACGCTATAACATCTGGCCCTCTTCCTCTGTGACTTGATCACAGTTCCTCATACAGCTCCACATCCTCCCCCACCATGCATAGACATCAACCATACCAGCAGTATGCTACTGCCGCTCCCACTACTACAAGATACTCGGGCACATCCTCAGCCTTCTCAGCCTCAGCAAACCCCAATGAGGACTGGACCAAGATCTCAGACCTTGCTGAGCGCAGGAGGATACAAAACCGCATTGCCCAGCGCAACTATCGCAAGAAGCTCAAGAAGAGGCTCGAAGACCTTGTGAGTTCGCGCCTCAGTCGTACCGTTCGGCACAACATACTAATTCGGTATCAGGAGCGTCGTGCTGCCTCCAGCTCAGCTTCGCCTGAGCAGAAGCCCGCGGAGCTGCAGCCACCACAGACCTCGCCGCGCCAGGAGTTTCCCTCCCCGGCATCTTCGGATTCCTCGTACATCACTCCACCCGAGGATCGTATGTTCTCGCACCAGTACACTCGCCAGCTCTCCACAAGTCCACCTCCATTTTCGGTAGCATCGTACTCCTCGACCTACCCGGCTCCAGATGCAGTAGCCTACTCAATGCCATACACCACAAACTCGCCGTACCACACAATACCTACGACACTCACACCTGAGATGCCTTCGTATGCCTACCTGCCACCACTCTCTTCAGCCTACCCCACTACGCTGCCCAGCCTTGTGCCCAGCATGAAGAGCGAGTACTACGCTGAGGAGGACCTCAGCCCATTCGGTGTCGGTTATGCGGCCATTGGTGGAATCGAGATCCCACCTCCTCACGCATACGCAGACCACAATGCTCATGTAAGGCTCCCCACCCGCCAGCCCTACTACGCATGAAAATCTATCTCTTGAACGCACTGCTGTTCCCTCGACGAGCCTTCGCTGACAGCTCATGGTAGACGCCACCACTTGAGCACGACGAGTTTGGATACCCCACTACACCAAACTCGATGCCACGAACACCTCCTCTTCTTCCTCTTCACGCCATGTGAGGAGTCTTGCGACAATTTGTTTCTGCTTCGCTACCGAGGCGCATTGTTTCGGCACCTTTTTGTGATCAGCATCTTTGTACAGCATTTCAGCGATTTGTCTTTTCGGATAAGGTCCCTCGTTTGGTCCTCGAGACTTGGTGTTTTTGGGCGTTTGAATGCTTGGGACGTTTCCCAGCAGGAGACTTTGGAGCCATCATGAAGGCAAAACCCAGTGCTGCAGTGCGCCCGCTGGGTATACGAGAATCAATATGACTATCACCCCTCATTTCATCAAATCAATACAATATTATAACGAGTAAAGCCTGATGCATATGTGAATGTGAACACAATTGTGTAGAAGTGAAGCAAGAAGGGTCTTGGGTGATGTGGTTCAACACAAGTGAAGATCCCGAGTGGTGAGATCGTCATGGCACTTTGCGCGTCTGACCTGCCAAGACAGCGCGACCTGTGCCTGCCGTTTGACGATCCAACGTCAGCATAAACACTGCTTATAACAACCACCACAGCCATTTCATGGCTCCCATAAAACGTTCACGAGCTGAACAAGCACGGCAAATCCTCTCGAGTGGCGCTGTGCTGCGCGAAGATTCTGACGACGAGCTTGGTTACGAAGACTATCCCTGGGAATGGATATACGAAGATGCAGGCGCTGAACAGGCGCCTGTGGACGACAATGCAACACCCAGGAAACGAAAAGCAGCACCTACAACGCAAACTAAACGTATATCGGGGGCGCGCATGGGAAGCTTCAGATGCAAGCTTGGAGATGCTGTCCTGCTTAAGGCAGATGGAAACCAGGCATGGGTTGGCATTATCTGCAGCTTCCACGAGGATGACGAGGATGACGAAAAGATGGCAAAGTTCTTGTGGTTTTCTTCTGAACAAGAATTACGCAACAAGAGTAAGAAACGTACCGACTTCTTGCCTGTAGGAGATGATGACCTTCGACATGAGGACTTGCACTGACAGCTGCTAGAACGAGCTATACATATCAGCAACCTTCGACGAAAACCCGCTTGCTTCGATCAACGGCACCGCAAAGGTAGTGTCTCTCGAGACGTTCCAGAAACTGCACCCCACTGGCCAAATCAAGAAGTCATCGAAAGATTATGGCAAGATCTTTGTGTGCAGGAGAGGCTGCAACACCCGCACAACAACATATACATCTGAGTTTAAGTGGGAAGATGTGTACAATGGCGCTGACGATATTCCTTCGCTGATCGAGCTGGTTGAGAGCCAGACCAAAGCAACGAGAAAAGGCCCTTCTCGGCCAAAGAGACAGCAAGAAGACCTGGAAGACTTCGTGATACCGGACTCTGAGGATGATGGTGCACCCAAGACTCCACGGAAGCGCCGGAAACTGAACGACGCGATGACCCCAACGTCGACAAGAAAGAGCCCGGCTGCTCGAAAGTTCTTGACCCCTTCGCACAAGCGCATTGTGCTGAAGAAGCAACTGGAGTTCACTCCGCTTGGTACACGAGCGCTTTCGCCTTCGGCACTTGCGTCTCCGTTTCAGATTGCACGAAACCAACTCCACGTCTCCTCTGTACCAGCGGCACTTCCTTGTCGTGAGGAGGAGTTCTCGACCGTGTATAGTCATCTGGAGGCGGCTATCACGGACGGATCTGGATCGTGCATATACATTTCAGGTACTCCGGGTACTGGAAAGACGGCCACGGTACGAGAGGTCGTAGCGCAGCTCCACGCATCAGTGCAAGCTGAAGAACTTGACGATTTCATCTTCGTCGAGATCAACGGCATGAAAGTCACCGATCCTCACCAGTCCTACTCGTTATTATGGCAGGCGCTTCGCGGCGACAGAGTCAGTCCGTCACATGCACTGGAACTTCTGGAGCGCGAGTTCTCCGCACCCAGCCCTCGCCGCGTACCATGCGTTGTCTTGATGGACGAGCTTGACCAGCTGGTAACCAAAAACCAGTCCGTCATGTATAATTTCTTCAACTGGCCCCAGTTGCGGCACAGTAGGCTAATCGTCTTGGCTGTTGCAAACACCATGGATCTACCGGAGCGCACCCTGAGCAACAAGATCAGCAGTCGGCTAGGTACGTACCCGCAGTCCTGTCCTTCACATGCGGCCCAGCAATGTTACAGTGCAGATTGCAATTTCAATTTACCCTCAAACTGTACTCATCGCAGGCGCCGCGTGGACACTGCCCAATACGTTTGTTTTTGCGATGGTCTCGCGAACCCCTGTTCACCGGTATTCTGCGAGGGCTTCATTGGGCAAGGCTAACACACGTGTACCCAGGCCTAACGCGAATTACTTTCCCCGGCTACACTCACGACCAATTGATGCAGATCATCCAGTCTCGCCTGGAAGGAGTTCCAGGTAACATCGTACTCTCGGACGCCGTCCAGTTCGCGGCGCGTAAAGTTGCAGCTGTAAGTGGTGACGCCCGACGTGCATTAGACATTTGCAGACGCGCTGTGGAAATCGCGGAATCAGAAGTCGCGTCACAAGATCAGGACGATGAGGCGCAGCCCTCAACCCCGAGTCGGACCGGTCGGGGTAACAAAGCGAAACCCCTTCAATCGTCCCGATCTCAAAACGGTACCGAGCAGTTGGAAGCCAATTCAATAAAACGTGGAGGGCCGGCCGCTGGACGTAAGGGTGTCGTTACCCTCGCGACGATCAGACAGGCCATCAATGAGGCCACGAGCAGCCCCCTACAGCAAGCGCTTCGGGCACTGCCGTTGGCTTCCAAGGTCTTCCTCGCTGCACTCTTGGCACGGATACGAAGGACTGGTATTGGTGAGGCGGTGCTTGGGGATGTCGTGGACGAGGTCAAGAAACTTGGCTTCATGAGCCAGTTGCAAACCGTGCAAGACTACGTACTTGCACCCGACGCCCATGACCGCACGAATGGTATTTCCGGTTTAGAAGTCCAGTCTGCAACACCGTCAAAGAATGCCGAGCCTATCGACACGGTATCTAGACATGCAAAGCTCAAGGCTGCACGAGCCCTGGGTCTTGCGTCTGCTGCGACAGAACTCGCAGAAGCTGGAATCATCGGTGTCGAAGCCAGACACGGCGAGCGCGTCGGTCGTGTAAGGCTGGGTGTTGGTGAGGATGAGGTTCGTTTGGCGTTTGGTGAAGACGAATCAGTCAAGGGCATGGGCTTCGGATCGTGAGGAGAGCCACGTTATTGCGACATCTACATCTCTGCCATGTGGATGGTTCGTGACAGCTCCATCTTCTTCGCTGGCTTGTTCTAGAACAGGCTCTCCGCTTGCCGCCCGCTTTGCAGATGTGTACAGCATATCGTATGATACCCCTCTTTCCAGTATACCGATCAGAATCCACCTCGTTGCTTGGCTTGGCTTTTACAGCCTCGTCCTTCGTAAAGCAGGAATACGCCTTGTACGCTTTGCGGAACGTGATAACGAGCCCTGCATGAGGTCCACCGGTTTCTGGCAAGCCACAACAAGGGCAAGCGACCCGTTTAAGCCTTCCGCTTGTGGTATGCGCTTGCCTGCATGGTGGCTGAGCGGTTTCTAATGGTGCAGAACGATACAGCACGTTCCTTCATCCTTACGTCCGGAGCGAGCCTAGCAAAGCCCAGTTATTCACCAAACCTCAACGGCATCAACGTCGTGCGCACGCATAATATCGAGTTGTCAATTGAAGACATGGATTGTTAGCTGTCTAAACTTTATCTAGATATCTATTGGCGAAAGAACGCATGTAGATCTACTAGCTGCGCATGTTTGAGACCAAGGCCTTTGAACGCCATGAAAACGCTGAGCAAAATCGTATAAATAACCTGAACGCCAGAGAAACAAAAGACTAGATGCCTCTCATCGATCGCCCTTGCTAGCTACACCACGCTCCTCCGAATCGTGGCTCAACACTTCGAACTCCTGCGGCTGCTCCTTTCTCTGACCCTTGAGCAACAGCACAATGTCACCCGGATGGCTAACGTTCAAGATGACCATAACCGCAAACATGAGCACCGCGTCGAAGACATACAGGAAAACCTCGTGCCTGAGCAGGTACCCAGCATTACCCTGAATGTACTCAATAACCCTGAAGACCGATCGCACCAAGATCAAGATCGATGTCGCGTAGAGAGCAAACAGGTGCTTTCCCCACGGAATGTTGCTGCCGAGAGTCGCGAGGTACTCCTTGCCACGCATCTGGAACATAATCGCCGTGACGAAGAACAGTCCGAAGAAGAGAATCTGCACGAACAGACCACCAATGATGATCTTCTCGCCAGACTTCATGCCTGAAGCGCCAGACGACATGATCCCTCCACCAGCGCCCTGCATCATAAACGAGATCACGTCGCCGCCGACGAAGATCTTCGTCAACCATGTGCGGCGCACGAGCGAGTACCTCTCACCGCCCGTGAGCAAAACCAGGCGGCCGAGGATCATGTAGATAGATGCTGCGTACAGTGCGGGTCCGAGGAGTAGCAGCAGGGTTTGCATGATGTACGGCGAGAGGGCGTAGCGGTCATTATTTGATAGTATGCGGCCGATGTAGCCGATGAACTCGAACAGACCGCCGATAATGAAGGGGATCATGAACCAGGAACGCTTACGGAAGGTTTGAAATATGTGGAAGCCGGTTGTGAGCGCGAAGAGGACGACGAATACTGCAGCTGCGGCCAGAGAAGGGTGGTAGCGGTAGAGGACAAAGGAGTCACCATCGTTGTGGTCGGACATGGTGTTGATGTGTATTGGTGTTGTCCTCGGAAGCTGGAGTGTTCGAAGGTTTGTAATGCCTTACTAGTTTGCAGACGCCTTGTCCGACAGATCGGTAAGTTGGAACTGGTAATGAGACAAGCTTTGGTGTACACTGAAGAAAGAAGGCGCTAGGAAGATGTGAAGAAGTAGTTAAGTGGAGTTGAAATGCCTGAGGCTGAATGAGGAAGGAGTCAATTGAGGGAATTGCAGCTTCCTATATACACATTACTTTCGGCGAACTACAACTATGATGATGAAGCAGAGGCGCAGCACTGTTTATCATAAAACTTCTCCTTTGTTGGCGTCCATTGCAAAACCTTCAAGCGTACGTTGTATACGCTGTACGCTGGGTGGATTCGGCGTCGAGGCGATGCGGCGCCAGAGCGCCCAGACTGCACAGAAACTTCTTTCATTCGTCCATCTGCCAGCGTTGACCCACGGTAGATCAGCGGCCCGTTTCGGCGTGCAGACCTAAAATTTGATTCGAGGTACGAAATACGTCCGCAATTGTCAGTGCATCATTTGAAGGCCCCGGCAGATTGATCTTCCCAGGCGTGCAGGCGGAAAGAGGGAGATCTTTGTAGGTGGGCGGAGTAAAATCTCGAAATCTGGGGCGCTGCGGGCGACAAAGAGCAGACCATGATTAAGCGCTGACTAGGGCAACCGTCGAAGAAGCTGGCAGCGCTGAATGTTCTGCCTTGTTCAAGCCTTACACAGACATAATATCTGACAGAAGATCTCGGCTATCCATATCAACGTTTTGACGACGATGACCAAGGCTTCCAGTTTGCATCATCGCGTTGCCAAGATGATTCGAAGTCAGCGTCATTCTAGCCAATCACAGAGCTCTGTGTACGCGTGCCGGCTTTGCCGATCCATCATAGCCCTTGTGGAAAACGTCAATTGCAGCTGCCGCCTTACACCCGACATGGAAGCCAAACTTTCAACACCCTTCATGTACAGCTCTTCTTACAATTTGATCGATTCTTAAGACCTCGTAGGCACGCAAGCCAGTTGTTTGTTACTCAGCTCCATGCGCCGCATTCCGTCCGAAGTGGATCTACACACCGTAAACCGTATCAACTAGCAGCATCTAATTTAGGAGAGCAATGCCGACGAGGAGAACGCACAACAAGACGAGGTTGGGATGTCAGCAGTGCAAGAGGAGACGCATAAAGGTACATGAAATTTCCCCTTCCCTATTACGCGTTAGTCGGTATGAACCGATGAAGCACTGAATTTGCGTTCGATGCACGTATTCATGTGACCTATATCCACTGGGCGTACTCGTAGCGATGGACATGTAATTCGTTGAGTTGTAAGGGTCGCGGTAGGCAGCATCATAGTGCAGGCTATGCTAGAAGGAACTGACGTCCACTTGTGTCCTCTCATGTCGCTACCGAGAAGCTTGACCCTTGTTGGCATTCAATCTTGAAACTACGACACTTCGCAATTGAGCGCACTTGGGCACGCAATCAATACTGAAAATGTTTGTAGTGTGACGGCAAACATCCAACATGTGCGAACTGCGACAAGAAGGGCGAAACATGCAGCTTCCTTCAGCTAGCCCCCTTATCACGGCTCACAGGTCCAACATTATCCAGAGGACCAGCGACTTCGGTATCACCACTTTCTGAAGCTTCTAGCCTACATACACTCTCACCACCAGATCCAAATTCCGCCGATAACGAAGCTGCCAAGCTAAAGAGAGGCTCCTCGCAAACATCACCGCTAGCTGGTAATCAGTTGGTTTATTTTCCGACGCCGCTACAACGCGACGTCCCTCCATCAGAACAGTGCCTCGAGCCTCGAGGGTCGTCGAGCCCTAAACCTCCAGTACCTATTTATTACCCTGAAATGAAGATATGGGAGAGCTCTATTCCACCGTACCTTCGCCTAAACGATGTTTGGAAAGGCATCAGAGAGCCGTTGCCTCCTTCGCTCCAAGATGTTCTATACCACTACGAATACACGACAAGTCTCACACTAGCCAACGATGACCCTGCTAAGGCAGCATGGCAGTCATGTGTACCTGAGATGGCACATGCGCACGATTTTCTGGTCAATTGTGTGCTCTCAGTCGCTTCACTCCACCTTGGTCGACTCCACGACGACAAAACTCAAAAGATAAACATGAACGCTCTAGCAGCATCAAGGATGAACAAAGCTCTGACAACTTACCGCCTTAATCTGGAGAATATCACAGCGACCAATGCGGCAGCGCTCTTTGCGAGCTCGACACTCACAGCTGTCTACTTGTTTCGCACGTCAGCACTAGATATCGAGGCGTTGCGCGAGACAATACCATACGGTACTGTCATACCTCCTCCAGGGGTTGTCGACAAGATGATGTCCTGCGTTCTGCGAACAGTTTGGGGTCTCCGTGGTCCGCTCACAGTGCTGATGAGTGGTTGGAACTATGTCGTTAACGGAGCGATGCATCCAGTCGCGGCACGCAAGTGGTGGCCAAGAAGGCGAACCCCAGCTACTGCTCGTGCAGAGGAAGAGGACCGGCGGCTACAGGATATCGACAAACTGTGGATGGACACAGACAAGGCCTGGGAGCCTCAAACTCGACATCTGAACGAAGCACTTGCTTTTCTTCGCGAGACGTACGCATTGGTGTCGCAGCTCACGCTTCCTGGAGTCTTTCCTCCGATGACGGCGGTTCCTTACGCAGTTGACGACAACACTACTGGCGTGCTCACCGACCGCGGCGCGATCTTCGTGTGGCCAACACAGATCTCGCGCGAGTTCATTCAGCTCCTCGAGAGCAAGGACCGGGATGCCCTGGTCATCCTTGCGCACTACGCTGTACTGGCCGGCCGAGTGCGTAACGTCTGGTGGCTCGAGGGTCTGGGTGCCGATTTTGTCACTGCCATAGCCATGGCGATTGGCATTGAGAACTGGCATTTGATCGAATGGCCTGCACGTGTGGTTGGAGTCAATCTGTGGAACGCCTTCGGTGTTAGGCAAGACAGACTTGTGGGCAAGCCTGATGAGCTGCACATGGATGTGATTTGAACAACCTGTCGTGGTCTTTTCTTGGTTGTATCGTTAAAGCTGTGGTTTGATGCAGATCAGACATCCAAAATAAGCGAAGGTCAGAACTGCATTGACGTAGCTCTGTATCACTTCACGTTCGATTCCGTCTTGCGCTGTCTACACCTACCGGACGCCGTACACCTACTCCTGCGTCTGAGAAGAGCACAAATATATCACTGACTTTGTCGGAAGGTTCAGACGTCGATACATGATCTCGCGAGGCTGGTGCTACGGGCCATGGTAGCACCAGGGTGTCTCAATATCAGCTGCACTTGCCGGGTCCTATAGGCTCGTCCAATGACTCTACACTTTTATGTGCATGCGGATGATCCTAGTATCTAATGCCCAGGAACAATACGTTACACGTAAGCGTAGCGGTGTTTGATCTGAGCGTTGCACGATGACAAAAGTATCGTATAGTTTCGCATTCACCGTTTCTTCGCATCACAGCGAAGGATGCCTTGAGCAGACCGGTCAACATGGTCGTTGGCTGCGAAAGGATGCTGTATATAAGTTCAGCTCAACCTCTTTCAGTGTCATAGCATTCACTGTCGAAAACCACCAACAAAATCTAAAGCTCTTTACTACTTCACACAATCACTTTCAATTCACCATCATGCACTTCTCCGCCAGCACCCTACTCCTCCCTCTCCTCACCGCTACCCCTCTCACCTCAGCCTGGAAGCTCCAAGTCTTCATGAATGATGGCCGATCCGTCACCACCAACGGCCGCCTCGATTCCGGCTGCAAGACTTACGAGTTTAACATGAACTCGCCCGTCAAACGTGCCTATTTCGACAGCAGTCTTGGGTCCAGGACCTTTGAACTGTATGCTCAGCGAAACTGCGGAGGTCTCAGCTACAGAAATAATGAGGGGACGCACGATTTGAATCCGCCGAGGATCATCAGGAGCTACAAGGTCCACTAGGAAACGATGACTTGATGAAGTTGAGGCTCTATTGTGACGATATCGGACGATCTCTTAGTTGGAACGGTCTTTATGACAGCTAGAAGATATCACTGGTAACAATGAATCGATATCGGCCACACAAACTTGGTATCTCCTTATAGCTGCATGGAGTGTTCTCCATTTTTGCAACTTATTGTGCCTTCCTCGACTTCCTCTACAAGCCACAGTCAATTTACACTCACGCGCCCGCACTATTGTTCCTCGAAAGGATTTGGATCATCAGTTTGCATTTAATACAGGAACTCTTGAAAAATGTATGCGTTCTGATCCATTGCAGTAAGGCATCCCGCTAATTCTGCACTACTATACTTTCATAAATCGTTCTCTTCGTTATAGAACTCTTCAATCTTATCAGCCATGTCCTTGACCTTCAGGTCGATACCTTTTTGTTTCTCTCTAGTCAATGTCAGGACGGACACGCCCTGATAATCTTGCATGCCCAGAATGCCGACCCCTCTTGGTGCATAGTCCAGGAGTACTTCGACATCCAGTCTGCCCGTCGATGATTGGAGGCTACTAAAGGCAACATGCAGTGTTGTGCTTCCCCTGAATTCAGGAGACTTTCTTTGAAGTCGAAGCTGCTCCTCGACTTTGCCGTAACGTAACAAGATGCTGATAACATCTTTGTGCGCTAGCTCAATAGCTGCATGTAGTAAGAACTCATATCCCGATCGCGAGTGGGTCAAAAGATCGGCATTTCTTCCAAGGAGAGAAGTTACAGTATCAGTCTGTCCCAAGTAGCACGCTCTGTATAGCAAGGTCCTGTTGTTGCGAAGGGCATTGATGCCAATGTTGCCATCACCATTCGTTGCGAAAAGCAACTGCGCAGTATTTGTCCAGCGGGCTCTGTCAGATGAGGTGCAAGAGCTTGAACGTAAACGATGAAAGATCATAAGTGTGCTCAGCTGAAGGGTTGTCTCTCCCAACTTCTTACACCAGCAACCAGTCAAGCATACCACATCCGGTTCTTTCCTGATCGTCACCATTTCTGCTCCTTCAAAACCCTGGCTCTTCGGGATTTGGCAGCATCTCTTCGTCGCCAGAAACGCGTCAATCCACGCCAGACTCGCTGGCGCCTGCACAGTGTCAGCTATATTTATCCAGATCTCTACAAGAAGTCTCCATCGGCAGACTTACATCAGTATCAGAACCATGGTACCAGTCACCGGTATGCAAAGCGACCAAAAGTACGCGTCACTATTCTTCAGAGACGGCATCTCCTCAAAGTTCATCCCGAAGTAGCCCGCCAAGAATGTCATGGGTAAGAACAGAATCGTGACAAAGGTCAACTGCTTCATGCTTTCATTCTGATATGCGCCCATTGTGTTGAAAATGAGCGAGATCATGCGATCTGCTGAGCGGCGCATGCGTTCCAGGGATTCCGTGACTGTGATGCAATGGTCTTCGACGTCGCTGAAATAGGTGTGTGCTAATGTCGTGATCGTGATGGAGGCTGTGGACGGATCTTTTGGTGCGTATGGTGGTGGTGAGTTGGCGATATGGGATAAAGAAGAGTTCTGTGATGATCCGGTTGTCTGGAGAAGGGCGTTCGAGTTGTGTTGGCGGAGAGCGTTTACTAGGCTTGCAATTGGAGCAATTTGGGAGCGGAGGAGGGAGAGCTCGGAAGTTAATATGTACCTGTACATGGGTCAGCGATATCATGGCAGTGACAAGCATGTCATGTCTAGAGAAGCTTACAGTGCTTTCGAATGTGCAATGCTTGGGTCTACCAGCACATCCAACTCCAGTTCTGCTATGCTATCTTCATAAGCTGTGGCGATTGGGATGGCGAGATCGACGATTCCATCGATGATAGCATGCATGACCATACTGGCATCACCGCTTTGCCTCAGCACGGTCTCCGAAGATTGCAGACGCCTCAGAATAGGCTCTTCGATTACGTCCGCGGAGTGTTCGAAGAATGACAATAAGGTATTGTTGCTCTGCATGAACATAGACACTTGCTCTACAGAAACCATAAGACCTTTAGGATTAAGCGTAGAGTGTTCTTCCATGTAGCGTGTCCTTTCTGGGTCTGCGTCAGTGCGGTATGCTTGCAACGTTTTGACTGCTTGTCGATACTCGGCAGGAACATGTTTCTCCTGATATGCCGGACTGTTTGTGCTGAGGTGTCTGGGCCGCGGTGTTCTCGGCAATTCGCCATCTGCAGTGCTTGGCGCCTTCCGAACGAGGCGCTGTAAAGTCAGAAGAACTTGGCATCTGTCAGCATACTTCTCAGTCTGAAACTTGAGGCATAATGAATGTACCGAAGACGTGCTCTGGGTACCAATCCGCTTTGGTGCGATTGCGTGTGTGCAGAAGGTCCTCGATGGCTAGACTGTGCAACTTCTGCTTCTCGCCCAACAATCGAACCACATCCCAGCTGAGTCCGTTGACTGCAAATAGAAGATACAAAGTCAGCAGCCACCTCACATGCATTTCAGGCCAACGGTTACTTACCGTTGATCCATCGACAAGTCACCCAGTCTTCACGAGGTTTCGCGAGGAAGTCTCCAAGTGTCGAGTTGGTCAACTCGTACTTCTCGATTCTGTCGATAGAGAAGTCCACAGCGGTTATTTGGGATTGCACTTTCTGGCGCCATTGGGGCCACGCATCCTCGTCCGTAATGTCGATACCAGGCTCACTCCCTGCTATTGGCTCATGTGGAGCTTCAGCACTGATACACCTGACGTTGTTTACGAATGATTTCCGGTTCCTGGTTTTCTGTCGTCGTATTGATGGCCGGGACGAAGAGGATACATGCAAGGTGGAAGGCTGCGGTGCTTGCGTTATGTTTCGAACTACGAGAGTGAATGTCGCCAACCCTTTGGCAACAGAGGCATGGCAGGCAAACTTCGTTGACGTGAAGATGGGATCTTTCGAGAAACGCGACGCGGTGGACCCTGCAACACGGCGCAAACGCGGCGTAAGGAACATCTCAAACTGCTACTCTAGCATCACTGAAATTCGATTAGCCCGTAAGAGGATGGAACCGGTGCAAACAATTGATTGCTTCTCGTCAATGAAGATCGAGTTGTGAGCGGAACGATAATGTGGCGGTTAATCAAGGCAGGAGGTGCTCGAGGATGACGATTTTGTCTACGCGAGAACACGTGGGGCAGTAGACCCAGGGCGAAGCTAGTTTCCAGCACTTCCGAAGACCAACAACACAAACAAAAAGCACACCCATCCTCGCACTGCGAACGCTATTCCATTCTACGACGAGGGCAAAAAGAAACTGGTCACTACGAGGGTCGAACTCGCGACCTTGGCGTATCAAGGATGAAAGCTATTAGCACCACGCTCTAACCAACTGAGCTAAGCGACCGATTTATTATTTTGATGGATATTTTCAAAATCATACAAAATAGATATTGAATAATTGTTGTTCCAAGTGGGCGTCGATGTAATCGATCGGACAGGAAAGTCATGTTTTAGCTGCCACAAGTTCAGACATTAGCCAGATGTCTGAGTCATGACGAGCTCGATCGCCCCACTTCCAGTCAGACTGCGACTGCTGCTGTCCGAATATCGAAATCTCCAGCATGATTGGAGAACTGGACAGTATTGTAGTCACCAAAATGTGGCATTGGGTTACCATCTCAATCTGCACGCGAGTTGTAGTCGCCCGCGCTCCCAAGGATTAATGCAAAAGGCGTGCTGACCTGATCGCATCGAGCGGGCCCGCAAGTAGCACCTCGATGCGACAGCACCTGGGACGATGCGAGCAGAATGACGCGTATGATATTGTGTATGTTGTTGTGATGTTTTGCATGCCTGCGCTTTTGCTATCATCGAGTGATGACTCATCGGCCCTTCCTCTGCTTCGCCTGGCCATTTCCCTCCTTCGCCGTACTACTCGCCTCCTTCTTCTCCGCCTTCTCACTCTCCTTTTTCTTAGTCGCTCTCATCTTCGCACCTTCCTTCTCCAGCAACTCAATCGTCTTCTCGCTACTCGCCCAGAGCTTCTTCTGCAGATCTTCGTCGTTGATCTCGTTGCGCGACCAGCCTACCTTCCTGCACTCCTTCAGGAAGTATCCGCCCTCGCCTCTGCCCCACTCTGCTTCCATCACGGCATAGAGAAACGTTTGTGCACCCTGGTCGGCGCTCTTCAGGACGAGCCACCAGACGGGCCACATGATGAGGTAAGCTGCGAGACCCCATAGCGTGCCGAAGGTGAGGTGGCGCCGCATGCCGGGTGTGCGGGTCCAGCCTGGGTCGACCATTATGACGCGGGCGTTCATGGGCTTCTTGTCAGGGCGGACGTAGGCGTTGAGGTGCTTTTGGAAAGCTACGGCGAAGGTCATGAGCGCAAGCTTTGAGGTGGCGTAGACGCTGGAGGGCATAAACTCGGTCTGCTCAGCGTCGCCCTTTGCCTTCTTCGAGCTCGGCTTCGCGTCGAAGTCTGGCATCTTTCCAGCCATGTATGCGCTGCATGTGCCAAAGATGATGCGTACGTCTCGATCTGGCGGTTGGGCGCGGAGTGCGGGACTGAGGATGCTGAGGAGGTGGAAGTTCGCCATATAGTTTAAACCCCATGTAGATTCGAGTCCGTCTTCAGTGATAGCTGCCTTGCAGCCCATAGGTGTCATTGTGTTTGCGCAGAGAACGATTGTGTCGAGACGGCGTGGTGGGGCGTTGTCGACCCATTTCGTTGCAAAGATACGTATGCTGTGTAGCGAAGTAAGGTCAACATGTTCAGCGGTGATGAGCTCGTTGCCAGTCTGTTCTCGCAGGTCTTCGATGTAGTCGACGAGGAAGGGGTCGGAGAGGGGTTGCTGAACCAGAAGGATGATTTGAGCACCACGTGATGCAAGGCCTTTGACTACCTCAGCACCAATACCAGCTGTGCCTCCCTAGATAACGAATCAGCATAGCCATAAACAAATGCGTACTTTGAGCCTACCGTAACCATAACCACCTTGGAATGCATGTTCCGCTCCGAGCGATTGATTGCGCCATTGAAGAACCATTTCAACAGGTAGAGCACTCCAATAATAGAGGCTAACTTCACTATGGGCCAGCCATAGGGTATAGAGTCTAAGCCCTCGGTGAAGCCCTGGTGGAGGATTCCGATGGGCATGATGAATGGCTGCTGGTTAGCTTCGGAAGGGGCTCAATGTTCGGAACGAAGTGCCACATCGCCAAGCAATCGCGTAGCGTCATCGACATGTGATCGCGCGAGTTGCCTGAACATCTTTTACCCTATCACCATGACAATCGTTTCGTGATCGCTGATGAGCCATACGACTCGTTTATGCGTACAGAGATGTCTTCACGTTTGTTGCCAAGGCAGTGTGAAACCGAGGCGCTCTTATCCTTCACTTGAAGAGAAGGAAACTGCAGCATCTGCAATAAACATCGCCATGCCGCCGACGATGGCACCTCGACAGGTGGATGAAGACGAGGATGAAGACGGCTCTTGCTACGATGATGCCGACGTCTCTACTGCTCCCTTCACCTCGCACCCCGCCTATGGCCGCGGCTTATGGAAGAATCCCATCGCTTTCGTAGCCGCCGCGCCTGAAGTCAAGCCTACGCCCTCGGATTCCGTAGACGGGCAATCAATAGCGCAGAAGTACCTCGCCATCATGTTCCCTAACGGCCAACCCCAGCCAGAGCCAGACGCATACCCACTTTGCGGCATATGCGGCGAGCCAGCCAAAGAAACAGATTACCGCATACACTTCCTAAGCGCCGTGCATCAAGCTGCTTTACCCCGCGCGCCGACTCCGTCGGCGATCGATCGCACGAGAATGGGACTCAAGTACATGCAGAACTATGGGTGGGATGTGGACGCCAGGGTGGGGCTGGGTGCGAGAGGGGAGGGAATGTTGTTTCCGCTTGTGCCGCAGGAGAAGAGGGATAAATTGGGGTTGGGGATCGACAAGAAAGCTGAGAAGAGGAGGAAGGGGCTCACAAATGGCAGGGGGACTGCAAAGCCCGTGGAGATTAGGCTGGATGCGGGAAAGATACAGAAGTTGGCCAAGGTGGAGAAGAGGAAGCATGATAAGCTGCAGAGGATGTTTTATGGGAATGATGAGATGGAGAAGTATCTTGGGGAACTGGACGGTTGATTAAGTCACCATCTTGAACCCCATAATACAGCCTGAGGGCTTTCACGTTTGTGCTTTGAGTAAAATGGGCATAGCGGAGGCGTTAGTGTTTTCGCATGATATCTGTTCTACTATACACAACCCATCATCTCAGCCTTGTTCGTTCCCTAGCTTCACACCTGACGCCGTAGCCCTGAGTCTAACCTGCATACTCTTCGCCCGGGACTGCATAATGTAGACATCATCCACGTCCGGCGGATGCTCTTGTGCTTCCAGCCCATGGAACAGTAGAGCAAACGGTAATGACTTCCACACTGCAATACCATGCCTTGCTGACTACGCCACGACGAGCACAAAGAAGACGATGGTGAGCAACAGTATTATAGGAGCTGTCGGTACGGTATCTGCTCCTTCTATGATGCGAGTGAAAGTATACTGAACGAAAGACTGCTCGAGGAATATGAGCTCGGCGTACGTCATCCACATGACGGGTTCGGATGGCAACGGCTTATTGCACGGTGGGTTCGATGCCGACAGCGAGTATTATTAGCAACGCACCCATACAAGCAAGTCATCTAGTAAGGAGCATCAGTTCATGGCTATATCTTGCTTTGAGAGTCTACAATAGCTGGACTGCACCCCAAGGACCTTTGCTGGCAGAATCATATACAGCCAAAATGTCAAGTGTCTGTGACTTTGCTGTTTAGCTGATCCAAATCGAATGACTGATACAGGCTGCTGCTGGGACGAGCAGTAAACCTTTGATCATGGTGGTCAGGAGAGATATGGCCGGGTTAAGTGTTATGCCGTACGGCCAATCCCGGTTGTGACTTCCGATCAAAAGCTATCCACAATCCAAAACATTGCGGCGAAGGCAATCAGGCTACAGACACAGGAATCGGTCTCCCGGCCCCATCACCGAACCTATTCGGAACCTGGCGTTGCCAGCCAGAATGATGACCAGATATGCTGAGCGCTGAAGACGACTTGTCCATGGAGCAGGCTTCCATATTAGAGATAAACAACGGACATATCTCTAGGTCCAGCACTCGATCTCGTCAAAAGTAACATCTGATACACCTGGCAGCGCGGAGATTTTCCCGGAGGCAGCTGGTACCCTTGGGCTCAAGCGTAAAGTAGGTTCTGACTCTTCTTGGGGCGTCACGAAACCCTTCATAATCCGGTCGGTAGAAGATCCTGGTTCGTTCGTAATCCTTCGAGTGGCGTCTGGGCTGCTTTGTCGCAAGGCTGAGGTCGCTTGGACCAGGTGGGCAAGAGAGGGTTCGCTGGTACTAGAGAGAGGACTCGACAATAAGCTGGCGCTTTCATGATCGCGATCTGTAGGATCCATGCTGAAGTAACGAGCGCAGAATCTACAAGGCATATAGACCAACGGGTGATGTGTCGTGTGGGAGGTCAATGTAAACCTGCAGGCTATCTAGAACTTTGCGGAGCTCTCGAAACTACATTAAGTCGCAAAACTTGTACCTTTACTCTGAAGACCTCTAGAGTTTGGTTGCTGAGGCCGGTTGGCAAGAGAGTGCACTTGGCCTTTACTGCAACGAACATGAGGGCGTGCCTGGTTGACGCGTCATTACCTCATATTGTCGCAATGCCCTTCTCTGGTCCACCGCACTCCACCTATTCTTCATCACATGAGCTTCGAAACATATGCATAGACACAGTCGACGTTCCCACCAACGAATTATATGTTATTGGCAAGTCGTTGCGCTTCTCTCGAAAGTCGCCTACCAAAGGCATTTGACATCCACCCAAACCACCAAGATCATGAATCCACCAGACATCATACATGCTAAACATTACAGCCGGAGCCATCAATATCCCCAATCCTCCTCCAAAAGTCAAACAGGTATAATGCGAATGCTCGCTAGAGCCCCCAAAAGAATAACAACGTAGCGTCGTGAAGAACGTTTGAATCCGGAGCGCCGCCCGCTAAAGATGCCGAAGCCACCTGAATCATATCATGGCATATACTGTGCGTGCGCAGAAGTTGCTTGCGCAAGGGACGATCGCTATCACAAAGCCAACATGGCAAGGAACCCAGCGACACCCGCAAGGCCAGCGCCGACAGCAGCCTTCGCGTGCGACGCGGCGCCAGTGGACTCAGGAAGAGGAGAGCCAGTCGCGGTGCGTGTGCCGGACAGGGTAGCAGAGTGGATAGCAGAGATGGAGGTGCTATTCGCGCCGGTGAGCGTTGCGCTTGCGGAGCTGGCGGTCGAGGTGACGACAGACGTGGTCGAGGCTTCAGCAGCGACAGGGTACAGCAGAGGCAGGATACTCTTGACGTCGGCAGGCATCGATGCGTACCATCCTGGAGTATTGCCGGCAGCGAGAGAAGAGCTCATTTCGGCCGCGAAGGCCGACTCAGAGGCAATGGCGTAGTTACGCACATCGGTTGGCAGCGCAGTCGCGAGGACCATCAGGACCGATTGCGCCTGCTCAGGACTACATCATCACTGTTAGTCGCATGTCTACATTGCGTCGTGGTTGTGAAGTCGCGTGCAGCATACCTAACAGAAGTCTGAGCACCCACGCCCACAGCCACCGCAGCTAACCTAGCTAGGAACTTGGGCTGCATCTCGTACAACTATTGACAACGGTATGTGAACACTGAGATGAATGTGAAGAACCCTCTCACTCGCACCACGCAATCAGTGGAGACAAAAGGCTTGCGCAGGAAGCGACAATAGAGCAGCAAACAGCGAGCGACAGGAATGAGATGAAAAGGAGGCTCTTTGGGGATCCCCCGGGCTGTATATGAAACGGGCTCGCGGCACGACATGTTCACGATGCCATGCCTGGAGCGGCTAACGGATCACTACGAACTAACCACCAAGGGTCCAAGAGCGTCTGCAAGCTGCGATTTAAGATTGCGGCGAGAAGACGTCAAATGAAAAGGCTGAGGCAGAAATGAATCCCGCACAAGCGAAATGCGCATTTGGTGATTCGCTGCACAAACAACAAATTTGTGTTTTCGTAGAGCTAATGCGCTCAGGGGCTGTGGAACATTCGATGCAGTACGGCACAGCTTTGCATCTCAACAACCACTCCCACAGCCTTGTGGTACTTCAGGGTTTTCGACTGCTTCATCGTGCAACGCTACAAGTTGTCCCGCTTCTTGAATCCTCCGGCTGCATGCCATGAGCTCGAGTCATGCTCATTTAACAGCAGTGCGGAGGTGCTATAGTAGTGCACCAATCAGCGATACTCATGTGTTCTTAGTGAGGGTCTTTCATTTCCACTTTTTAAGCTCACACGGACCGGGAGGACGGTTTCCAGGGCAGCCTCGCTGTGAGGCCGGGTCAGGTGCATGATCAGCAGCTTTGTCGCGAGGTGCGAATGGTGGTGTCGGTAGCCGCAATGAGGTTGAGAGCTGCGCGTCATTGGATACATTGAGGAGCTGCCAGTCAAATACTCAAAGGATGCGACTGACAAGTGACAGCGCGCATCGCAATTTAGCCTTCGGTAGTGGCCAGCCGAAGATGCCGCCCAGGTGCCAACATCGTGGCGTTTCTTCTGCTTCTTCAGCAAATCGACATTGTGAAGCCTTCGCACTTGGCCTCAAGGCGCCCAGAGATCTTATCACTCGATGTCACATTGATTTTGCCGTCATTGCCGTCCTCAATTCAGAGACCAAGAAACTCATTGTGCATACATAGGAGTGCGATCGTTCTATCTTGTCGTAAGTCGATTCTTTCATCTACATAATCTATCATAACAACCATCCATGCTATGTACAGCTAGCATTATCATTAAACTCGAGTCCGTCCAGATCGTGAGGTATCCTCTCAGTGCAGCCGTAACAGGTGGCCGTAGTCATAAGGATGTGATCGTGACGCTCATTGAAGGCGAAGGTATCATCTCTAAGTGGGCATAAAGTCGTCAATGTGGTAGTCGCAATGCCGGCAACGTCGAAAGGAAATCGTAAAGCAAACATCCTGCCCACAACTCATCATGTGGTTCCTCCATATTGCACATCATGTGTGCTGTAGTCGTTGGTCAACGGCTGCTGTAAGCTTTTAAAAGTAAGACTCGACAACATCCTGCCCACCACGGATAGCCCACTCCACGATCTCCATCCCATTGAGTCCGCTAGCCCAGTAGCTCTTCTTGTGGCCTTGAAGGCGGTTGAACTTATCGTATGCGCCATTTCTGAGAGGCTGGCTGTCGAAATGTGGAAAATAGTCCCACTTCCTGAATGCCTTGACATCACTGTCGGTCAGAGGCTCCGGTGGCTCGGAGGAATTTCGTGGATCCTTGTTGATTTCCGATAAGCTCTCGATGAGCAGGCGACGTGCGGCTTCTTCGGTCTGGTACTCGTATGGGCCCCAAGACCATGACACGGAAACATTTGACTGCTCATTCAGGCGTAACACTGCAACAGGTTCGCCGTCGTTTGATGGAGGCAGTGCTGGTGATGTGGTGTTCGCAATGTAGGAAACACCGAATGGGAGCTGGAATTCGACTGCCGACGAGTAGTACTGAATCATCGAAACGTTCGCGAATACATTGTACTCCTCTTCTGTCATGTCCAGCCCGGCTCTCTCCAGGTTCTCGATGTTCGGCGGGAAGGCGAAGATAATGGAGCTACACTCCTGCTTGCGCCATTCGTAGAAGTTGTCGCACGGTTCAGTGTACTTGATGATTGGGTTGTTTCCAGATCGATCTATGCATCGAACCTCGGCGGAGGTTTTGATCGGGGTGTTGCAAAGCTGTGACGCAGAGTACTCTACGAACATCTTGTGGAAGTCCATGTAGTACACTTCGTGCAACCCAATGAACGCGGTCAAGATATCCGGGGTGAAGTATTGCAAGATGTAGAGCTGTGTCACGTGTTAGTAAATGTATGCATCATCCCTGCAAACTCTATGCAAAGAAGATCGTGACATACTGCTGGGACAATGTTGATGTCGCCATATCCGTACAATGCCACCGGGTTGACGAGTAGAATCGGGAGAGCAGTAAAGTTGTTTTGGCGAAACCATTGAGATCCAGAGACGGTGAACTCATCGGGCGTGCCATTCTGTAGCTCGTTAGCTGACTGTTGTCGTACCACCACTTGCGCAAAGCTCGTGTCGTACCTTGTATCCCGCGACACTGAAGGGTCGAAACCTTTGATTCCACAGCGCCGTGTAACGCGGAATTTCGGCAGACAGTGATGCCAGGAACTGAGGAATCAACGCTGGGTTTGCTTCGATCGCGCCATTTGTGTAGTTGTAGCGAAACATCTCACGCGCGCCTGCCAGCGCGAACGGCTCGGACGTAACATTGGTCGTATTGAGAATCTTGAGGGTTTCGGTGTAGGTTGCGTTTGAGAAGAAGGCGGCGCCAAGCGGGTGGAAGATGCCTCTGAGTGGTGTGATCAGCCGCGGTCGGGCGCCTCCAATGCTGTGTAACACTTACTGCTCGTCATACCATGCCTGACACTTACCACCAACTTCCTCCTGTTTATCGAAAACCATGGCCTTGATGCCTTTCTCTTCGAGCTTCGCTGCTGCTGACAAACCTGATGGACCTGCGCCAATGATGCATACTGGAGGTTTCGCATGACGAGGTTGGGGCCAAGCTGATGCTGTAAGCGTGAAAAGTGGCAGAAGCAGCGACCACGTTGTTGTGCCTTTCATGGTGTAAAGTGGTCAATTGAGAGCAGAAGAAAAGTGGCAGAGTACCTGTAGCTTAAAGTAGTAGTGCCAAAACCTTACAAGTCTTCTTTCAGGACGGTGAGGCCTTCGGCTGCACGGTGCGTTGGCAGCTATCCGTGTTAGCAAGGTCGGGCTGCCGCCTCAACACGCCAGGTCGTTTGAAACCTCAAAGGAAGCGAGAAGGAGCCGGAATCCTGACCGATGAGGTTAAGTTGAGCGACTGGAGGTCGTGCGTCGAAGCTTTGTGCTTCTAGTATGACGTTTGAGACTGGGTACGAGGTCAATGGCGGTCTGAATTAATTTTACCCTAGAATGCTCCTGGTAGTCCAGGAAACGGTCGCAGCAGCGATGGCCGGATTCCTTTGAACTCTGGTAAACCCGCAACGCGTCCAAGGCAAGGGCAGCTGCACATGGCGTTGTAATCGATAAAGCTATCGAATGGAGTGCACGATCCAGTGCTGTTAGGATCAATCTGCAGATGTCATGCTGCGTTTGCATTGCAGCTTGCATTGCATAGCGCGCACCCAGTCAATTGGTGCCGAGGCCTTCAGCCTTAAGGCCCGCGCCACGATCGTGTTTGAGTTCTCCACATGCAAAGCTAAGGTGTGGTTCTTGACTCTTTAAAGGTTGCCCACCCTTACAAACTCGCAGAGAAAAACGAATTCGAGATCCAAGCTGCTGCGAATGTCGTTTGGTGACGCGCCGTGCCTGGAGCAGCCTTGCAGACGCGACTCGATCCGCAGGTTCCTGATTTAGCCGGGCGTCATACTGAGCTAAAGGGCTGTCTGCGCTGGCCATCCAGCGAACCTGATAACTCACCTGCTCGGCGAAGTGGCAACACGATTGGCAAGCACTGCGACGACAAACAGTATGGCGACAAGACTGTGCTGTTTGAAACAACGAGGTTGGTGAATCGCAAAGAAAGAATGACATCAGAAGTGCACGGACTGCGAAAAAGCATAGACAGAAAGAGCAATCAAGAAGGACGAAATGAAAAGGAAGGGATGCCGCACCATGCTCAGGCGTGACCACCGTGGCATCCGACCGCTTCAGCGACCTACCCTGGTGTACGTGGCGATGCGGCGAGAGATGATATCAATGCTGTGGTGATCATCATCATCATCATCATCATCATCGTCGTCGTCATCGAAGGGTTGCAAAAGGGAGCCGTGGAGGCAGCAGCTTGTCGTGGAATTGTGGTGAGAAGTGTCTGGTGGAGGCCGATGGGCAGGTGCCCGAGTGAGCCTTCCTACCCGGCCAGTATGACGCAAGTTTTGCGCTGAAAGCAGCCGCGTCCCAAACACTCGTCTGCACCTTGCACTGGAACAAAGCATCGCAAAGAATGGTGCAAATGAGACGATATCGTACATTGGAGCTATCGACTCGACTGCCTTGACGGGTAGTAGAAGGCAGACAATGGCATGCGCAGCCATTGAATCAATAAGGGTAGTCGCTAAATGAAGAGAACCGCCACCCGTGCTATTCCCAATGCGAATCATTAATAAAGAGTAAAGATGCGGACAGACGTGACAAGAGGAGGAGCGACCCAGGAAACTCTACTGTCTACAAGATTGAACGTATGTAATTTTTGTTTTTGGGAGGAGAAAAGATGGAAAGTACTGTTGATCAGCACATGTAAGTCTTTTGTTGTTCGATATCCATCTCAAAACGACTTTTGTCGGTTGAACCACTCATGGGTCGCTCAGACAGAGGACTGTCATATTGCAATGGAGCTGCGGTGCCAGGCCGCGATTCGTTGATGACACGAGCCGGTCCGCGCGAGTCCATCTCGACCTGATCGACGATCGGCGTGAATTTCTCCCTTCTCCTGCCGTGGTCAGACCCATTGGCGTACTTCGAGGCTTGCGCTCGTGCACGTGTACGGAACAGTAGTGGTTTGAGAGCAGGTATACAACCACAGATCACACCTACGTTGGTCTCAATGGCAGTCCAGATCCAGATGTTGTAGCCCTCCCAGGTGGCATCATATGTCTCGAAGAGGGTGTAGTGGATCCAGTACGCTCGGAAACTACCAGCTACGACGATGACACCTCCTACAGAGAAAAGAACCACGAGACCGATGCGCTGGTTCCATGGTAGCGAGAGCGTGAAGAGTGTCGGGATTGGTAAGGCGTAAATCATGAAGTCAGTGACTACGTTTAGAGTGCTTTGTACCATCAAGGGCGGCCCTTCCGGGATGCAGTCTCGGTGGTCTGCAGTAAGCTCCCAATAGCTGGAGATGGGACTGAAATTGTCAGCACCCGATAGAGTTCACAAGGAAAGAGCAACGTACATGCATTGCACCCACAGTGCCACGATGAAGACAACGAACGCGGCGAACACCAGAGCGAATGTGCCCCAAACAAGCTTACGGAAAAGCGACTTATCGGGTGCGATGCGAAAATACGATACAAGGATAGACATCTTGACGGTGCTCGAAGCAAGGACGAATAAGGTCTGACCAGCCATCGACGCCTGTAAAAACCGTTAGAACGCCAGTTCGGTTACACACGTCGTACAAGGTCGTACCTTTCTCCCAGTCGATAGTTCGGGGAGTTTCATGTCCCACACATGCTTATCCCAGCCGTACATCTGTGTCGCCATGATGACCAGCACTGTGGTTCCGATGGAGAAGACCTGTTGTTCGTTGGCATCGCCACTCGGTGACCCCGACTCTCGGTACGTACCATAGCAGCAACCATGAGGTAGTCATCCCACCAGCTCTTCTTCAGCCACACAATCCGGACGTACAGTCTCAAGAAGACGATAATCATGGCGATGGGCAATAGTGTGAGCTCGACCACCATTAAGGCGGGACCACGCGTGACGGGGTCGATGTAGTTTGGCTTTGGCCATGTTGCAATGACCTCGGGCGGTGCGGACCTCATGGTGATGAAGAGGCAGTGGATCTGAAGCACTGGGAGTGTGCTTCAATCGAGTCCAGGTTGTGAATGAAAATGGAGCATCACAATCATGCAAAGGCACGGGACAGGCAGGGCAGATATATCCTGTTCGAGTCCAGGGCGAGTCTGTACTCAAGCCATATTCAGCTACGCCGTACTAGGATTGATCCACCACGGATTCGCCATGGCTGAGGGGGCATTGCAGACAGGCCTCTTTGAGGTACGACTGGATTACTCGCATGGCAGCCATGGAGCGCTCCGTTGCGGGTACTGGATAACAAGCCGCTCCGCTCGCAGGGGTCCAGGTACATGAAATTCGCCTTCAGCGCGCCTGGGCCGTGACTTGCCAGTACAAAATGTAAGTCAGAGTTCTGGCCAGTACGACGCGAGCTGTGGTGGATCCAAAGAGAGTCAGGTACAGGCAACGTCGTTGATGCCGACTGTCGTTGGACAGAATGCTGACTTAGATTCATGATGCGCTGGCCAATGAGGCGGTGTAGACAGGGTTGAGCTGAGATCCGTTCCGCATCGAGACGCCGACACTATCTCGCACGCAACGTGATTTGGGGAGCGCCATATGAGCCGATACTTTGGTCAACTAAGGGCGCGACCCATATTATCCATCTCGCTCAACAACAGAGTTTTGAGGAGCACAGCGTAACGCGTCTGTCGCGTGGGAGGTCGTTGACACCCTGGTCCTCGTGCGGGAAGTTTTCGAGTTTGCCACTTTCGACATAGCAGCTCGGGAAGCCGGCCAATCAAATGTGGGGCTTGGACGATCCCCAGGGACTTGGTCAACTTTGTGCAACGAGTTGCATCGCAGCATCACGCTCCAATGTGATATACACCCAAAACGGGTCAACGCGATGGCGGAAGCGAACTATGGGGAAGCGCTCAATTGTCCCCGCTCTCCTCGTGGCGACAAATCCGGCCGATTTCCAGGCCTCCTTGGTCCTCGTCCTCGGACCGTATCTGTCTTTCGTGACGTCCTATCCCGGTACGACTTGCCCATTGCTCAATGTCAGCTCGTGCTCCTTTGCACCAGAGAAGCCACAAACAGTGAAAGTTGTCAGCTTTGTTGACCCTGAGGTACGATCTGAGAGATGCTGATGTCCCGTTTTAGCATGACATAGCCTGACAGCACGCAGGTACCACCTATGATACGCCTCGGACCCCAGCATCATTGCACTATGCATTCCATGTAAGCTGGGTACGAGAAGTAGTCAGCCAAATTGATCAGGTCCAAGACGCCATTCAATACCGACTGAGCCGTCTCCCCCGCCCTCAACGTGTTGGCCGTTGGGGCCGCACTCACGCACTGCAGTAGCGGGCTTACCCTCGGTCAAAGCGCATCTCCAACGTTCTTTTGTTCACCGTTGTGCACACGACGCGTTCGCAGGCTGGAAGTAAACCGGGGTTGCTTGTTGAATTTCCCCTAAGCCGTGCGGGCTATCGATGACTGCCACAACACCACGCTGTTCCCGATAGTACTGCTATCAGCTTATCGCTATCGACCTGGCGCAGGCCCAGAATGTGGAGCAGGCTGTTAGAAGATGAACGAGGTCGTTGCCGACGGCGTGATGACTGAGCTTCACCCGCTTTTTAATCTCAGTCACATCGGCATATGTTCCCATTGGGCATTCAGAATATCCCAGCGGATCCAGAACTGTTGGGAACTCACCTCGTCGTGAAGCACACCGGCTACATAGCAGATCAACGGCGTTGCAACTTGCCGGGACAGGTTCTAGACGAGACGATGATGCGAACATACGTGCCTGCTGGCCGTCCATGTCACACCATTCGTAGATGTGGACGAACGATCTTGTCGCAACCCTCTGCAGCTACCCTCAATCACACTCTCAATCACACTCTCAATCAGCACGGCAAGTTGAAGGCCCTGGCTGGTCTGGGTTTCTCAGTCGCAGCTGCGACAGCTCTAGCAGAGATCTTCAGAATGGATACACGACTAACTCTCGAGTACTGAGGGACTGCAACAATAATCGGCAACCCTGGTATTGGCAAACGTTTTAGAAAGTGCTCGCTCGATCGTGTTCATGGCAGACTTCCGCACCATGAAGGAGACGAGTTGAAACATGGAAGATTTCTTCCCGAAGGACCTTTGTTCGACTAGCTACTTCGTGACGAGGTCCACATCCCCCATCGCTGCTTACCATCTCACAAGCTTCACAAGCTATAGAGACTGTCCATACGCAAAATCTACGCTTGTGGCCAGACAACTTCGTCGTCCTCAAATGCCACTTGTCTGATTTTTAACGCTTGGGCATAGCTCAGTTCGTAAATGTCGAGTACTTGCAAGGCGCAACTGTATTCGGGTACAAACAAACAACACTCAAATCATGGGACGCAATCAAGTCACGTCTGCCTTCCGCTTTGTCACTTTATCGGATGTTGAAAGGCTACAGGTAAGCCTGGTGAACGTTGTCTAAAGACCTCCAGGTTGAATTCAGGCACGTGCATGGAGATGGCTGTGGTGGCGCCTGCATGCATGATCCCGCGGTCTGCAGGGCTGTGCAGCTCTAAAACCAGCCTCATCTAACATTGCTGCTGCACTGAGCATCTTGCACACATTGCACTTGCACCAACGTGGAGATCATGTTGTACCGTTACACACCCCTCCGAAATCCTGAACTGGACATACGATTGCTGCAACTGCAACCAGGTCAATTCGATGATCCTATAGAGATCGTCCTGCATCCTGCTCATTTGCCGGACACAACATCTGCACGAGCCACGCGGGAACTCACATTGAAAGAACTGTAAAAGACCTTACTAGAAAATCAGTGGGTGAAGGAGACCAGGGAAGGTCGTCTCTTCTTCTACGGGAAGGAGCTGGGTACCTTCTGGCATCACCCTGGCCCACACTTCCCTCGTGAGTTGTACGATTCTCTAGTTGATTCAGACGACCAGCCATCCAACCTGGACTTCAAAGCTTTGTCCTATGCCTGGGGGAGCACAGATACTCCTCAAGCCGAGCTTGTTATGAGCAGTACCAGCTCCAATTACAATTCTGGCACACTAGGCGTACAACGGAATCTGTATGAAGCATTGCGATATCTTCACTTTCCGACTAAACGCCAAACATTATGGATGAACGCGATATGCATCAACCAAGAAGATTTGGACGAGATGAACAAGCAAATCAAACGAATGAAGAGCCTTTACGAAATCGCGCGTCATGTTGTTGTTTGGCTCGGTCCAAGTTCAGATAACAGCGATCTTGAATGTTTGACGTTGTCACGTTAGGCGCACAGATGGTTCAGACGAGAGATGCAGATATCTGTCTCCACCCGGCAGATACTGAGATGAGTTGGTTCCGTGATAATCTTTCTCTACCTTTCGGTGGACCGACATATCAGGTGATAGACGACTTGATAAGGCGGCCATGGTTCGCGCGCTTTTAGGTCTGGCAAGAGGCTGTTCTGTCAGACGATCGCCCCTCCATTCAATGTGGGGATATTCAAATCCCCTGGGTCCAGTTTCGCACCGAAATCGCAAGACTATGTGCAACGACAATCCAGTTCTTTTTTCACAAGTGGCAGGCCGAATTCGTGGGCAGCTGACAGGATATAAACGAGCTTGTCCATTCTATGACCTGACAATCGGCACTACCCTACGCCTCTGCACAGACCTAAGACCGGATGTACGCACCGCTGGGCATTGCACCATTAGAGTACTCTCGAGCTATATCAGTTGACTATTCGCAGCCAGTTGCGCAAGTCTACAAAGACGCTTTTGTCACTTACGTTCAGGCGTTCAGAGATCTGGCTCTGCTCACCATTGTTCGCCATCAAACAGAAACTACAGCATCCCCTCCTGGGTCCCAGATTGGACCTCGATATCAAACCAGCCTTGGCCAATGGGAGCCCACTTTTCGAGCGCTCAATCAGCTGCGCACGCAAACTTCGTCTGTCCTAATACACTCACTGTTCACGGAGTGCGCTGTACCATCGTCAAGAGCGTTGGACCAACGTGTGATTGGGGCGATTCGACTAGAAAGAGTGTCTCCACATTTTCAACAAAGTTCGATCCTGGTTGTCGAAATACATAGAGGAAGGCAACTATGTGACCGGAGAGGCCAAGTTTCATGCGTACATACACACCGTAACCGTTGACAAAGTCGGGGACTTCTGTAGGAATCACAACGCTAAGGCCGCTGATGTTTACAATGACTTCTGGGACATTGTACGTCCGCATGATGGCACTCACGAGGCGGAGTTCGGTTTGGACAATCCCTTCATTACCGAACTGGTAACAGCGTGTCGAGGCCACTGCTTCTTCAAGACAAAAGAGGGCTACTTCGGCCTAGTACGTCCACGGTCTCGATCGTTCCGAAGATCTTCTAGGGCCCATCCCACAACCTTGGCAATGGGAACTGGCTTAGGTATCGAATGACTGGACCTGGCTTCAGACGTTTCGACACGCAACGATTGGGGCGTTGACCGATGATGATCCTACGCTTAGCAACCTACCCGAAGATTGGGGTAAGATCCGAAGCTGGGATCCTGTAGACAGACAGATGCCTTTGTTCCGAAATGATCGTACCGCAGAAGAGATGAAGTTTGATACTAGACTTTGGCCTGAGGAACTGAACAAGAACGGCGTCAAACTACAGGAGTTCGCACTGGTGCGATATGAATCAATTCATTATCGGGCGTTTGGGACGGCACTCCACAAGCACCAACCTCCTGGTGGCTACTGAATTTCGTGGTTCACGCCGTTCGACATCACCATCTTAGCCTTCGAGACGCCCAGGACGTTACGCATCACCTCAGGCAATCGCGTAGACCCATCTCCACTGCTCACCGATCTTCAAGCCACGAAGAAATCCGGGCGAACAAGCACACAACAGTCCTCCTCGATACCAACCTTCCCCTCCCAGTCGAGGTACACATCTTCCCACTCAAATCCGATGCCAATACTCACGACCTTGACCTTAACACCAAGGTTGCTTTCCACCGTATCAGCGGCCTTCCGCCAGCCACCACCTCCGATACCTGTCAGCAGAGTAAAGCCGCCCCTTCCAGCAACATCCAGCGTCGATAACAGCTTTCCAGGAACGCGACTGCCAAACCAGACATGTGAAGTGCGCCTTCCAGGATACGTGGAGGGGCCATGGAATCAATACGGGTCCTTCTGCTCTCTTGGTCCAGACCGATACACATCAGCCTCATCCCCAGTATAGACAGCTGATGAAGCATACAACTGGTTCATTGCTGTGCCCAAAGCCTGCGCCTCGCTCTGCATGTGCCTGACCTTCTCACGCAGAATTCTTCTAGCTTCTCTTCTTGGTGCTTTGCAAAAGTATTGGGTCCCCCTCCTTTGGGAAATAACTATGTCCATATAGGCAATTATGGGAAGAGGAGGGGGCGGATACGTGATGTGGGTATCGAATTAATTGCCTTGTCAAGCTGAGTATGCTGGTGATGCTTGTAGATGGATGCACGTTAAGGAACAGCCAAAATTGAGGAGAAGAATAGTGGTGGAGAGGGAAGAAATTAGACAGAGCGGTGACGTTGACCTGACCTCTGCTATGTCCGTGGCTTCCGAGTGGTGGTGAAGGTCTGGTTCAGGGTCTAGCACGTGGAGAAGCCCACATATATATCCTCCGATCAAGCCACTGATCCCTCCCTACTTCGAGTTCTTGGTATGCTCTTCTTGAGCTACCAAACAAAGGGGGTCCCTAGACTTTTGCAAAGCATAATCCTGCCTGCGCATCCTGCTTTGAGGGTTCTTTGGCCTTCCTACGCTTTTCATTAGAAGCACCGTATGGCTGCAGCCCCAGCGCGAACCAGACTTCTGCGTGGCTGTGCAGGGTATTGTTCGAGTCTAGTACCAATTTGGAGGCGACAGGTTAGCGCTCGGTGTTGTATGTTTCAAGCAGCGAGGGAGGTGTAAGACCCTGCAGTACAAGCGCGATCTTCCAGGATAGGTTGAAGGAGTCTTGAATGCCAGCGTTAGAGCCCAGGCCGAGAGTGAGGGGGTGTCGGTGGATCGCGTCACCCAAGCAGTAGACGTTGCCTTTGGAGATGCCATCGGCACTCGTCTCGTTGATCATCCAACTAGCCACGTGAAGGACTTCGACGGCGACCTTGGGGCCACCGATCAGGTCTAATACGATATCTTTCCACTCCTCAGTGCTGTACTTCGAGATTGTCACTCCGGGACCTTGGGTACAACAACGAATATCCTACTGTTGTGTTAGTAACGACTTTTCTCAAGATGTCTCGCAAAGTATGTCCAACGCCGTGCATCATACGAGTGAGACATCCAGCTGGCACTAAGCAGCCACCCGTGACTGTCGAAAAGATAACGGTATGACTCCCACCTCACTCAACGGCGTCACCACAGTCACTAGAAGTACAAGCCTGAGGACCTTCCACAATTTTAGTCCGAAAAAGCGCAAGAGAGAACATAATATCGGCAAAGACCTACCGTCCAAGCTGTTCGTCCACACTTCCTGACTCAACCGAGGAAGGCTCTTCGCTGACGATGCGAACTAGGAAGAAGAGCAACAGTCACACACGGCGCAGAGCGCGTCCAGGAAACGCAGGAAGGCGATTGAGAAGGAAGCAGCTAGAATGGAGGAAGCAATGAAGGAGACGGCGTTGGTGGACGAGCTGAAGAAAGAGAAGGAGGCTTTGGCTTGCCACAAGTTGGTGGAGAAGGAGCAGAACACACTTGATGATGATGAGGAAGGAGAGGAAGGAATTAATACGGGGGGGGGGGGGGAAGGAGGAACATGAAGTCGTAGCAGACTTGTTTGCAAAGTTCAAGGAGGCGCGTGAGAAAGCGGGGAGATCTTTTGAAGATGGACGAACTCTTATCTACATAACAACGGGGGTATAACAACATCTCTTGCCACTCTTCCCTTGCTCTGGACATGTCCCAAGCCCTACACACCACCGACATTCTTCTTCTTCTTAACCGCCCTCATCCTCTCCATCGTCCCCTCCCTCCCACTCTCCCTCCCAACCTCGAGCACAATCATCCTCACAAAATCCCTACTCAGCCAATAACTACTATGCGCGCCGAGCATAGTAAGATACTGAATCTCCAGCGCGCCTCCGCCATACTTCATAAAGTAGTCAATCTGGCCGTTATCATTGAGTAAATACACTCTTTTCTCCGCAACCTCCTCGCGCGTAAAATTGTGCGTTTCGAGCTCTACATTGCTCGGGAGGCGGACAGCAGTGGGCTTTTGCAGGGTCGTGGAGCTGTCGACGCGCCGAAAGGGGTTGGCGAAGGAGAAGTAGCTTGAGGAAGAGGAGGGGATGGTGGCGGGTTTTAGCATCTCGGCGTAGGAGGCATCGACGGTGGCGTTGATGCGCATTGCGACGGGATCGTACGGGTTGATGATATTGTAGATGTTGTCGACGGCTATGCAACCGTATGTGCCTTGCGAGCCGGCGACACCGGGGGTAGCGTAGGAGTCGGCGCCGGGTTTCTCTTTGTCGTGGCGGGGGAGCAGGGTTGCATTCTTCATTAGCAAAAATAGGGCGGCAGGGCTGCCGCAGACGAAGAGGTCGGTTGTGTTGAAGATGAAGTGGTCTTTGGGTAGGTCGGACGTAGGCGATGTAGGGTCGGTTGAGCCGGGGTCCACGTGACTGGGCTGGTTGCTGAGGATGTCGATGGCCATTACCGAGCCAAGGGAGTGCGCGACAAGGTGGACTCTGCCGTACTTCTCAAAACCTGGGTTGTTGGCGCACCATAGTCGATAGATACGGTTCGCTTCTTGTATACATGCGGCGACCATCGTAGGGTTGTGCTGCGGCGATAGGTAGTACGGAACATCGAGCATGACGTCGCTGATGATACCACGGATCGAGGGTAGTGTGACTGGCGTAATGTCCTTAAGGGTGTACTTGTTGGCTGCAGGATCCTCGGCCTCCGTGAGGTCAGCACCAGTCTCAAGCGATACACGTTGTCGCCAGTTGACCTAGTGGAAGTGAGCATACTGTCTCTTGAGAGATCGTCATATGTTGGAACCTACCGGCAGCACCATGACGCCACCCATATCCTTCCGCAAGTGGCGCTTAACATCTGGTGTCCCCAGCTCGACGTTCACTTCACGTCTGAAAGAGTTCATTGCGTGTGTGAAGTGAAACGTCTCCATACGTTCAGACAGCTTCTGCCCGATACCATGGATGACCAGCACAAGATCCGTGACTCGTGGGCGCTCAGACATCGCGAGCTCAGGGTCCGACTTCAGCCTACGATACGCTGGTGTACCGGATTGAGCAGTCGACGCGCCCTGATACGCTTTCTGGGAAGTAGAATCCAACTTGCTTGGATGCAGCTTGTCCCAAATTGCCTGATCGAAGCCTCGCACTACACACACACCAATGTTTCTACCCTTTCGGATGTAGTTTGCTAATGGGCGTCGACCGTAGTAGTCTGATGGCTGTAGAGTCGGCTTCAGGATGTATGCCTCCTTGTCGTTAGCGTAGATGACGCCAGCTTTGAGGTAGAGCTGCTTGTAGCCTGCCGCACCGTATTCGAGATCTCCTGCTGCTTTGTTGTCTGGCCCATCTGGACCATTTGAGATGTCAACGCGATCACATGCGTTCTCGACTATGTCTAGTCGCTCCTGCTCCGGACTATCCTGTTCCTCTGGAAGAGTGCTCTGTACCAAGCCTGTTGTCTGCATCTGCTGCGAAGTGGAGGGTCTGCTATCTGAAGTTACTAGCTTGTCAGGCCACAGCTTGTGCACAACTTTCATCTCGCCGAGCGCTCCAACTTCGACCGCGCTGCTGAGCTCATCTTTCCATGTTTGCGTCCAAGGCTGCAGATCCACATATCCAGCTTCGAGCATGTTCGCAACCTCGACCTCTACCGGCATCATTGAGTCTTTGTAGAACCAAGTTCCTCGTATGATCCGAGAGATGTCGCTGAGAGGTGACCAATAGATAGGTTCCATTCGTATCGATTCTGCGTCCATGACCACGTGGTGCAGCCTCGACACGCCCACAGGTACCTTGACAGAGGGCCCATCCTGAGGTTTGGAGGGTGTCCTTGCTGGACCTTTGTTCTTGCCGCTTGACAGCGCCGGCTCCATATCATCGTCCCATCTGTAGCTGTCCACCTCGTGTATTGTTGGCCGACTGCCGCCCTCTCCCAGTGCTGGCTTCCATGCCTTGGCAACATTGGTACGCGAGGGTGCTCGAATGAACGGCGTTCCTGTAGTTGTAGGACCTGACGTGGGCGATGCTTGACTTGGATCAAGCGCCTTCATCGATTGCACCAATGTTGCGCTTTGACTGCCACCGCTGGAGCTAGCTCGTCCGCGCGAGAACAGCTCGGCAGACCGAGAATACTGTCCACTACTGTTTGATCTTCCCAGAGGTATGTCTCTGCCTTTCGGGCTATCCCCTTCCCTGGGTGCACTGCCAGCTCTTCTCCGCTTCAGACGAGCAACCGCCGGGTTGGTCGGTGTGCCTGGCTCCTGTCCATCCTTCTTCTCGCCCAGCTCCTCATTGTGCTGCAATATCTTCTTCCTTACCTCCAGCCATGATTTGTTGACGGCATCGTTGTCGTACTCTGAGAAGGGGCGGGGAAGCTGCTTCTTTGCAGCCGCCGCTGCACCCGTCACTGGCGGAGGTATGGGCGAGAGCGGATCGTCGATAGCGAGCGGTGACGTGTAGAAATAGCGAACAGGTATTTCAGTGGGTGCTTGGACCGAGTGAAGGACTTCGCGAATGTACTGGTTCGCGTGGGAAGACATGGCTGGCTCCCTGTTGCTCATGATGGCGGATGTCCAGACTGAAACAACTGACGCAAGTAGCTTCGAATCTGCAGGGCTGTGGTCATATTATTTCGCCATGAATGTGTATCTTACGTGTCCTCATGATGTATGGAAGAGGCAAGTCAAAGACGAGTGAAGATGGTAGCCTGGGGCAGGCGTGCTTTCGTCGCGCGTGTTTTTCGAAGTCACTGAAGCTCTGACGCAATCCTCTCGCTAAAAGTGACGCCTGAGCATGTGCATCGAGGCCATCCTTGCCAGCTCCTTCACGGTCTTATCGATAGGCTATTGAGCCTCTGCAACGCTTATGCTTGAAACATCAGCCTGCATAATCGCACAGCCGCATCCATTCCGCCGTCACCCGGCTCCATCGACCCGATCGAGGTGATGCTCGATGCGAGCATTACACAACATCATGGTCTCAGAGGAATGGCCGTACAGTAAAGTGGGAACAGTACAGAGATATCTTACTTTGTTTGATTCTCATGGCTAGAAACTATATACAGGTTCACATGATCATATCTTCATTTTCATACCGACAAACGCTTAACCGAACAGAACGTCACCAAGACGGATCGACACGGTCTTGGTCTGGACGTAGTTGTCTAGAGCAGCCTCACCCAACTCACGGCCCATACCAGACTCCTTATAACCACCGAAGGGGAGCTGCCAGTGGAGAGTGTTGTAGGTGTTGACCCAGACGGTGCCAGCGCGGAGCGCGTTGGCAACCTCAATGGCGGTGTTGAGGTTGGTGGTGTGGACAGCGGCGGCCAAGCCGTAGTTTGAGTTGTTGCCAATCTTGATGACATCGGCCTTGGTCTTAAACTTGGAAATTGTGCAGACGGGGCCGAAGATCTCTTCTTGCTGGATCTTCATGTCCTCAGTAACGTTGGAGAAGATGGTAGGCTCAATGAAGTAACCCTTGTCACCCTTGCGCTTACCACCGGTCTCAACGGTGGCACCGGCCTTCTTGCCCTCCTCAATGTAGGACATGATGCGGTCGAACTGAAGCTGAGAGACCTGGGGACCCTGGAAGGTATCCTCCTTGAATGGGTCACCGACAGCGTTCTGAGCAGCGCGCTCCCTGAATCGCTCAATGAACTTGTCGTAAATCTCCTCCTGAACGTAGATACGCGAACCGGCGCAGCAGCACTGTCCGTGGTTGAAGTAGATACCGAAGTTGACCCAGTTGATGGCCTCGTCGATATCGGCATCGGCGAAGACGATGTTGGGGGACTTGCCACCAAGCTCGAGAGTAACCTTCTTCAAGTTGGAGCCAGCAGCAGCCTTCATGATCTGGCGACCGATAACGGTGGAACCAGTGAAGGCAATCTTGTCAATGCCCATGTGCGCGGACATGGCAGCACCAGCGACCTTACCGAGACCAGTAATGACGTTGATGACACCTGGAGGGAAACCAGCCTTCTGAATGAGTGTGCAGGCAATGTAGGCGGAGAGAGGAGTCTGCTCAGCGGTCTTCAGTACGACCGTGTTACCGGTAGCAATGGCGGGGCCAATCTTCCATGACCACATGAGCAGTGGGAAGTTCCAGGGAATGATCTGACCACAAACACCGATCTATGGAGGTCAGAAGAGTTCAGCAAGTGCAAATGGATGAGACTTACAGGCTCCTTGCGGATGTAGTTGAATGTGTCGGGTGTTGTGTCGACGACCTTACCCTCGATCTTGTCGGCCCAACCTCCGTAGTACCTCAAGCAACCAGCGGCAGCGGGTACGTCAACGTTCTTGGCCATGGTGAAGGCCTTGCCGTTATCGAGAGCCTCGACGGCAGCAAGAAGGTCGACGTTCTCGAGGAACAGGTCGGCAAGCTTGACAAGAAGTTTTCCACGGTTCTCGGGTGTCTCCTTTCTCCATGGGCCGTTGAATGCCTTGCGGGCAGCCTCAACAGCGATATCGACATCCTTCTCGGACGCCTCCTGGACGCTTGTGATAACCTCTTCTGTGGAAGGGTTGATGACCTCGAATGTCTTGCCGTCAACAGACTTGACAAACTCGTTGTTGATGAAGCTGTCCCACGTGTAAGTAGCCGAAAATTATAGTGGATCTTCCCGAAGACCGGGAGTTGAATAGAGCCAACTTACAGACCAGTAGGCTGGTCGTACTCGCCCGTCTGGGGAGTCTTGAGCTTCACTGAAACGTCAGACATAATGTGGGGTATCAGAGGAAACAAATGTGAGTGAGGACTGATTGAACAGAAGAGGGGTAGACAATCTTAAGTACTTGCCGCCACGACAGCACGAAAGGAAGTCTCCACCGCACGAGCACCAATATGGAGGATCGCCCAGACAGCCTCGGCCATCAGGAGCCCGTCTCGAGCAAGCTCGCGGCGCTATCGCAGCATTGATCGTGCGTGTCGAGTAGCGCTTGTTGCTGCGGCATGGAGCTCCTGCCCCGCTCTTCTGGCTATCGGCGTGCTACCGTGCCCGCAACGCGCACGGGCACGCAACGCGCGCCTCACCACTTTCACAGGCGCGTCGAAAATGAGGCTGTACAACCACATAAAATAGTTGTTATTGCAAGAAATTTTGATGGAGTACTCTATAGACCTATATGACAAACCCCTTTCATATAAAACGTGCAGGCAGAGTTAGACTGGCAGATGGGTAGGGGGTACCCAGGGGTTGGGTAGGGGTTAGGTTGGGGTAACTCTAGCGTGGGTAGGGGTTGGGTTGCTAAGTCATCAGGTTGGGTTGAGGTTGGGTTGCTGAGTAATTGTGTTAGGTTATGTTATAGAGGTACCTTATTAGGTTATCACAGCTTTTTATCATCCAATCTTGACCTAACCCAATGACTCAGCAACCCAACCCTGACCTAACCCCTACCCATTTGCCAGCCTAGGACTGGGTGACTACGTGCAGCAGCAGCAGCAGCACCATGCTCCTTAGTTGTTTTTGACTGAATTGACTTGAAGCCTTGCGCTTGCCTCTTTGTGGCAATTGTATAGCTCTTTGAGCATCACAAGCTTGTGCTGAAGTTGTACTTTAAGCAAAGCTCGTAAGCACTATTTGATTGGTTCTCGAGGATGAACTCTGGCTCTGGAACAGTAGGGGTAAGTCGCCTGGGTGAAACACCTAATGACGGCTTGGGGTAACGATGAGTAGTACAGGCAATCTGTCTAGCTCGAAGGTTGGTTGAGATCCAATGTGTGAGAGGGGGCCAGGTGGGGATACCAACTGCTCTCTGAGATGGAAGGATTGGTGGAAGGATGGTTCAGGCTTGTTGGAGATAAGGGTGTAGAGGAGACCAAGTGTGGGGATACCACAAGTGGTAAAAAGGATAAGTGATAAAGAAGGGATCAAGTGTGGGAATACCACAAAGGATCAGTGAGGAGTGAGTTGAGGAAGGAATTGTTGAGGTGAATTGAAGGAGTGGATTGAGTTTTGAATTGCAAGCATGAGTTATCTGAGCAGGAGGGCAGGCTGCCTTTATAGACAGACTGCTGGCTCCTGGAATGTTCTAGATACATTGGCATTTGTAATCATTTGTAATCATTTGTCAGCATTTGTCAGCAACTGGAAGATTCTGTGTTGTTCCATGGGATTCCATGATGTTCCATGAGGTTCCATGAGGTTCCATGATGTTCCATGAGGTTCCATGATGTTCCATGGGATTCCATGGGGTTCCATGAGGTTCCATGGGATTCCATGAGGTTCCATGATGTTCCATGAGGTTCCATGATGTTCCATGGGATTCCATGAGGTTCCATGAGGTTCCATGATGTTCCATGAGGTTCCATGATGTTCCATGAGGTTCCATGATGTTCCATGGGATTCCATGAGGTTCCATGAGGTTCCATGATGTTCCATGAGGTGTGACTGGGTGGATTGTTATTGGCTGCAAGCCATGTCAGGATGACACAATGACAAACTTAATTGACGAGGTTGAACACGAACCATAAGGGTTGTGTTCCTACACATATATATACAGTCCACCAGATCTGCTCGTTGACAAGCAGAGTCGGTCCTGGCCAATCCGGATGGATTGCGGTTCGTCAACGAGCATCGTACCATGTTTGTTGACGAGCATCACATCATGTTCGTTGACGAGCATTCACGTGACATTGTTCGTTGACGAGCTCCGTCACGTGTGTCAGCTCGGCTGAGAGCAATCCCCTAGGCGCCAGCTGGGCGGCCTTGCCTTGCTGCACCTTCCCCCAGGCCTCCGTGTTTGGTTGGCGGTTACTTATTGCTTGTCGTCCTATCGTGGGACGTAGGATCGTAACAGCTTGTGTCAAGACTCAGGTCCGGCCCACTGAGCCAAGCAAGCCAAAAGGTATCACGGCTCACTCTAATGGTGAGCCCTAGCTGGAACAGTACTATATCATCAGCCAGGCCTGACAATATCCCCCTGCTTAGGGTGTGTTTGCCCTGAGCACCCAGTACTGGACCTTCCAGCAGCTCTCAGCACATCAGTGGCTCACGTTGGCTCATATTGGCCCACGTGACCCTGCCTCAGTGTAACAATGCAGAGCCCCATTGCGCCAAATGGCCAAAAAGTACATCAATATCAGCAGAACTGCTGATATTGGGCTCTGCATCTAATATATAGGTATAGTGCAAGGCACCTCCTTACAAATAGCTTATCAAATGCTCTCTTGTTCCTGCCAGTGATTCTGTAATGGATGAGCGCCCTGCCCTCGATATCACTACTACATGACATCTCCAAGTTATACCAAAAGGTAAGCACAAGAATACTTAAGCAAGTATTCTTTGTGTAGTATAATACATATAGTGCCAGCCAGCTAGCTTTGCCTCTAGCTGCTGTAAGCTAGTCTGCCCCACAGCCTTGCTGTGTGCAGAGTCGTTACAGATTTCAATCATGAAGCCCTTCTCATCTATATTGTATGTGTTCTTAGGCTAGAGGTCATACTTGGTCATCTTCTGGTGCAAAAGCTCAAAGTATTTGCTGTACCTTGCACTAAAATTGGCCTTGTGATGAGCTGTTTCTATTGGCGCGGTCCAGGCTATAATGAGAGTGTCTTTGTGATGGCAGAGGAAGCAAGTAACCCAGCTCTCTGAGGGCTCTCATGCAGCTAGAGGAGTGACAAAATCAATAATCATCTGCCTTGTAGGCATAAAGTGTCTCTCAGTGAGTCCTCTGATGTACTGCACAACCTCTACCTTGTTGTGTGGGTGGAGTAGTCATTGTTTGAGTGCCTGGTCTTCTTTTGATGCAATTTTGCCTTTAAGTTGATGCATCAACATTGAGCACACTACACCATGTTTTTTTTTTTTGCTGACTTTGTATACAAAATATCTTCATCTTGATCTGCTGCCTCTGCCTCTGCAACAACATCCTTCACAGGCATTGTGGCGTTGAGCTAAAGTCGTTGGAAAATATGGGTTCTATTGAGCCGAGGCGCGCGTTTCATGACCGTGCGCGTTGCGAGCAGGGGCACGCTACCCCTCCCCCGCAATCCTGCATCGCGATGTCTTGTTGCCGCATGTAACCACGCCTAGGGTGGAGCTTGATCCTCTAATTTGGAATAGACAGACCTCTAGCAGACATGCTTGACCATGGAGTTGTTGCTGGTCGTTTCTGCACCTGCTGAACCACCTTTTTCGAGAATGCATAATTGCAGGCAGAAGCTCTGCGCCGCGCTCGCTCTCCAAGTTCGGAATTATCCACATCCCGAGCGTAGCCTTATCCACCTCAGAGCCACCGTACTAACACCAATATAGTAACCCTCTTGCCCTACCCCAGCACACTCGGCTTCCTTTCGAGCGAGCAGCGGGGACAGATGTCCAGAGGGTGGACGTCTGAAAGACCTTTCACGTCGGTGCTAGAGTAATCACGACATAACCCTAGTCACTCGAAAAGCAGTGTAGTCAATCCAAAAGTCAGGAGGTTTCAAGTCGAGCCTATCCGACCCGAAGTGGCTGTAACGGATGAACGCTCTATTACCCTAGCAAGCTGTCGTGACAGGTCCCTGAGCCTAGAGCTGGGCGGTACCGTAAGCTCCCAGCTGTTGATTACACGGGGAACAAGCTGATGAGGTGGGAGCTAACGAATGCTGGCGTCAGTTCTCCGCACAAAAGGCTGTACAGACACGAATAGGGAGTGTTGCATTTTGGTAGCCGGAACTTAGCTGCAAACGCCTTCCGAACCCTGAGCGTGGCGTGGCAGGTCATTGTTCGCAATTGCTCAATCTGGAGCCGAAAATTTTTGCTCAACACTGGGCAGAAAATGTTTTTGTAAGCTGGTGCAAGATGTTGGGTGCGGGGTCGTTCCGAGCATATGTGCATGTACGGAAAACTTCCGATGAGAGCAGTCTTGTCGCTGTCCTGTTTCAGCCTGCTGTTACTAGACTATCGCACGACCCCACTTGGGTCACATGTTGACCACGACTTGCGACTTGCTCCGCTTGAGCGTTCCGTTGCGCTTCGTTCCGGTTCCAACGCTGTCTCACAACCGCATCTCCGAGCCAGCGGTGTTAGCGTGGGTTGATCATGTTGAGGCAGCAATGGATGTTGCCGGCATTGCAACCAGCTGTGGAGAACCTCCTCTACACGATCAATCTACGCAAGCTTCGACATCGGCGATAGCGTGTTGTGCGACTGCAGTGGCGTATCTAGGTGAAGCAGTCTGCTTGACTGAACGATGATAGAGTTCACAGGATTGAGGACGTTGGAGATTGTAAGTATGTTCCGTTACTGCCATTCCTGTATTGGCTACCTAGAATTCGAAGGGAGCCGAATAGCAATCGCTCCTCGTATATTGTACAAAACCGAACTGGAGACCATACCGACCAGGTGTCAATCGCAATTTAAGGTGGTCGTATCGTTTGCATTCTAGAAAATAATGACGATTCCAAAGAAAGAACGGAAAGGAGGACCGGCGGTTTCGAGGTGTTTGTCAATTGTCGCTCGAAGTCGGATTAAACATGAAGAGAGGGGAACAAGTCGTCAAAAGCGCGGGAGGGTTTTGAGTCACTCAGAGCATCTCGTCGTCCATGGCAGTGTCGCCTCCTGCAGCAGCTGGGGCGGCCTCGGCACCGTTGGTGGCCATGGCATCGTTACCGCCCTCAGCGGTAGGGAAGTAGTCGGCCATCTCGGCATCAAGCTCCTCAATGGTCTTATTCTTCTGGCGCTCACGGCCGCCGCGGCCACGGCCACGTCCACGGGTACCCTCGCCGCGAGCCTTACCAGCAGCGGGAGTGGCCTTGGTAGCGGTTGCCGGCTTGGGCTTGTCCTTCTTCGGTTGTCTGAATGTGTAAGCAGATGCGAAAACGAATGCACCAAGGGAGAACATACGTGACACGGTCGGCAAGAGAAGACTGCTTGGTTGACGCGGGTACGTTCGCGGCGCTGACGAGAAGGTCGACGCGAATAGGGCGGTTGTCAATCTTGACGCCGTTCAGGGCAGTGGTGGCCTTGGAAGCCTGCTCAGCCCTGTTGAAGATGACGGTTGCGCTCCCAAGGCTTTTGCCGTTTGGTCCGTACTGCATCAGGATCTTCTTGGGCCTGCCAACGCCAACTGCGGAGGCAAAGTAGTCCTAGAAGGCGTATTAGTCGTCGTGGTAGGGTAGGTAATTCGTAGCAATAATGCATGACGCGCATGTCCGGGGCCGGCGTTCGTAATCGTCCTCTAATCCATATTTGGCAGTCGTACGACAACGCTTAGAAAGTTGGGATCGATATCCAGGTACAGCGAGAAGACCTTTCGGTCCAGACAATGCCGCCTGGAATGCCTAAGCAAACGCTGGGCTGTTGAGAAGTGCGTGACCATCACGCTGCAAGCCATTCCTGAGAGTGTTGCCGTGCCTCAATGATTGGAGCTCTCAGTATTCGAATGGCTCGACTTCTCGGTGCTTAGAGGCTTGCTGAATCAGGGCAAGCCTTACCAGGGCTGAGCCGTTGGCGCACATTGGTGTCTGTTTCTCAAGCTGTCTGCCTGTCGAGTCCCAACTTTCGTCGCGGAAGCACCTCAGGGTGTTCGCATGCTGCTAGTCTTATGCCAGATGTGTCTGCCAAACACTGATCTTGACGTGACTTCTTTGCAAGACATGACTCAACGACCGTGCCGAGGGCTCAAGGGGAAGTTCGATATCGTCGTTCGGACGCGGTCGCGCGCAAAATGCGACAAGAGTAGGTTCAAAGACCTGCAGCGGTCTTACATACCTGAAGTTGACCTTGCTCAACGTCCAACGGCTGAATGTGGTTAGCGGCGTTCGGCGCGTCATCCTAGAGAACAACATACCAAGTTGGAGATCATGATCTTGCTCTCACCACCAGTAGGGGCGGGGCCAGTAGGAGCCGCCTTGGGCTGCTTGGCCTGCTTTGTGGACTTCTTGACACCACCGACGGGAGCGGCGGTGGCAGAAGGGCGACCGGCATCAGAGCGACGGCCGCCGCGGCCCTTGCGAGCCGACTGCTTCCTCGAGCTGATGATTGACTCGAGGGACTGGTCCAAGCGTGATTCAGACATTGTGATAGTGATTGTAGATGGTGGTGTCGCTGTGATGGACGTGGAGGATGCGCTGAATTAATGCAGCGAACGCGACAAGGCTTGAGTCGCGGTGTGTTTGGGCAGGGCGCGTGACAGCTGGCTTGGGTGCAGTGGTCGCGTGTGCGCGTGTAAGCTTGAGCGCAATGGAGGAAGTGTGCAAAGTAGAGGTTGCAGAAGATGGCTTCGGTGAAGTGGGCGGAGTGATGGCAAGGCGATGGAAGGGGGAGCGACAAGGCAGAACAGAAGGGAGAGACAGCTCAGCCTGACGCACAGACTCCGTGGCCAAAGCAAGCTGCTGCGCCACGGTGGATCACAAGTTGCGCCTGCCTGGCCATAGCTCAGTCTAGAGTGACGACGATAGCTCCCACCACATCAACAGCAGCACAATGGACCGGTAGCAGAATGGCTGTGACTCCGGTGAGTGAACAAAGGCTATGCGCGCATTATGACGAAGCTGACCTCGTGAAAGTGGCAATTCAAGTTCTTCGATGTCTCGCAAGTGAAGCTCCCGGACGACGAGAGCGCGTTCCTCGCCGAGGTATGCCACCCGTATCCACCGCGAACAGAGCCCTTCTCACCCATCGCAGCCTGGGAACACTACTTGCATCGTCTCCGGCTCCGAGAGCATTTTCATTGGTAGCGCCGATGGCGTCGTCCGCATCCTGTCGCAGGCCTTCAAGGTCGTGCGCGCATTCCAGGCACACGATGCCGGCGCAATCACCTACATGAAGCAGATCGAGGGTACGGCGCTGCTCGTCACACTAGCGGAAGACCTTTCCAACGAACCGGTGCTGAAGGTGTGGGCTTTGGACAAGCTAGAGAAGAAGACAGGCATTCCACGATGTCAGAGCACACTTCAGATCCAGAATGGGCGCAAACAGTTCCCCATATCTGCTTTCGCTGCCCTCGACGATCTATCACAGCTTGCTGTAGGATTCGCAAATGGAGCTGTCACAGTTGTTAGGGGCGACCTCATCCACGACCGAGGAGCGAGACAGCGGACTGTCTTCGAATCTGAGGAGCCTATCACCGGTATCGAGTTCAGAGAAGGAAACATCACGACCCTGTACATCGCCACGACTGCACGTATCATGACCCTCGTAATATCAGGTCGAGGACAGGGACAGCCTGCGAAATCCCTGGACGAGTACGGCTGTGGGAGAGATTGCATAGCCGTGGATAAGACCACACGGGACGTCGTTGTTGGGAGGAACGATGCCATCTACTATTATGGTCAGCATGGCAGAGGCCCACCATACACGTATGAAGGCGAGAAGAAGAAGATTTCGACATACAAGGACTATGTTGTAATCGTGGCCCCACCAAAGTCAAATGCAATGCCTAGGTCGAACCCGTTAAGGACTTTCGGTATTGGTGCCACCGACGATGCCTTTAACACGTCGACCTTCACACTACTAAACACTGAGTTGCGATATGTAGCGCATCAGGAACAGTTGACATCAGAAGTGCAGTACATTATATCTGAGTGGGGTGACCTTTTTGTTTTTACGATTGATGGCAAGGTAAGAAACTGCCCATGCTCCTCCAGTAATATGCGTTGACATGGGCTAGGTCTTCAGATATCACGAAAAGCCATTTGCACAAAAGCTTGATATTCTCTACCAGCGGAATCTCTACGTCTTGGCGATAAACCTGGCTCAGAAAGCTGGTCTAGACGCTTCACAGCAGAACGTTATACTTAGGAAGTTTGGCGACTACCTGTACTCAAAGCAGGACTACGACACAGCTATGCAGCAGTACCTGAAAGCCATTGATAACACCGAGCCTTCGCAGGTTATACGCAAGGTACGTTCTGTATAACTGGGGGTGCGCATGTGCTGACGTCCGAGTAGTTCTTGGATACGCAAAGAATACACAACTTGATCGAGTACTTGGAGGAGCTTCACGACCACCACAAAGCAACTTCAGATCACACAACGCTATTGCTGAATTGCTACGCGAAGCTCAAGGATGTTGACAAACTGGAAGAGTTCATCAAGTCGCCGGATGACTTGAAGTTCGACCTGGATACTGCCATATCCATGTGCCGCCAAGGAGGCTACTACGACCAGGCTGCTTTCCTAGCCCGCAAGCATGGCGAACATGAGCTTGTAGTTGACGTCCTTATCGAAGACTCGAAACGATATGCGGAAGCGTTAGCTTACATTTGGCGTCTAGAGCCTGAGGTTGCTTACTTCAATCTCATGAAGTATGCCACTGTTTTGCTCCAACAAATACCCAAGGACACGACAAAGCTGTTCATCGACTACTACACAGCGGATTTCCGGCCCAAAAAGGATGCCATTGTAATACCGAACGCCCCTTCATCAGGTGGCGGGATGGGCATAGGACTTGGTGTGGCCTCAAGCGCGGTACAGAATCTGGCTGCACTATTACCGTTGCCATACATGAACACTAGTACGCTCGCATCACCACCTACGGGCGAACAGAAGAGCACAATGAGCCAGGCGCAAATCATCGAACAAGTTTCAGACCAACCTGCACCTGAGTACAAGGTGCCCAAACCACGAACAGCTTTTTCAGCATTCGTAGACCATCCCCAGGAATTCATCGTGTTCCTCGAGGCCTGTATCAAGTCTGACAGCCTACGAGAGGACGATAAGGTTGATCTCTACACAACATTGTTCGAGATGTACTTGCATACTGCGTCCTCCAAGAAGGACGGCGAGCGACAGGCATGGGAAAACAAGGCCAAGAAGCTTGTCGAGGGCAAGGATATACCCATTGACACATCGAACGTCCTGTTGCTTTCTCATCTCTCCAACTTCCGTGATGGCGCGATACTCGTTCGCGAGCAGCAAGGACTCCACTTCGACATCTTCCGCAGTTATACCGCTGCAAACGACACACAAGGCGCCATTCGTGCTCTGCGCAAGTATGGCCCGGAGGAGCCAGCTCTGTACCCTGCTGCACTTGCTTACTTCACATCTTCGCCCGAGATCCTCACCGAAGCCGGGGACGAGCTTGACTCGGTTTTGAAGAAGATCGACGAAGACGGGCTCATGGCGCCGCTGCAAGTCATACAAACCCTCTCAACAAACGGTGTTGCTACAATGGGCATGATCAAATCCTACCTGAGCACGACCATTGAGCGCGAACGCGTTGAAATTGCAACAAACAGGCGCACCATCGAAACCTTCCGTGCAGATACGGAAACAAAGAAGACCGAGCTTCAGAATCTCAATACGAAACCTGTGGTCTTCCAAGCAGCGCGCTGCAAGGTGTGCAATAAGGCTTTGGAGTTGCCAGTTGTACATTTCCTGTGCAAGCACAGCTTCCACCAGAGTTGTCTAAGCACGGATGAGGATGTCAGAGATGCTGAAGTCGAGTGTCCGGTTTGTAGTGGGCAGAATGCGACGGTCAAGGCAATTAGACGCGCGCAGATCGAGAGTGCTGATAGACATGATTTGTTTTCTGATGCATTGCGCAGGAGTAGGGATGGGTTTGCTGTCATCAGCGAGTGGTTTGGTAGGGGTGTGATGGGTGTTGAAGGGAAGGACTAGACCCTAGTATGACATAGCAGAATCGGTGTACCTCTGACCTCGTCCCAAGGACTGAAAAGGCTGTGAATGTGATGCAATATAGCGGTTCATGCTTCCCTAGAGCGCGCTTGCATGACCATCCCCGCCCGGGCGACATCACGCTTCGATCTTCCTTTCCTAATCCTTTTCCACCACTTCAGACCAACATGCAAGATGCCCGAAAACTGCCATGAGCTAACCAATTTCATCGAGGATCTAAAACAATGCATCCTTGACTTTGTAAGAGCTCCCTTCATTCCTTCATGTCACAATGCCCTACCCACAAGAGTTAGATCCGTCTGCCTTCCGACCTCTGCAACTTATGTTTGGTCTCCAAGTCATGGAACTCTGTAGCCACAAAACGGCTCTACGAGCACATAATCCTATACGGAGAGGCTCCGGTCGTTGTCCTTGATCGCTGCCTAAACTGGGGTGTATCGAAACATCTGCAACGCACGCGAAGGCTGAGCATACTTGAGCCTTGGGATGAGGAGGTCCAGGGAAGCGTTGTCCGGAACATCTTATTTGGTCACGTGGATCCGAACGACTATTCAGATCGAAAGGTTCCGCAGGATGATTCAGCGATTGTGCGCGTGCTGCGTTGCCTGCCAGACGATCGTTTACATACAGTCAGGTGAGTGTTCAACCGGTCAATCGCTCTCACATCTCAACAAGCCGTTGCCCATGAGTCTTGGCCACAGTTCTCTGACTCTGAATAGAGGTTGCTACCTGGTCTACCAATCAGCATAGACCGTCTCAAGTATCTTCGCAAACGTCAGAAAAAGCTGATCCACCTACACGTCGACACTGACCCCCTGCCATGGACCGGACCATTTGTGTCTCGAGATAGTACCGTCGGCTTTCACACAGTGTACGAAAAAACCCGTCAACTTGCATTGGCATGTAAGTAGAGCTTCGGCAGATGTGTTCTGACTCTACGTTGGTGCTTCTCAGCTAAAGCGTCGCTCTCTTTGCATCTTCCCTGACATCGAGCTCTTTCCTTACCAACCCAACAGCTGAGTACCAGGGTCCGCCATGAAGAGACCTGGATCATACCGAAACAGATCCAGATCGGGAAACTCATGTCTGACACAGGCGCGCGATACCTGGACAGCTGTGATTGTTGTAACTTCTTGAAGTGGCAACAAATCTCGTGAAATTCCTGCAGCGCTGAGGTGTTCCAGCTGGGTCCGTAACCAGCTCTCATATCCTCATCAGCAACACCCTCTACAAAGTCTCCGTCATTGAGGGACAGCGATTTGATCTTGTATTGCAACGGCCAAAGGTATGCTCGTTCCTCCAGCGGAGGCGGGACCGAGCTGTTGCTGATACGAACAACACTGGAGGCATTGGTCCTCGGATCGTACTGGAACTCAGTATCATGGATATCCAAATGCACATGTCGAAGTTTTACGTTCTTATTGAAAATGTATCTGTTGTTGCAAGCTCCTTGTAGAGCTCGAGAGCGGTCGCCATAGAGTGCGCGAAGAACTCGCACCACCAGCCTGGTCATTAGCGGACATCGTGCATTGGCTGGGCGCAGTGCAGAGGAGTTGATTGTTGCAGTGTTTCAGGTTGTGCGGAGTGGTATGGGGAAGACGCGGCGCTGCCGTCATCGACCATCTCAAAGCTACAGGTGGTTGGCTGAATTGGCAGGGATGGTGCGTGTGTGTAGTTTCACAAGCTGGCCTGGTATCTCTCCATCAGTACTCACCCCCGTTGCTATCTGTCGCCTGTAATACCACCACTTGCTGTTGGATAAACTATACAAATACATGTCAGACGTTTGCGCATCACGAAGCTGCCTCCGTCTCCACGACCAACGTCATCCGTCGCGTAGCTCCTCGGTCACTTTCGCATTCCATCACTTGCGCCAGGCACCCTTCACGATAGCAGCTATCCCCCAGCGCTCGCCGGCCCGTCCGGTTCCCGTCGCGAGGACAGATGCTCCTCGCATACACAATCCTTCCTGCGTATAGTTGATGTCGATTGAATGCCTCCCGTGCTGAATCCCTTCCTGCGCGCCTTCTTCCGCAGTGCACTCCCCAGCCAGTGCTCTCCCGCGCAGCACCACGTACGTCCTCGCACATGCTGGATGAAAGAGGTCTGCTGATCAGGTGTACTGCAGGTCCTCCTTGTCCCCACGACCGAAGTCCTCCTCACGTCGCGCGACAAAGACTCCGGCAGCTCGTACGCCGACCTTAGCGGCTCCGAAGAGTTCCTCGCCAGCCATGTGCTGCGCGTGCCGGGCGGCGTGGGCCCCAACAACCAGGTCCGCGACGCCAGCAGCTTCCGGGAGACGCGCGGAAAGGCCAAGCAGTTCACCACCGCGAACGGGCGCACGGTGATAGTCAAGGATGCCTTCATCTATAGTAACAAAGGTGGGCCGGCAATCAGGACTATATGAGCCACATCTGGGCTGACGCAATGCAGGCTTCAAGACGCTCAACCAGGCGCAGCTACTCAGCGACACCATCTTCTATCCAGACACCTTCGAGGCCCAGCCATGGCTCGTCTACTACATCTCGCGCCCCCTGATAGGCACCTACGAGGCGACACCAATCATACCCGCGACATTGGTAGCAAGGAAGGACGTCAAGGCAGCAGGGACACCAGCCGCAGGGACACCAGCCGCAGGGAGCTCTTCAGCGGCCGGCAGCTCCTCTATGCCGCGGAAGAAGGAGGTCAAGTCCTTTGGCGACCTGCTGAACCACTTCCCCATGATCGCACGGCAGATGCAGCCAGGGCTAGAGAGCTTGTTCAGGGAATTCGGGAAAGAGCTGGAAAAACCGCTACCGCCGACCCCGTCGACGGGATCGCGAAGGTCATCTCAAAGCTCTCGGAGGCGCGGATCGGTATCGTCGGTGGAAACCGCTGGGTCGCGTCCTCTGTCAATGCACAGCAGCATGTCTCACGGGCCAAACGGATTCATTTCGACGCTAGAGATCGGCGATGAGGAGGACGCGATGCGCAACTCGCTGGAGACTGCTGTGACGGCGGCGATCGATCTCTTCCAGATGGTGGACAAGCAACAATTGTCGTTACTGGGCGCGACAACAGATCTCACAGGACCTATCGTCGAGCGAATGATCGAGCGCTGCATTGCCGAGCAGGTGCACCACACACTCCTCTTCCCACGGATATGCGACATACGCCGACTCGAAGACCTGGATCTTGAGCGACAGATGCAACAGATGCAGGATATCGACATTTCGCAAGTGGGCATTGATATTGGCAATGGGCACAAAGGCAAGCAGGAACTCGCCATACGGCTGTCCAAGGCGGTCGACATGTTCAAGAAGATGGGCGTGGCTGGGAGCCCGCAGGAGATGTTAGAGATTGTCCTGGCTGTGACGAAGCACATCACAATGCCTGACGCATCATCGGTGGCGAATGATCCCACGGCGCAGGCTACGCTGAATGGCCAGCAGCTCTCCGAAAAGCACGACCATCTTCTCACCATCAACGCGGATACCCTGGTTTCTTTGTTACTTATTGTGGTGATTCGCGCCCCGGTGCGACATCTACAGGCGCGACTCTCCTACATGCGCCACTTCATCTTCATTGATGATGTAGAAACTGGTGAGATGGGATACGCCCTAAGCACATTCGAAGCTGTATTGTCATATCTTCAAAACGACTCAGGCGGCTTGCGCAAAGCAAGTCGGCGGAATCGAAAGCTGTGGCGAGCGACACAGTCAGGCGACCTGGCCACAATGCAAAGCATCCTCGAGCCTGATCGGTCCTTTCACGAGGCTGTGAATGACTCGTCAAGCGAAGACGAGGTCCCAGAGCGACATCACCCCGTCAGGTTCGCGAGCTTCTCGGATCTGAATTCACTTGCTAGTTCGTCAATGAACGGAGACTACGAACCCCGGAGAAGACGGCGGCGGAGCCCTTCTGGTACTAGGCAAAAAAACGAGGACGGGCCACTGGCACACATCTTTCCATTCCAACGCGCTCAGACGCCAACATTACCGGATCGACCGAAGTTGAAGAAGGCCGTCTCATACGACACACGGAGTATGTCGAGTTGCTCAGCGCGGTCGTTCAGATCTCGCACAACGATGGGCTCTCTGTACAGCGCCATAGAAGGCGACACGTCAATCGAGAAGCTCGTGATGACACAAGGCTCAGGTGGCGAGTCGACCTTGATGATGGCCATCGAGAGCAAGCAAGATAAAGCACTGCAGTATCTGCTCAGTCTTACGCAGTTCTACACACCTACCTTCGTGTTCGAGGACTGTAACAACGAGGGGACAACGCTGCTAAGCTTGGCAGTGCAGCTTGCCCACAGCAAGTCGACAGATACATTACTTGCGTATATCCTGGAGAACAGCAGTAGTCCGGAGATGCTCGCCGCCTATGTCGCGAAACAAGACTCGAAGGGCAGGTGTATGGCACACTACCTGTTCAACCAGCCCCGCCTCATCCAACACATCGGACACCTCGTCCCGTGGCGATTGAAGGACAAGAACGGACAGACACCTGTCTTTGCCCTTTGCAGATCCTATGATCATGAAGAGTATCACAGTATGGTAGACCAGGGCCTACTAGCCGCCACTTTTGCACAAGAGGATGGACAGCCGTTGCATCTCGATGAGCATGTGGATGCCAAAGGCAACAGTCTGCTGCACGTCATCACCGATCCTCAACTCGCGAACAAGCTTCTGTACCGTTGCGATTCGGATGTCAATGCTACGAATGACAAGCACTTTACACCATTGATGGTTGCTAGCAAGTACGGTCGTACGGACATGGTTCGAGTACTGTTTCAGGATCCGCGGGTCGACTTGTCAGTGAGAGATGCTCGCGGCTTGACTGCTGTCGAGCTTGCTAAGGATGATGATGTTCGAAATCGCATCGACGATTTGGTGCTGCTGTCTAATGAACCTGGTGTTGACGGACGAATTACGACTGTCGTTCGCTCGTTCTTCGTTGAAGACGGTACTGTTCGACTGGTGCTCAAGTCCGGGGCACCCAATTCCAACGGCACCATCACTGTGACCACCTGTCGCCGATCGTCTCATGATTTTGAAAATCTCGCCAAGTGGCTCGCTCAGGAGAACCCAGCATCGTGGTTACCAGTCATCGCCAACATGGCCTCACCCTACCTCATCCCATCCAGACCATCAAGATCGGTGTTGCGTGATCTACAACTCCGCCTTGACGCCTTCCTCAAGATCCTCCTCCGACATCCTACGTTCTCCATGCATGAAATGGTATGGGAGTTCTTCCTCGTCCCAGACATCGACTCGTCAATGCTCGCACAGCGCTCCGCCCGCAAAGCCGAACTCCGCGTCGAACGCCTCCGCGAAGAATTCGCCCCAGTCTACGACGTGCGCGAAGTCGAACTCTTTGTGCAACACGCCCGCGAAAACGTGCGCTCCCTGCACCACGCATCCAAATCCGTCCTCCGCCGCACGAACAAACTCCGCATGTCATCCTCCGATCTCAACGACGCCGCAAAGCTCTCAAACACCGCCGTCCACTCCCTTACCTTCCTCCCTGACGCACATCTCCGCGCGTTCGAACGCTATACCAAGACAATGGCAACGAGTGAGGCGAGCCCAATCGCAGGGTTCTGTTACAACATGCACGCCATAAGCTCCACCATAACCGCGGTCCTAACCTCCCTCACCCGGCCCTCCAATCTCATAGCAAACATGTCCAGCACCCAGAAAGCCATCGACCGGCACAATCTGTCCGTGCGACGCTCGGACCGCTGGCCGCTTGGCCTGCTCGACGACGCGAGGAGCAGGGTGCAGCGCGATGCGCAGGAAAAAATGGATAAGAGTAAGGCGGAGCTTGCGGATTTGGGCAGGGAGTTGAGGTATACGCAGCAGGTTGTTGCGAGTGAGTTGGCGAGTTGGCAGGAGAATAGGGTCAAGATGGGGAGGAAAGCGCTTAGGGAGTTGGCGAGGAGGATGGTTGTGGGTGAGAGGGCGAGGTTGGAGAGCATGAGGAGGGCGGTTAGGGAGTTGGGGATCGGTGAGGGGAAGAAGGGGGAGCAGGGGGTTGTGAATGGCGTGGCTGTTGAACCTGAAGCTGTTGGGCCGTCTGTGGAAGTGCAAGCAGCACAGGACGGTGGAAGTGGCAACGTTAACGGCGATGCTGTCAACAGCGGCGTTGATGCCCCGACTCAAGAAGAGCTAGACGACGTTATGCTTCCGCCAGAAGATGGCCCGCAGGTCGAGGATCTGGTCGAGGGGCCTAGCGACGAGCCTGATGAAGAGACACCGCTATTGGACCTGGCGGCAGAGGCTCCCGAGCGGCTCGATGGCATTGTTGCACCGACCTCAGAAGACTCTCCGTCGACCGATGCGACGGCAGAGCAGTAGTCGGATGCTGTTGCCTTCTTGTTATGAGACTATCTGGGCTGGCAGGAATTTGTTTGGTTTAGAATAGGGCATGGGTATATCAAGGTTTCATCGCTGGTCATGTAGACCACTTATAGTCAAACATAATCAAGATTCTTTGTGAAGATTCAACGTAGTGGCTTTTCGTAAGAGCTAACGTCTGCTCCAGTAAGTCCTGCGCACGTTGAGAATTTTGGTGCTAGGCACCTTGTATGGTATACGCGTACAAGGCTGACAGGGATCTTGGCGCTCGCTTCACCCAACCTCACAACTCCGTCCAGTCATCACTCTTCATCACACAGTCGCAGTGCCTTTCGCTGCATCAACCGAGCCTGATCCATAGCCTCTAGATCCTCATAATTTGCTCCTTGGAAGTATTGTTTACCATCGTATACCGCCTGCGTACCCAAACTCTTTGCAACTACCATCTCCATCAACAATATCAAAGAGCCATTGATGAGCATTTCGGGACAAGGTTCCACCATAAAATTCCTTTTTTCAAACCCGTCCAATCGTTTCATCCGGAAGGAATGCTCACTGTGAGGAATCTGACATCAGAACCACTTTCGATCAGTCGCATTGAGCGCTTCGAAGATCCAAATGCCTCTCAGAGCAAAGCCAGCTTCTTTGGTGCAAATAACACCACCTCAGTATCACCTTCAGCGCCAGAGCTGGGCGAACATGCACAATCATTCAATCACAAGGACCTGAACGTTGGGTTAGAACCATTCGAATCACACACTATCAGCGCGCTTGGCACCCAAAAGAATGGAGCAGAGGCAACACGCGCCAGCTCTACCTTACGGCTTACAATAGAACTGCCTAATGGCGAACGACACCGCATCGACACGAATCCGTCCTACACTCAGAAGTCCGCTCAAAAGTTTACACCGCTCTCACCTAAGCCTTCTGAGAGCTTTACTGCACTGTTCCACCCTTCTCAACCCACTCCACACCTAGCCATCCACTCAAACAACACCCAAAACCACTCGGAATGGATGGAAACGCTACCAGACACCCTACCACTTTCTGCTGTTTCGATACCAGGTACCCACAACTCACATACCTACTACAAGGCGCTGCCTTCTGTGAAGTGCCAGTCAGTGGATATCAAAACTCAACTTGAGAACGGGATCCGCTTCCTCGATATCCGCGCACAACCGACGCACGCTTCTGACCCAGGCAAGAAACACATGTACCTGGTGCACGGGGCGTTCCCTATCAGCTTGACGGGACCGAAATATCTCACTCCAATACTGGAAACCTGCTACGCATTCCTTGCCGCGCATCCCAGCGAGACCATCCTAGTCTCACTAAAACGCGAAGGCGTCGGCTCCTCTACAGACGAACACTTCGCCCGCATCCTCCAAGACCACTACATCGGCCCCAACGCCTCAAAATGGCACACCGACCCCAAAATCCCCTACCTAGGCTCCGTACGCGGCAAGTGCGTGCTCATACGTCGCTACAACACCTCTCCATCCTCCACATCCATGTACTCCTCCGACTCGGGCCTCGACGCAACAGCCTGGCCGTACAACTGCACTTCCTCCCTCTTCCCCACCCCCTCCCCAACATTCAACCTGCAAGACTTCTGCGAAGTCCTCGTCCCTGAAGCCATAACGCAGAAAGTGCAACACGCAAACGAGCATCTCGTTCGCGCGGCTGAAGTCGTACACCACATTCCTGGCGTTACGACGGATAAGACGAATCCTGTGCCGCCGGGGCCACTGTACCTGAATTTTCTGAGTGGGAGTAACTTCTGGAAGAGAGCGTGCTGGCCCGAGAAGATTGCGAAGATTGTCAATCGGCACATGGAGGAGTGGCTTTGTGCTGGGCACCACTTGACGGAGCCGGGGACGACGCCGGCGCATCCGGAGAGGAGTAGTGTCGAGGGGCATGAGGGGGAAGACATACACGCTGTCAGAAAGGCGAAGAGCGGAGATGGAAGTACGGGGATCGTGGTCATGGATGTGGTGGGTGAGGGTGGGGATTGGGACTTGGTGAGGCTAATCATTGGGATGAATATGGGGGTCTTGAGGAAGGTGAGGGAGGGACACTATAGCTAGGCGCATAAGAGCCTGTACATCGCATCATAACAGAACGTTTGGTAGATATGAATCTACTTGAAAGAGCAAGCCAGTCGAAGATGAATGTACGTAGGGCCGAGCTGGCCCATGCGCACCTCCGAGGTGCCGAACACTTTTTGGAGGCAACCCCATTCGTCCCGTTGGGTGAAGCTCTCAGAAGTCGGTCCTGGGGCTATGTGCATATTGAGGCGTTGCACAAAGCCATCTAGCGGGTAGTTGAATTCACATTCACACAGCAAGTCTTGCGCCCAGCTCTGAGCAAGCCTGTGGAGAGCAGGCGCAGGTCATTCCATGTCTCTCCTCCGACCCTCTTGCGCCATCGCGCGACGAGTGTGTACCTCACGGGCACCGACTGAGGCCGCAACGAGATCGCCCATCCTCTCGCTACTCTGGAGACACGCCGCATCACGGCCACAATGCCGCTCCTTCTGGCACACCCCGCGCGTCTCAGCGAGGATCATCGACACGCCCCAGAACCCGAGCAGGCCACAGCAGCAGAAGCACCCCGCGCGCACAGTGCGGATAGGGCCACTGCCAGGCGGTCGAGTCAGTGACGATGTGATACGGCGCATATTCGGGCGAAGACTATCACCAGCAGAAGGCAACAACGTACTGCGCATCCTGCACCACCGCCGCACCGCCGGCTCGCTGGCCGACTACGGCGTCGACAACCTGGGCAACCAGTACACGCACGTCGACCGCGCGCTAGCCCTCAAAGGCCTCAGCTGGCTGCGCGAGAAGTATCCCGTCGACGAGGCCGTCGCAGCAGAGCAATGGGCCGAGAAGGAGGCGAACCGCATCTCCTACGAGCTCTGGCTCGCCGACCCGGAAACCGAGTCCAAGTACAAGGACCCCGCGCGCGCCTTCCGCGAGCAGATGCAGAAGGAGGAGGAAGAGCGGCAGCAGCAGGCCCTCGACGACCAGAAGATCGGCATCCTGCATGTCGGCAAGAGTCAGTTTGAGCGCAACATCGAGGAGAAGCGGCAGGCGCGCTTGGCCGCGGTCACGAGGAAGGCCGAGCTCAAGGAGCAGAGGGAGAAGGAGATGGAGGCCCAGCTCGCGACGGGAGAGTGGGTCAAGACGCCGAGTGGAAAGCAGCTCATGAAGCCGCATCAGACGACGTATATCGATGTGTTTGGTAACGAGCAGATCAGCCGCAGGAGTGAGGAGAGGGCCAAGTACGAACAGCAGGCTGTGACAGGTTTCAAGGACGAGACGGAGATGCTCTCCAAGACGACCCTCGTAAAGCCGTCCACCCACCTCCCCTTCTCCTTTCGGACGTGCTAACACCACGCAGGCCCAACGCCTCTACCCAATGACCGCCTTCGTCATCCTCGTCTCGCTCCTCTCCTGGGGCTTCGCACACTACTACAGCCCTCCATCCCCCGAGTACCGCATCTTCCCCGACCTGTCCCCTACGACCGCCACCATGGCCGCCTTGCTCGGCGCCAACATGCTCGTCGCCGTCGCCTGGCGCATCATGCCCCTCTGGCCGTTCATGACGCGCTACTTCATGCACGTGCCTGGCTACCCGCGCGCCGTGCAATCCGTGCTCAACGTCTTCAGCCATGTGCAGTACGAGCACCTCCTCGCCAACATGATGATGTTGTGTCTCGTTGGTCCCGTGTGCCATGATCTCGTCGGCAGGGGGCTGTTCGTGGGGACGTATATTTCTGCCGGCGCAGTCGGGACGCTCGCGTCTTTGTACTGGGCCAACCTCGGCCGTGGCAGTATTACCGCGCATTCCGTTGGTGCTTCGGCGGCCATCTGGGGTATTGCCGCGCTGTACTGCCTTCTCACTGATGCGGAGACGGTCAAGATTCCCCTCTTGAAGGATGCGGAAGTCAGCTTCTGGCCGAAAATGCTCTTCGCTGCTTTCGTTGTGCTGGAGATCCACAATGCTCTCAGGGGCAAGAAGGCCACCATGGACCACGCCAGTCACTTTGGTGGCATGTTGGTTGGTATGGGGACGGCGGGGTATTTGAGGTATACGGGGTTCAAGCAGAGTGTGCCGGGGTTGCAGAGCCAGGCTAGCATCGATGCGAAGAAGGTCGATGTGGGTGCGATTGTTAGCGAGGGTGCCGGGGAGATCAAGGATGGGGTGAAGAAGATCGTTAAGTAGGCAGAGAAGCGGGGGGCGGGGGGAGGGGTGTTGTAGGATTATATGTATATACGACAGCAGACAAGCTGTACTTTGCTGTGCTACTCTCCTACTTGACGAAGCGAGCACAATCCCCAAGATCCGAAATTGGATGTCATCTTCTTCTCCTTCATGTCCTTGCCTCGGCGTTAAACCGCTCATTAAGCTCCTCAGCCTTGACAGCAGCAGCTTCCGCATCCTTCGTTCTCGCTTCCACCTCCTTCTTCGCAAGCTCAGCCTTCTCCGCGGCGGACACTTTGGCCTCTTGGATCTGGTCTGCTTCCGCTCTCGCCTCCTCCTGCTTCACCCCGGCTCCCACCTTCATTCTTATAAACTCCTTCTTCATGTCCTCAAACTCGCGGAACCCCTGAAAATACTTCCGCCTGAAATCATTCAGATCGCTCGCCCGTGTGCCTGTTTCGTACGCTCTCTTCGCCATCTCTTCCAACGCCCCTTCCGGGATCTCACTCGCCCTTTTCCGCCGGTATGTGAGCAGTCTTCGCGACCACTTGTTAAACGCCTGCACACAGACGGATGTCAGCTCGAGACAAGGGTGTTGAGGAATGATGAGTTCAACGTCCTCGTCGTTCGCGGTCGGCATCCACATGGACAGTCGACCGTTGGGGACAAGCGTTGAGACGGCGAAGGTGAGGATGTCGTCGAGCAGAGCGGTGAAAGAGTACGGCCGCTTCGGTGGGATGTAGCCCTCGGTACGATACTGAGCGGCGTGCGTTGCGCGCTCGGTGGGGAGGAGCGTCTCGCGGCTGCCGAGGACTTTGAGACCTTCACGGATGCCGTAGGGCGGGTCGCATACTATGCCGTCCAGATACGCAAAGTCCGTTTCTGTCGTCACTCCGTGGCTGCTAGGGAGACGCAGCGGCGTATTCGTCAAATCGCTCACGAACCCCCCCAAGTAATTCCCCTCAAGCCCATACTGCTGGAAATTCATCTCAACATTCTTCTTCCCCGTCTGCCCCCTCCTCGCGCTCCCGCCCAGCCCCCTAATACTCCTCCCATCGATATCGCTCCCCGTGACCACGGCACCATAATGCGCACACGCCAACGGGAAACCGCCGGTGCCCATGAACGGATCATAAAAGATCTTGCCCGGCGCAGCTTGTGCGATGTTAGCAGTCAGCAGCGCGAGCTCGGCGTCCATGGATGTCGTGCTGATGTAGTGCCGTTTCTTGAGGTCGTACGTGTTCTTCGCATCTCTCCCGGAATCAGCAATCCAGCGGCCAAGGTAGAGATACTTGGGCTCCTTAGCATCGAGATCGTATTCCTCGAAGATCCGAAAACTCGCTTCGGGGTTCTTGATTTGTACTTTCCCTTTGAAACCGAGGAATTGGAAGGACTCGATAATAGCCCGTGTTTGCTCGGCGGGCGCTTGCACGCCGCGGTAGCGCTCGATGCGGAAGCTGAATGTGCTGGTTTGGTAGGTTGGCCATTTGGTGGATGAAGTTTCTGTGACGTTGGAGCGGAATTCGTCGTAAGTTGATCCTTGGCCCCAGAGTTCGTAAATGCCTTGAATGAGCATGGCCCGAGAAGCGACTTGCTTTGCGGCGGCATCGGAGGGGAGATGCACGATGCAGTATGGTGACTGGTTGTGTCAGACGAAAGCTGGAAAGGACAATGCGTGGTTTCGATGGTGGGAAAGGAGCATGGTTGGAGCAAAGAGAACTGACAATAGACTTTTGGAAGACAGATTTGTACCTACGTCGTCATCATACTTGACAATCTCGAGCTCAACGCCTGCGAGCTCTGCCAGAGCGTGAAGTTCCGCCTTGCGAAAGGTCTCATGAATTTGCGCTAAGCGCACGAGATATTCAGGCATATCGATGGCGAGCTTGACAAAGTAAAGTTACTGAAGGAGTGTCTGATTGGAGAGTTGCGTTGATAGTCCGTTCAGTCTGGTATTGGCATGGTCTGATAGCGGCACCCTGCCGCGTAGTCAAGCACTATTCGTGGAGGAGTCACGGTTGGGCAGGATGAAAATGGTGGGTCGCTAGTGAGGCTTTGTGATTGGCTCGCTAGTGCGCCGAAGGGTGCTTTTCTCGACCTCACTCACTTCCACCATCTTGCACCGAAACCAAGCAAAGTCTCCAATTGACCTCTATCGATTTTTGCCCTATCCCTCGTCTATAAGTCTCTCTAAGACATTGGATTCGGGTTCGTGGACGTATTGGTCCTCTCGATGTGCTCCAATGTGTTACTCCACGGTTTACTCATCCACCTCTTCTCCCAGTGTTCAGATCTTCCAGTCGCTTTCCGATACCTTGACGCTGACCTTGTGGATCCGGACGACGTTCTTCCCTTGACTGTTCTGTATTCTGTCCGCTTGGCCTCGCTTGTTGAAATCATCTCCCATCTCCTTGTCATCATCATTGATCTCGTCAGGGTCGACGTCTCCGAGCCAGAAGAGGGTCTGCGGCTGAGGATCGGATCCAGGCTGGCGATTGTATCAGGAAAGATGGATTTGCATGGCATGCCTGTCACCAAGAACGGCTTTGTGCTGGATCAAAGAAGTGAGCGATAGTCGCACCCATGGTGATCCTGTAGCCTTGATCAGTTGAGGTGTTCGGAGTGTAGGATGTATCAACGTACCAAGGATTGCGTTGAATTCATCATCGCCTGACCAGAGAATGATACGGCTTGACCAGAATGTCAGCTGTTGGGCGCCAGCGCCTCGAACAATTCGGGCAGTTAGCGGTAAGGTCTTCACAGTCTGAACATGGTTGACAAGATAGTACTGAAGTGCTGAGGACCCAGTACCCCCAGTTGATATCGGAAGCGCGGTGGAGTTGCGGCAGCTCGTTTTCTGCGGGAATTCGGGCCCAATGACTCGCTGCTGCTACAGCGGGTTTCTTGAGATATTGGGCGAAGATAGCTTTTTGGCGATGTCAGCTGGGTTCAGCTTTCCCTAGTGCTGTGCGGAGTGAGGCGACATACCTCCACCTTTCTTGTTGAAGCGAAATTGGTAGTGTCCGCCTGTTTGCTGCGAGGATGTCAGCAAACGTGGAAGTTCCAGGATTGGCACGATCACTTACTGTATACTTCTGACTAGCAACTGTATACTTTTGTTCTGAGATTGGAGCGTCGAACACGAACATGTAGTTGCTAAGATTGTGTCGGAGTTCAGTGAACTGTACGCAAAGGGAAGTAGTCGATGGTTGTACTGAGGTTGTATTGGGTGAAGCTACGAACAATATGTATAGGTGAGTAGCTATAAACAACGCTAGTGTAATGTGGCAGTCACTCTTATGGCAGGTGAAGTTCAACAGGCAGGAGCACCCTAACCGTGACAGATTGTCTTCGACTGAGTCCAGCTCCTTGTTGTGTTCCACGGAAAAGCACACATTGGGGCCAGCCGGTGCTGGCGGTGGATGCAGGTGCATCTCTGAAAGGTTCCCTCAATCTTGTTCTTGTTAAAAAAATGCTGACAGGTTTATGAAAATTGCAGTGGATAGCATTCGAGTATTCGCTGTCAGTCCAGCCCCAGGTTGCGAGCTCATCCGCAGACATTTCAGTAAATATCTCCGGTTGGCTTAAAAAGGAAAACTCGAAACAGTGCGAACCCGATTATCGAGTAGTGCCTCGCACGCGGGGCTCCCTGACTGCTTGCTCAACAATGTCTGGAGGGGGAACTTACTGACTAGATCGCCTTGCCATATGCTCTCCGCTGATGGCGGCGTCCAATTGTTGCGTAAGCCCTTGCCAGCCAACCTGTCGGTTGACTCCATGAAACCCTGATAGAATTCACCCTTTTTGATGTATCTGGTCCAGACACTATCAGGCGCGATGTCATTGGAGTTGAAGACGAGGGCTCTCGTGGCGAGGTGCTATTTATTCGGCTTGAGAACATTAAGATCCTGGACGAGTGAAGTGCAGTTCTTGGGGTTGGCGTGTAGTGGAAGGAGGACGTCAAGATCAGCGGATGAGGAAGTGTTATTGAAGCCTGAGGGCTGATGGTAGAAGGTGCGGTCAACGACAAGAGCCGCGGCCACAAGGAAAGCAAGTGCAAGTAGCATATCGGAAGTCGCTCGCAAGACCTTAAACCAGCTAATAAGAAGACATCGCAGTTCAACGTGATATATATTCATAACGGTGTAGCGAGACAGTAATTTCCATGCCTGTACACCTTATGTTGGCGAAAAGTTTGTATTCGAATCAGCGTGACTCGGGAGTTCCAGCCATGAACAGTGGTATACTCCCACATTATGTCTGTGTTAATGACAGAGCAAAGCGTCAACTTTACTCCGTGCAACCGTGCACGAACGCACTGCCATCACTGGAAGAGCCACTGTGAGATAGTAAGATTGGAAACAATGAGTATCATTTGCCATGCAAAGAGGCCTAAGCCACCATGGCTGCAGGAAGACTATCCTGTGTCTACATACACCAACAACTATCTTCCAAAAAGCCCTGCTCTAATCTGACCAGGGCACATACCTGGGTATCATGCACCTATAAGAAGCTGAAAGATCAATGCCTCATGATAATCCCCTACTCATACACTCGACTACCCATGCCATCGATAAGAAGAGCGCCTCGTATGCAACCGTCTCCTACATCCAGAGACTCGCTAAGAAAAACGCCGAATCCAGAAACGCCGTGAAATGCAGTGGTTCAACAGAGCAGGTTGCCCATACTATTTGGCACCGAGTCTGGCCTTACGATCTCGTCCCTCTGCGAGCTAGACGAACTAGGACGAGAGTTAGTGTAAGAAGAGACAGGAAATGAGCGAGCAAGCTCTTCGTGAATCTGCTCACTAGGCGTGCGGTCTTTCACGGGCGTGAACATCTCCACTTCCGGACGCACTGGTGAGTGATTGTTGCGACGGTCCGCTTCCGACAATGGCTGCATCACCAGCTCTTGCTTAAACCTGGTGACTCGAGAGCCTCTCGGTGTCGAAGGAGTCTCGCGTTTCGTTACTGTGATGGTGTCGCTGGCCTTCTTGACTGGAGCTGGCCGTGCCTTAAACCTTGTAGAAGGAGCAAACTGAATTGGCGCGTCTTGCAGCTTCTTCGCTGATTTGCCCGCAGGTTTTGTAATTGCTTTTGTGGCTTTGAACACGTTGTTGATTGCGGGCGTCTCCTTCTTCGTATCCTTCTTGGCCTTGCTCTTCACAGCTGTGGCCTTCTTCACCTGTGCCTGCGTCTTCTTCGCGGCTCCTTTCGTTGCCATGTTGCCGAGGAGATCCATCTGTGCACCCGATTTCCGCTTCGTACGCTTCTTTGATGGCGTGCCTGGCTCCTGCTTGACAGCGTTCTTGGGTAACATGCGAGGACTTTGACCAGGTGTTAGCTGGCCTGCATTTCGGAAAACACCAGGCTTCTTGGGGGTGCCAACGACCACCTCGATTCTGTTAGACTCCTTTGCCTTAGACAGCTCCTCGTCAGTGATCTCCTTGAACTCCATGGGGTCGTCCCATTTTCGCATAGCCGCGTGTCGAGCGACCTCATCACAAGGACCCGTGACTACCAAATCCCATGCGTTCTTCAGATCGACGCCCAGAGGTTCGGGATCGTTGTTGATCCATATGGCAACGCCATCTTTCCTGTCGCGCACGGTGTTGCACATCTCGCGGGCGATGCGGCGGATTCCGGGGACCTTTAGTGTGGTACCAGCCACAATGACCGCATCCGGTCGCATACGAAGGTCGGTAGCGGCACAGGAGCCAATTGCTTCATCGTCGGGGTTCTGCTCGTTATAAAGGACCATGCGAGGACGCAGACATCCAATTCCGTGGGTTCGCTTGTCTGCAGCTTGACGAACCATGTCCGTCTCTACACAGCTTGGACACGGCGGCGCGGTGGGCCCGTCGAATAGCGCAGCATCAAAAGGGTATAGCTTGTGGCATTTTGAGCACACCATGTGATCAAGGCCTCCGTGCACCTGGACAGTCTTGGGCCAAGGTGCTCTCTTTGGCAAAGGCGCCTCAGTTCTGAGAGGAGGCAACGAAGTATCGATGCCGTCGACATTCTGGGTGTAAAGTCGCATCAGGCGACCCTCTTGCGCCAGTGTCGCGATCAAATGGTGAAATGGCGTGGGTTGTGCGCTCTTGGTCTCTGTCGACAGACTGCGCACCATGGCGTGAAATGTAGCAGTGGAATCGTTGTCCTGGTAAACAGACGCGTCAAAAAGGTCCTTGCCGGATGACTTGAGTCCATGCTCCTTCTTGAGTGAGTTGAACAAGCCAGTCGCAGATCGGAAGTCAGGAATGCCTGCAGATACCGAAATACCGGCGCCAGCGATGACTACGATCTTGCGCTTCTTGTGCAGTACGTTCAGCAGGCGCTGCAACTGCGGCCTGTCCTCGTTGGTGATGTCTTGCGTCAGGTCTAGGTATTCTGTTGTGCGCCCATTGGCATCTGTTGTGGGCGTGAGCTTCCTCCTCTTGGCCGGGCGCGGGTCCTCATCGTTGCTTGGGGGCGGGGAAGGCATGTCTTCAGGTGCGGGGGTCGTCTTGGCCGAAGAACGTCGCGAGGAAGAAGGTGAGGGCAACGATCGTGCGTGGAATTCGGGGGGTGGTGAAGGGGACCGTGTGAGTTCTGTAAGGTCAGACTCGCAGTCGGACGGCGGATCAGTCAGCGGCGAGCTTGGCCCGCCGTTGAAGTTGAACATGGAAGGCGCCATTGTGAAGGGGAAGGCGTTGTGTTTATTTAGGGCAGGCGTGAAGGTGGTGAACGCGTTTGAAAGCGACGGTTGGAGTGACGTGCAGAGAGAGCTGTGATGAACAACGTGGTGCGCCTCAGCTCAGGGATATCGCGGCAAACGCTGCAGATCTATGCGACACACACGACAACAGCAGCGACAGAGTTGCGCATGTAACAACAACAGCTCTACAATAAGTCGAAACCCCGAGGGAATCGTGGTGCTGCGGGTGGATGTGTGGAAGCGCTCAAAGCGAGGTAGATCGCTGCCGTCACCGCTGAGCGTGGGGGGAGGTGCCGGTCGTGCAGGGCTGCAAAGTCGGAGAGCGACACTAAATCATAGTGATTGTTTCGGATAGCGCGAAAAATATAGGAGAGGTGCGCGCAGACGCGCTGTCGCAGTGGAGCCTGCGGTTGGCGAGGAAATGGGGGTGGTTGGAGGTCGTGTTGCGATGAACGAAGACAGGAACGCCGGGAGACTCTGAACATGCCAAGTCCTCGAACAGCACTTGAGCACGATCCAAGAACCAAAACAAACTGATCAAGACGGGTACGCTAGTCGGACGGCCGATTGCAGCTTGCAGAGAGTCACGGCCGAGAGCAGAGGAGTTCACGGTGCGAGTTCGAGTTCGAGTTCGAGTTCGAGCATGTCCACAAGCATATTTCATCTCGAACTGCGATTTCTCACTTGAGACTCCATTCCGCTGCGCATTCAAGAGCCATTGAAACGGCAGCTGACTTCGTCATTGCCCGCTTCAGCCAACAGCGCACGGTGGTGCCAGCTGGACCAATCTACAATTGCTATGATTCGTTATCACAGCGGAGTGGAGCTGCTCCTCGTTTTTTTTGTGTCATCGCACACGTTCTCTGAGGCGAAGAACTGTGAGCGATGGTGTTGTGAAGCATGAGGCATGGCGTGTGGAGTTCGCAAGAGCTTCGTGATGCAAGTCACCGAGTCGACGAGGCTGCGACCCACTATCGCGTTTCGCTTACGGGCCCTAGCTTGGTCCCATCCATGTCGAGTTAAACTCCAGCTCCAGGACTCGGCCTTCACCCAATCGCAGCCTTGATACGATTCCTATGTTCTTTGCGTGATACCCGTCGATTTCTATCGTCACCAAGTTATTGCTTTGCTGATTTGGAGTCGAGGCATCGTTTGTCTTCTCCTCCACCCCTTCGCTTCTCGCAGCACATCGCAGCCGCCCGCTAGGTTGGCGCGCATTCCCGTGGAGATGGATCCCAACTACAGCATGGATGTAGATGATCTCTTCGGCGACTCGGAGCATGCTACCCTCCAGAACATTACCGCAGTGCCGCCCGTGAAGGGCCTTGCTAGGAGAGTCGATGAACTTGGTGCTAACGGGTGTTGCCAGTGAGTATACAAGACACAAGCTGTGAAGTGACCATGCTCATGACTGTTCACAGAAAGATTGCATGGTCCAAGAACGGCTGCGTGGCCTACATCACCCCAGATGGTGCTGCAGTACACCTCAAAGTCTTCTCTCGAGACATCGAAACTGGGAAATGGGATCTCGGGAAAGATGTAGCCTTGAAAGTCCCACATGGCCGTGAACACTTTTCGTTTATCCACCTGTCCTGGAGTCATCTAGGAAACGACCTTGTAGTCGTTGATGTTGCAGGTCGTGTGCTGAACTTCTCTTGCACCATGGCTCTAGACAGGATGCCATACGTCAAGACTGAGCTGGCACATCCAGAAGCTGAGGCAGACGGAGTAGTGGGCCTACATTGGCTGGCGATATACCCGTACGAGCAGAAGGTAGAACAACCTCCACACTGACTCTGATTCTTACTGACTCATATACAGAACCACATTGCATGGTCGGCCGAAAGAGAAGGGGAGAAGTGGAAATGGAACATCCGTTCTCACATGTTTCATGATGCACACCACCCCATTCCTAGCAAAGCCTCTCTCATCTATCTCAAGAGGCATGGCGAGCTTACTCTGCGATTTCAACAGAACGACAACACTTGGCAAGAATCATCCACTCAGCTGGGACCCATGATCTCCACGCAGGACTCTTTTACACACGCGGCTTTCGCATCTAACAACGGTACTTTTCTTCGTTTTAAACTTATCATGTAATTACTAACTTCGGACAGATGACAGCTTGTTGATGGCGGCATACAATGTAAAGCGACGACTGCATCTGTACCGCATCGAAACCGCCTGGCAGGTGCCGCAGGAGAAGCACAGCCAGAACGCTGGGCACTTCGACAAACCTGGCCTGCAAATTTCGTTGCTTGCTATCGAAGAAAACTGCGGGCCTGTCAATATGATCACGGACGGTCTCGACAATGGCGCTGAAGCGAGAGGCACAGCACCCGCGCAACTTACACATCTCAGCTTCCTGCCAGTCACGCCTGATCTGAGTGATGGTTTGCTACCCACGATCCAAGCCATCTACTGTAGACCGCCGACTCTAGTTTCTGTGGACCATCTGCAACCACAGGAGACTCCACACAGTGTGATTGTCAAGTGGGAGGTGAATCAGCTACAGCAGAACCGGCTACATTCAAGCCTTGACCAAGTCACCTCCAAGAAGAAAGCAATCGGCTCTGTCACAGCACGAACCATCTTCCAGCTCAAGCGAGCCACGGACTTTCCCACGCACGCAGTTGTACTGTCATGCATACCTGTCTGGTACCACATGCTTCTGGCCTTCCATTACAGCGACGGCACGATTGAGTTCCGAAAGCGGTCGACCATGGAGATTCTCGTCAACGATGGCAACACAGACACCGTAACATCCCTTTTACAGGCCGGCTATGCCTTTCCACACGGCGAACCATCCCTCCACATGGCCCTCTCACCAAACTACTGCATATCAGCTTGCATGCAGCAAGACTCCATCATCAAGCTCCGCTCCCTCGAATACCAACGCGGTACACTCTCCATCTCCGACGACGACCCGCGCAGCTCCGCCGCTCTCGCAGCCATCATGCTGCAATCCGCATCCTCAGCCAACCAATACTTCTCCAGCGACGACATCTTCAGCGTCATGGGTCCGCTCTCTGACAAGCGCAAGAGTGACTTCGCGACCCTCCTCTTCGAAGCCCTGCAAGTAAACATCGACTGCGGCATCGACGACATGAACAACAACTACCTGATGCTTCTCGGGCGTTCACCCGTCTTCGTCAAAACGCTCTCCGCAATCCACCTCCTGGGTCTCAAATCGCCCGTCGAGCGCGACCTGAGCAGCAAAATGGCCTGGATAATCCTCAACATCAAATACGTCACCCAGATCCTGACGAGCATAACGCGCATGCACGGACACATCGACAAGACCCTCCTGCGCCCGGAGGTAGTTCCGCAGTTCATAGGCATATGTCGGTGGATAATGCACTTCATTGCATACACCATGGACTCGCTCTTCACTTTGGGACGCTCCCTCCTCGACATCCCACCTTCCGACCTCACCGCGATCAAGCTCGCCCAAGTTTTCGCAGAACAAAACAATCCCGCGGTCCTGCTCCTGCTCTCCGCCTTCCCACGACACATGATGAAACTCTGGTCGCAGCCATTGGCCTGGGTAAAACGGTCGGCAGAGAACTTTACAAACCCCAGCGCCCCCGTCCAGTCCCCCGAAGTGCGCAAACTATACGCCCCGCTCGCCGCCGCCTTGTCCGAGATCCCGTTCGACTGGCGTTGGTTCGAGCGGCTGGTCTCCGAAACACACGAAGCCACGCGGGCGGCGTACAAGAAAGCCGGTTCCAGCGACGCTGCGAGGAATAGTATGGAGCGCGACTTGCTGATGGGGAAGTTGCCGGAGATATACCTCCCGCTCGCGAAGCGGCTGCTCACAGAGCAGCTGTGGAATGGCGAGATTCCCGGCGGCTGTCTGGCGGATAAGTTGGATGCGGGGCGACTGATGTTCTTCGACACCACCTGGCTCGGGTTCCAAGAGTCTCGTCGCGCAGAAGAATGGCACGACACGCACGTAGTTGACGTGTGCCAAAAGATGATCATAAGAGGGGCTGGCACGCAAGAACATCCTGTGACGAGCGCGACGCAGACGGGGTGGAGTCGGAGTGATAGCACGCTGAGTGCGAATGGTGGGGAGGAAGGGCGAAAGAGGAAGCAGCTTAGGAGGTGTGTGAGGTGTGGGAGTTATATGGAGGATGTCACGGTGAATCAGGTGGGGTATACGCCGCATCATTTGAGTTGGTTGATGGGGATTGCGAAGCATTGTGTTTGTGGGAATAGTTGGATGCTGGCGCCGGAGAGGAAGAGGGCGAGATAGATGGATAGATCTTCCCTGTATATCCCTGTATATCTAAATAGCTGTAGGCCAGAGCAAGGCTTCACAAGGCAGATGTTGTTTCAAAGTAGATGTAGGCATTTCTTCATTCATTCGGGTCGCAGATGCTCCGCTTTTCATGTGACGCATAACTAGGGGTATTGTCCATGTCCATACCCGAGACGCCTCCTCATCCAAAACACACAGCGCAAAGCCTCTCTACGACTTGGCAGCACCAGCCTTGAAGAGCACAATGTCGCCGTCTTCGACGACGTAGTCCTTGCCCTTGGTCATGATCTTGCCCTGAGCCTTGACACTAGCTTCGTCACCAAACTCCTTGAGGGTGGAGTAGTTGTAGACGATAGCCTGGATGAAGGTCTTTTCGAAGTCACCGTGGATCACACCAGCAGCCTTTGGTGCCTTGGTACCGTTGCGCAGTGTCCATTGCCTGACTTCGTCGGCACCGGTTGTGAAGAAGCTGCCAAGGTTGAGAGCCTTGCGCATGGTAACGACGACCTTGGGAAGTGCCGACTTGGTACCGAGGTTCTTGCATTCCTCAGCGGCCTCCTCATCGGACATGGCAGCCAGACGCTCCTCGAACTGCACAGAGATGGGAATGACTGGGTCGCCAGTAGCGTTTGTCTTGACCCACTCGGCAATCTTGGGGAGGTGCTTGTTCTTCTGGCGGATGTAGTCCTTCTCGCTCAAGTTGACGAGGTAGACAACAGGCTTGGCCGAAAGGAGGAAGAGAGGGTTGATAACCTCGACCTAATGTCATGGTCAGCGAACGCCCAACAAGATGCTTTCCATGTACAGAGAAGTGGACGTATGTCGATCAGATAAGGACTTCTTTTCAGAACGTTCCGGCGTTACGGGAACATCAAAGAGCTGGGATTATAGAGCAATCGCTCTTTGTCATCTTGTGACGGGGAGGGAAAACGGCGGTGGAGTGGAATGTACGTACCTCCTTTGGGCCCCAATCGCCCTTGCGGACATCCTTGCCATCCTTCAGCATGGCGAGGATCTTCTCGACGGTAGCCTGCTCCTCCTTGAGCTTCTTCATCTCCAGGGACTGGCCACCACGTCTTGTCTGCTTGACGAGGTTCTCGAGGGCCTTCTCTACGAACTCGATGTCCTTGAGACGGAGCTCCTCGCTGATGATGTCCAAGTCACGGATTGGGTCGACATCACCCTCAACGTGAATAATCTCGGCATCGTCGAAGCAGCGGACGACCTGGAAAATAGCATCGACAGCGCGAATGTGCGACAGGAAGGCATTACCAAGACCCGCACCCGTCGAGGCACCGCGAGTCAGACCGGCGATATCGTAGACGGTCAAGTCAGCGGGCACCCTGGACTTGGGGTTATACATCTTGCATAGGTCATCGAAGCGGTCGTCGGGGACGATAACGCGAGCCTCCTCAGGGTCGATGGTGGCATAGGGGAAGTTGGCAGGGTTACCAAGCGAGCACTTGGTAATGGCCTGGAAGAGAGTGGATTTACCAACGTTGGCAAGGCCGACCTGGCGTTTACTGTTAACATGTGAGATGACGTTGACAGCGGGACAGGGCTCTCACTCACGATACCGCTCTTTAGACTGTTGCCAGGCCTGCCGAGCAGGAGCTTCTCCTCCTTGACGGCTTTCTTGGGAGGCATCTTCTTTTTCTTGGGTGCACTCGCGTAGGTGCGGGTGCAAGCAGAGAGGATGAAAAATTTGTGTGGTGAGGGAGCAGAGAGGAATGGGGAGGAAAATTGGCGGGCAGTACTTGCGGCCGGCCGGTAAACAGTGGGTATCAAAGAAGAGAAAAGAAAGGGAAGAGAAGTGGTGGGGGGTATGGTGTATGTAATGAGGGGCGGAGAGAGCTTTGTAGCCTCCTCTCCTCTGGTTCCTTGCTTGTGGGTGGTGGACTCAAAAATGCTTTGCAGCGCGCGTAACCGAATTTTATCAAGCGGTGCACGGCCGCATTCTGAGCTGCAGGCGCCAAGTCTGGTTTTGCTGTTTGCGCCCAGAACGGCAAGGACCAGCCGAGCCTGGAGCATGCACGTTTGGTGTTGGAGAGTGACGCAGACGGGGGTGGTGGTGTCGTGTGCTGGGTGATCCTTCACTCTCCACATCGACTACCTTTACCGAAGGGCTGGTCCCGGCTTTCCTACCGTAACCTGTCTTCCTACTATAGTGCTATCTCTATGACAGACCTGCGCCTGTAGTCCTTCGGCGCTCAAGATACCCTGCTCGACATAGCCGGCGCTGCGCATATACCCCCAGTTACACCACATCTTATCTGTACCCGCGCAACATGTCCTCCTCCACTCGCCCCAAACCAGCGCGCAAGACCTCAGGCCAGAACCACCGCAGCACACTCTCGCTACAGCGGACCGAGGTCGTCATCAATGTCTACGATCTGCTGCCGCCGGGCAAGGTCTCCACTGTGCTGTGGGCTATAGGCAGCTCTCTGCTACATTCAGGTGTGGTCATCGGCGATAGGGAATACGCATACGGGGGCCATGACCGGCGAGGCCTGACCGGCGTATACTGGACGAAGCCGGCGCAAGAACCCCCGGGTGGAACGCTCAAGCAGTCGATACTCCATGGCTTCTCGTTCCGGCCAGCGGAAGAGCTAGATGCCATCATACATCAGGTATGGAGTTAGGTTGTACTTGGGATCATCGCTAACGTGACCAGGCTTCTGAGGAATTCCAAGGGACCTCCTACAACCTCCTCACCAAGAACTGCAACCACTTCACGTCCTACCTCTGCGAGAAGCTCACTGGGCGGCCTGCGCCGGGCTGGATCAACCGCGCCGCCAGCATAGGCGTAGCTCTCCCATGCGTTGTGCCACGGGAATGGATTGCGCCACCGGATTATGATACTGCGGATGGAGAGCTTCTTGACGAGGACTTCGACGAAAGAACGTCTATGTTACGGCACGGCGAGCACCAAGGACGGTATCGTAATGCTTCAGAGGAGGCAGAGCGGCAGGAAGCGCGCGGTTCTGGCAGTAGTAGTCGAGGTGAGCAAGGAGGCCCAAGAGGGAATCCTCGGCCTGCGCCCGCAGATCATGGCCCCCGGCTGGTCAACCTCAAAGAAACCGATAGCAGTGGCCATAAGATACCGGCAGCGGAAAGAGCGCCCCTCCCAAAGAATTTGATATGACTCGTCCTAGTCGTACATGCCTGCACACTGCTGGTGTACAATCTTTCCCATACTCCTGATGATGCCATACTGTACATGTGACCCTTTTTGATATTTCCACCTCATCCACCATCTTCCTAACGCGCCTCTTGAACCACTCTAACCCAGTCTCCTGGGCTTCTTGCTCCTGACACCTCCAAACTTCAGTCTTGTCGAGTCGGACAGCTTGACAATCAGCGGCCTGATCTGCTTTCCTTCTGAGCCCAGAATAGCTTTGGTGACCGCCTCTCTCCCTGCACCGAATCCTCGGTAGACAAGCTCCAGCTTCTGAATCTGTGGCAGCAGACCCTTGTCCTTAATTCTGCTCATGACGAAGGCCGCCAACTGATATCCTGCATCGTACGACCCTCGTCCGGCCTTCCTGAAGCCAATGTTGCCGCAGGATACCGAGATGAGCGAATCGCGGTTTGGTTTTGCGAGTGTGATGTGCGTGTTGTGCTTGGTTGCGTAGATGTTGAGCTTGTGCCTGTCGTCCTCTTCCCAGTCCTTGATGGCGAGATTGTCCATTTTAATGTCCTGGCCGGGGATCAGGTTCTGGTAGTAGTTGGGGTCGGCGCGCAGGAAGTTGCCCTCGACGTTGGACAAGAGCGAGTCCATCGTCTGCTCCGGCCTGTCTGCATCTCGAGGGCCGGCAAGGGCGCGCGCTGTCTGGGAGAAGGGCCGCCGACACGATGCGCAGACTGTCGAAGTCAATGAACGGAAGGCACGCAGGCCTGTTCTGGTGTTGGCGGCCATGCTGGGTGTGCTGCTTGCAGGGGGCCGACAATTGCAGCTGGTGATGGTCGAGGCCAAACTAAACTTCTTCTCCCGGGTTCGATGCGCGACCTCGGAAACGCTTTGGCCAAGTTCTGCGTTCGAAATATCTGAGGACGCTGCATGACAACTCCACATCTCTCTCGTCCTCCGCCGCCCGTACTTTGACCTGACATCACTTGGTCAGGATCCATCTCGGCCTCTGTCATCACATTTCATACACATCTGCCGCCCAGGATGAGGCCGCACACCGCAACCACACTCGCCGCCAGGGCGCGAGGCAGCATACAACCGAGTACATACGGGCGCACAGTTGCATACAGGCGGTTATCGACAGCGCCACTGGCATCGCGGTCATCAGCGACACAGTCGTTTGATGCATCACCACTCCAATTCCTGCGCAGCAACTTTTTGCCCCAGGACGTCCTCTTCCGCGCCGCCGCCGCACACGCACGCCAGTTCTCTTCGCAGTCTGCGCTCTACCAGCAGGCTCAGAAGCAGAAACCTGTGAAGGAGCAGACTGCTGAGTCTGAAGCTGAGCCAAAGAAGACTGCAGAGGAGCAGTTCAACGAAGAACAGGCTAAGGAGAAGAAGGAGGGCGAGGAAGAGTCTGGCGAGCAGAAAGAGGGCGAGCAAGAAAAGAAGAAGAAGGACGACGACAAACCCCCGCCGCCACCACACGGTGACAAGACCCCGTGGCAAGTCTTCACAGAGACTCTCCAGCAGGAGTTCCAGGCTTCGAAAGACTGGAACGAGGGTACAAAGCAGCTGTCTGGCACTGTCCACGACTTCACAAATGACCCTCGCGTTCAGAAGGCAAGAGAGGCCTCAGAGGCTGCAAAGACAAAGACTGCAGCCGCCTTGAAGGCCACAGCATCAGCTGTTGGTCAGGGTGCTGCATGGACATGGGACACGATGCCTGTTAAGGGAGTGCGCGCTGCTGCTAGAGTCACTGGTACTGGTCTCGACTACGCTACGCGACCAGTGCGCCAGACGAAGGCTTTCCAGGCTGTAAAGGAGACCATCGATGATGGCAGCTCCTCGCGCTATGGAGGCTGGGTCGAGAAAGAGGAGCGCAGGAAGCGAAGGGAGCTGCGTGAACTTAACGAGCTCCAGCGAACTGGTGGAAGGCCCACCGGACCCATGGAGGAGGACCCAGAGTGAGTACTGCCGCAAAGACGTGCGAATCTGTACTGACAAAGATGACAGTGCCGGCACGAACGTTACCCTGCACAAGGATGCGAAGTACAAGGAGGTCTGGAGAGACTGGAAGGACAACTCCAAGATCGCTCAAGGCTTCTTCAGCATGAAGCAGACATACGGCGAGTCCGACAACGCCATCATCTCGACCGCCCGTAGTATCACCGACCGCATCACCGGTTTCTTCGCCGAGAACGAGACCGCCATGGTTATCAAGAAGTTCCGCGAGATGGATCCCAACTTCCAAATGGAGCCATTCCTCACCGAAATGCGCGAATACATCCTTCCCGAAGTCCTGGACGCGTACGTCAAGGGCGACATCGAGGTTTTGAAGCAGTGGCTTTCTGCGGCACAATACTCTGTCTACGCAGCGCTGATGCAGCAGTACAAGACCGCTGGTCTCAAGTCCGACGGCAAGATCGTCGATATCCGTGGCGTCGATGTCTTGAATGCTAAGCTGCTCGAGCCTGGCGAGATCCCCGTCTTCATTCTCACAGCTCGCACGCAGGAGGTGCATGTCTACAGGAACGCAAAGTCTGGTGAACTCGCATCCGGAATGGACGACAAGGTCCAGCAAGTCACCTACGCCATTGGTGTGACCAGGATACCAGAAGACGTCAATAACCCCGAGACAAGAGGTTGGAGATTGATCGAACTCCAGAAGAGCGCCAGGGATTACTACTGATCGACTCGCTCAGCCCCGTTGTTTCTCTTTACAATTTGTACTACCACATGTTTGTTGCATTATCCCACGCGCGTTGGCGGTTCCGCGGTTTCGCTCCGGCATTCTCTGGCGTCTAAATGGTTTCGCCCGATGTGTTCCACCACTCTGTCTTATTATGGATGTCTCGCCCGTACGAGACGCACCTTCTCTTTCAGGGTCATGGAAGTGGGGTTGGATGAGCGCGCAGCGTTCGGCATGATGACACACTTCACTTCCCCACTCTGTACGTATATTTGTATAATACTTTGATGAGATGATATGGTGGAGCGAGGTCTTAGGCCAGGAGGACTGGTCTGTAGTGTGTGTGTATAGGACTAGATTGGCCTATATAAAGCAATCAATCTGCTGAAAGAGCAGCCCCATAACTCCTGTGCTATGCATAAGCAATGATGAAAGGGGAGCCAAATCCAGTCCATCTGAGCAAGCCTTGTGCTCCGGTGCCCATCTTAATGCTCTTTCCCTTGCAATGCGGTCTGACGTTTTGGTCATCAGCTGCTGCTCATCACTCACTGCCTTCCAAGTCTGACCGCTGCAAGCCTCGCTCCTTCCTTAAAGCTCGAGCCCAAACAAACAAAGCAAAACACCTCTTTTGTTCTGATTTCTTCTAGTCTCTTTCCTTTCCCCGCTCCTCTTCGTTCAGTTTCATTTCACTCACCCTCGACCACCACCCATTGTCTCCATGTCGTACCACGTAATCGACGGCGAGTGGCATGATCTCCGGTAGTAGCAACTTAGCCTCGGTCGCCGCATCGCCTCCAACCCAGGGAACATCTCCAAGGCACGTTTCATAACCTCCTCGTCAGGCTCATCTTCCGGTCCGGCCATAGTGACGATATTCTGGCCTTGAAACTTTCGGTCCCACTCAAGCATGACCATCCGATTATCAAGAGTCTCGGTGTCAGGGCGTACGACAAACCGAAGTTCCATACCCAACCCCTTCACCACAGCCGAGAACCACCTCAAGCCGGAGTCAATGCCGAAGACGCTAGCGTTCGACACTGGCAGCACGATCCGACTCTTGAGCTTCGATTCTGGTGGTAGTGCGGTGCTCAGCGTTCGAAGAAGGATAGCCAGGCTCAGGTCACTAAATCCACCAAAGAGGTAGCGCGGATGAAGCGTCAAGTCCAAAGCAGTCAGTGGCTTCCTTCTCAACTTGTCGCTGCCATCTGCATCTGTATCCGCTTCCGTGGAGATCGCGGGTGTAAAATCATCCCAAAGGCGCATTTTCGGACGTGCATTCCTCACCGATACGAGGCCGTTCCGTTCGTGGCTTTCGACTTCTTCATCGAACTGGTTCACACAACGCAATACCCACGCAGCGTACTTTTCGGGTTGGACGGCAATGGCGAGGTTGACATGAAGAACCCAGTTGAGTCGTTCGACACTTTCGAGATAGGCAAAATAGGTCAAAGTGTCTGGTCCCACCGCAAACGTGTTTGTCGAGTAGAAAACAGGTAGACTCTCCTTCCTGAGCTTCTTGCTGACACGCGTTAGGCTCGTCAACATAAAAACAGAACCATGGCCGGTAGCGTTGTCGTCGTGAAATTTCGGCTGCTCGTCTTGTCCCTCCTCATCGCAGAGGTGAGGCAGTATCGGCTTCCCACTTGTGAGGACGTACTCGAATATCGTCTTTCGTAGCTCATCCGGGAGTCTCATGAACGGGTTGAACTCGTATATCGAGACCTGCAGGTCCTGCACGATCGATTTGGCGAGCGTAACATTTTCCGTCCACAAATTAAGTATAGACAAGAGCGATGTCTCAGAGTCCACCTCTTGTACGTCATCCGTCTGCATCTCTCCAATCGTATCTGGCCTCACTGCATTCAAGTCAGCGGGCTGTCGGCCTCGCGGCACAAGGTTGAGTGGCTGGAACGGCATTCGAAGCGAGGTCCTTCCTATTGTCTTTCACTGGCTCCCTAACAGAACTCGAGGTGAAGGTTGCTCTATCTTTCAGAAGTGTGTGTCGCTATTCGTTGCTGCTTTCTCCTTTCCGCGCAAGGTAGCAACTGCATCTGCACCGCCTTGATAGGAGTGCAGCGCGCTCAATTTCATTGTACCTTCCCGTTGTTCGCATAGCACACCAGTCTAAGCCAACCGGACACAAGCTCCCAGGCGACCTCACTTACTGGCAGCATCATACCCGACCAAACGGAGAACCCGACGCGAGTTACAACATAACTTTCTCATGCTGATGTTGAATGTCTGTGAAGGAGTTGAACGGAAAATTGCCCAAGTCTGGGTCTGCATGTCCGCGACCAGGATCTGTGTACCACACGAGGTCAGGTACTGCTATCTTCAGTAGACAACACAAACACAACCCTTTCCCTTTTGCACTTACAACACGATCATCGAACCTTCTACTCTTAGTTATGCCGCATATCAGCAACAATCAATCCATAGCGTGTACATTGTAGACACGATGTCAAACTCTGTAATTTCATCATATTCCCTTCTTTACCCATCTACCACCTCTTCCCACTTCCCTCATTAAAATCACCGCCCCTCCTCTCTCTTTCAAGCCTCTCGTCGAACTCTCGCTGCGCTTTCTCCCTTTCCGCATCCCGGGCATCCTTGCCTTTCACGAATGTGAAGTTGTCGCCGACTGTAGATTCCTCCGCACCACTACTACTCTGTCGGGAGGTGGCAAAGCGTTGAATGCGGTCGGCCTGGGATGCGCCTTGGGGAGAGGCATTGCCTGCACCGCGACGCAAGCGGTCCCATGAGGACTCACCGGGGCGCGAGGCGGGTTGTTGGGCAGTTTGGGATGTAGTTTCGGATTGGAAGAGGCCGCCTGTCGGGGAGGTGTCGTCGTCGAAGGGGGACGATGAGGATGTTGGCGAGGGCTGAGTGGACTGGTAAGGAGGCAGTCGACGCGCTCGTACATCGACGGATTGCCGCTCGGGCTGTGGTCGCGGCTGTTCCTCATTCGCAAAGTCGCCCCACGAACCAGACGAGTTCGAAGATCCCCACGCCTCATTCCCAGCCGTCGGACTCATATCATCATCGTCACCCGCGATTGGAGGTGCTTGTCTTCTCTCCCCCCTACCACCATGCGGCGGCGTCATCCCCCCAGTCCCCTCCTGCCGTCTTCTAGCCTCAAACTCCTTCCTCCTCTCCTCAATCATCCTTCCACGTTCGTTATTCGCCTTCTCATCCCTCCCACTCGCAGCCTTGATCTCCCTCCCAAACTCCTCCAACTTGGGATCCACACTCGTCTCGTACGCCGCAATCGGCTGGGCAATCAACTGCCCAATAATGTTCCCCATCTGCCCAGCCACCAACGCATACAATCCAAACCTCCACGTCTGCCGCGCCAGATTCGCAGCAGGCCCTTTAATCGGGCCAAATTTATTCGGATCGATGCTCTCAATCTTGGGCTTGTAGAACGGGTACTGGTACGTGTTCATCGTGGCATACCACCTGTACACGCCACCTGCGGCGCCGCCTGCTGAATAATAGCTTTTGGATTTCTCGAGCTTGTAGATGTGGAAGGCGAGCGCTTGTGCTTCCTCGGGGTGCAGCGTGCGGCCGAGTTTCTTCTCGGCGAATTTCAAGGTGGTGTCGGCTTTGAAGCGGAGCGCGCGCTCGGAGAAGCCGATCAAGGGGCCAACGAGCGGGATTGGGCGTGGCATGTTGGAGGCGTCGAAGCGCTCGCCGTTTGCGAGGGTAGGGGAGGAAGGGGAGGCATAGGGGTCGTTATCGGAGGGGTTGGGGTTGTCGGTGAAGCTGTCTAGAGCTTGGTTTTCTATATCTTGAAGCACCATTTTGGGACAGTGTGGTTATGGTGTGGAATTGTGGTGTGAAGAGCTTCAGTGGAGGCGTGAGGTAGTTTGTGGAGCTCAAGCTCGAGATGACCTCATGCAAAAGCACCGAACGGTCCGAGCTGCAACATCCATGACGCTTCGGCTTCGGTCGACAATCAATCGTCGTTCAGAATTCAATCGCTGAACTTCATTCGCGTAAGCATCGAATAGAACATTGTAAATCAGTGAAGAAGAAGTAATAGTCTATGATTGCCGCCTATTCGCCGTCCGGCGCAAATATGTCGCTGGAAGTCCCAGCAATACTTATACAGAAACGTAAGAAGACAAATCCCCAGCCATGAAATGCTCGACAGGAAAAACTCCGAATGAACGCCAAAGTATCCCCTCCTTGAACTGTGCTCTACGATGCACCTCTGACGTCGATGCAAGAAGTCAAGTTCCCCTATGCACTATACCACCCTAGACGCTAGAGCGACAAGAATGAGCGAGATCAGGACGAGGGCAGGAATGATAAACACTTGCAGAGCCGTGGTTCTGCTGTGATCCGGCTCGCTTCTACGCGGAGCACGCAGAGTCCCCAGAGTTCGGGGATAGCGTCTAGTCCGCATCCGCAAGGGCACCGCCACTAGAAGTGGAGCGTCAGCATGGTCATCGATGCATTTACAGAATGACACAGCGACAACCAGCTGTTGGCTCCTCCCCGTCATCTCTTGTTTTCGAGCCTTTACCAGTCTTTGCGTTCTCTTCCTCGTCAACGATCTCCTGCGGCTTGATAGTCATGTGGACAACGTTCGGAGCTTCTGTCTGGAATCGGCAATCTGCGTAATATTAGTGAGGATACTTCACATTTCGAATGGTCTCGTGTTTCGAAGAACAGGTATATGGCAGGACCTCTAATAGGGCCCTCTTGGAGACAGACATAGAAAATCATTTGAAAAAGGATTCGTAGAGAATGAGCTCTTACCTTTCAAAGGTGACTTATCGTCCAACATGCGACCGAAGTGAATCAATCTTATCGAACTCGGTGAGGTCGGCCTTGGTTCCCATTCTGCCGAATCGGGTTAGCAATACTGTGCAAGAAGCCGGTGAAGCGGGCGTGGCTGTGTAGAGGTACATGTGCCGAGTACGGCAATACGATGCGGACAAGAGAGATCATCTGATCCTGTGCCATCGCGCAGTCGATGGCGTGATTGAGGGAGAGTTCGAGAAGATGATGTAGCACATGCTATGCTCGAAGCCAGTCAAGCTTTGGATGGAGGAAAGGAAATGCATGCATGCTCTCCAAAACGTACCTTCTCGCCAGTCTCGCCATATTAGCTCTTTTAGAGTGTAGACGCTAATGTTGTACGGGTCCATCTGTTCCACTGTGACATTGCGCTTCTTGAGGTATTTCTCGTCGATCTTGTATGGATGCCTCGCTCCCGTCGTAAGCAACAGCATTATTACTACTGTTGGCCCGTTGCTGTTGTCAGGGTTTGCCGCAGGACCATCTGTTGAGGGACCCAGAGCTGCTTCCGTTTCCGTTCGGTTCAGCTCATTGCGAGCGGGAGGTGCTGCCGATGACGATACGAGCGGTTGTGTGCTTCCTGATGGGCTAATCCCTCCAACATTTGTGAATTCCACTGGAGCGATTTGAGGGGCTCCGGAGTCGCTCGTAATGGTGTTTGTGGTTGCAGATGCGCCGGCAGGTGATGGGAGCGTCTTCATCTCTACGGCGCTCGACGATAGTGTGTCGTGGTCGGGCTCTGTTTTCGACACTGAAGCAGTCGTCTGAGGAATATTTTGCGCGGTCGTCGACGGCTGGTCCCGTGAAGGAGTCGTCATGGTCGGCCGACGTGACCCTGCTTGCGCAACGTAATCGGAGATAAGGATGGCAAGACCACGCCAAGCGAGTGAAAGGTGGCGAGGTGACGGGCGGCGGGATAAATGACGTGCAGGAGAGGTGTGGTACTTCTGCAGCGAGCGTGGAGAGGGCGGCGGCGGTATTGGAGGTGCGAAGCTGAGCGACGGATGGAGGAAAGGTGAAGAGTCGCCCGTGCTCACGGGCAGTCGCCGCTGGGCCCTCCGCAATCCAGAAAACGGCAAGAGCGATCCGCTGGCTCCACACCCTTACCCCAAGGTGCGGTTCACAGGCCCGTAGCCGAGGGAACTACGCTGCGTCCAGATCTTACAGACTGCTGCCACACCAGGACGACATCATTGTTGTCTCCATGAATGCAAATATGGGTTGAGCGGATCCGGATGCGAGTTTGCCCGGCGGGTTTGCGCATGCAATGGCCTTATCCTGGCGCGTTCAATGGTTGCCCCTGCATGCCCCTGTAATTCAACCCATCATGTAGAACACGGTTGCACATGCATCGTTAGCAATTACTGTTTGTCTATCTTAGGAACGAAGTCTTATTGATGTCCAGTGTAACGGAACATGTCAAGAGACAATGGATCTGCTGAGACATATACCTTTGGCCGTCTTGGGAGTGCTATGTCGTGCTTCGAAACCACACGTGATAAGTTCGCACTTTCTCTGTCATCCATGTTCTCTTGTGTACAATAACCTCTATGCATGCTCGGAAACCGGCTACTGATCCGGACCATGATTCCGCAGGTTACAGTGTAATTCTGAGCGGCTCCATCAGCAGGTAAGAGTATAGAATACTGTCTTGTATGTTGTTTGTCATTGCATTCGTTCGTTCGTTCGTTCGTTCGTTCGAGCCATATTACAGACCAACGCAGTGCGTTTCCGTCGACCGCATATTGTGACCATCTTGAGAAACAAGGTATGATATCACACAAGCTATGCATGCTCAAAGCCCCGTCCGTTCTGCAGCACAAATGCTACGCCAGGCAAACCGCCTCTTCTCTACCAGTTCATCTTCATCTTCTGCTCGATCTCGGTGTGGAAATCGGGGATCTGGCGGAGCTCCGAACCTGTGATCCATTGCGTTAGCCGATCTGATATACTGCCCGTCGCGACGCCGTGGGTGGCGCCATGTTTCGAGGCTAAACTTACCAGTGTACACATCCTCCCAGCCAATCTCGCAGTCCCGTCCCTCCAGAATATCCTTGTGCACTCCACTCGAGCCACCGAGCGCAGCTGGCCGCCACTCGCCCGCCGAAGCAATCTTGAGCTCCATACCCCTCCTCACCGGCTCCGCGATACCGAACTGTCGCCTCAGCATCTCCATCTTCATGCGGTCCTGTGTCTCGCGCCACTGAACGAGGCGAGCCTCAAGAGGATGTGCGGACTGGAGTTCGACGGACTTCGTTGACGAAGGTGCTGTCGATGTTTGCGCAAGGCGGGAACGGAGGTTGTCGTGAACACCGGGAGCGGAGGGCGCGGAGGTCTCGAGCTGGGTGGAGGTGGCGTGAGCCTTGGGTGGGACGAAGCGGAGAGCCTGTGCAGGTTTAATTAGCTTAGATGTTCTGAAGTATAACCATATCTATACAGCTGTGCCACCGTACCATGTTGATCTGAACTGCAGTAGCTCGGTTGTTGATGGCAAAGGCTTGGGCGAATATAACGGTGGTCTAACTGCAGTGATCTATTATTTCACAGGCAGAAGGTGCTCAAGAGTTTGGCGTGTTGAGGATGGTTGAAGTGGGATGTTCGAGTTTGAGGTTGTGGTGAAGCTCCAGGCTGTAGGTGACGCGCCGCTAGTGCGGCTGCGGCTCACGCCTTGGCATCACCGAGAGATCGTTCAGAGAACTCACTTTTGCATGCAAGAGTATGCAGTAAATGCTACATTGGCAGTCTAGAGCCGTTTCTAAAATATCCGATGTCTACAAACCGACAATGCTGCTGAAGGGCATATCCCAGACGACGCATGCTATCAACATGCTTCCAATGCTTATCGAAGCCGCCATGATGATGTTGACAGCATTGTTGTCAAGCAGATCACTGCCCACCTCAACCTTGCGGCTCTCATGCTGTCCGTCAGCAACGGCGGTCCCATTGGCTCCTGCCTTTTGCATCGTTCTCGTTGCCTGCATGGACTCGTCAAGATCAACACCACTGCTCTTCGCAATGCCGTCTTTGCCCTGCTCGTTGCTGATGACCTTGCTTCGTAGATCAGCGCCCTTCTTGAGATGCAGTTGATTCTTGCGATGGACGAGGACTTTCCTGCCGCCCTCACCTTCGATGATTCTGCCGGAATGTACATCGACAACACTAGCTTGGAAAAGAGCACCAAGCAGTGAGTCGAGTAATGTTCCAGCAATACCAGCAAACGTGATCGCGAAGGTAAATCTCATGCTTTCTTGAGAGCTCCACTCTCTGCAGAAGGGCAGAAAGAAGAACGCTACTAGCGAAATACCAAGTGACCCGTACGCGCCAGCAGCCAATCCTGTGGTCGTCACACCACCATTTGTACCAGGAGGGACGGTGCGCCACGGTGCGGTGATGAGGAAGGGCTTGACCACGGAAAGGATTCCAAGCTCGGAGGAGAAGGTATCTGCGGCTACTGCGGCGTAGTTCCTGCAACATATCAGCATTAACGGAATAGCTGCAACGAGGCTGTACTTACGCAACGATGCCGACCACCAGAACATCGCTCTTCTTGTGGAAACACAGATCTCTGCTCTCGTATCTTCCCTCCTTCTTCAGCTGCCAGAGATGCAGCAGGATCAAGACGGAAGCCACGCCTGAGTTCGCAAGGACCTGAATGTGGTTGCGCGCTCCCTCTCCACCAGATGAGCCATTGGCTGATTGTGTAAGCCTCGCTTTCACATCATGTTTGACCTGCATCCGTTAGTCGTGTTTGTGAATCCATACTGCAGGACTCTCACCTTTGTTACTGCAGTGCCAGCAAGGAAGAATGTCGTAAGCAACAGAAAGAAGACACCCCACGGATGTATCGCGTGCACTACTGCTGTAGCGAAAGCTGTCGCAATGCCAACAGGTGTAAGGGACTTATGGGACCAGGCTCGATACACAAGCGCAGCTATCAACGGGACCGCAATCACAGGCTTCATGGTGAATGCGGGGATGTGCGGACCGCTCGGTGGTGTTTTGGAACTCGTGGGGTTGAAGTTGCGTCACAGGTGTCAGACCAACCGAACGTCGACTGTTAACAACGTCGCCTCCTTGGCACCAACCTTCACTCGAATCCTTCCGGATTTTTGGTACTTCAATTGCATAAAATGCTGCGAAACGGCATTGCGAATTTCCTTCTTTGAGCCGCCTACGCTCTTAATCTACACATCTGCCCTCGGCGGTAACACATCAAGCATCCAGCTTCTGATGTCTAGTCTTTCGGATTCAAGCCGGGCCATAGCAACTGTAAGGCCTCCTCAGGCACTGTATCGACTAACGCCTGATAAAGAAGTGTGAAGCGAACGATCTCAAAATCATTCGACAGTAAGCACTGCCTCAGCCACGATCGTATTCAGCATACGGAACGCGCAAGCCCAACGGCTGTCACAAGCAGCAACGTTGAGCCCAGGATTCAGTGACAGGGGCTGTGGATGAGCCAAGAGATGCTTGTCGGAGCTTGGTTATGCTTCGTTACAACTAACTCAAAGCATCCTGTGCAGGCCATCCATGGGACACGTGATGTTCAGAGTGCTGCGTGGAATTGCACCAGTGAGTTGACATTGGAAACCTTGAGACAGCACATCAACATCTCCGGTTTCCGAGCAGCTCCCATCAACACAAAGGTCGGCGCAGCACACTCAACAAATACGACAATATTCGGATAAAGCGATTCGTCTGGGTACCCCGGTGACGACGGTGATACCGACTTCCTCACGCAAGCGGAGTGCACTGCACTGTAGCCTCTGCTGACGCTTGATGCGATTGGCTCATCGCAGAGCTATCCTAATTAGGTAAGACTGGCTGGTGTGATTGGTCCGCGCTGGTGGCTCAACTAGGTATGGTGCTAGTTCGCTTTGCACAGCCATACCATAGGTAGAGCACAGATAAACGAGCGAGCCTACTTTGCAGGTGTCAAAGGATGACAATCAACGGCATTGGTCGAAATGTGCCTTGAAGTTTGGTCCACGCATCTCAGGCGTCCTAATACCGCAATCTTGTGTCTCCACGCATACTTTCCCTTTCAAGGCGAGCATCGCGGGTGGACATGATTGATATGAAATGCATCTGACATCCCATGGTGTTTGAAATTACGCCTGGTTGACTCTCATCACGTCTTCTTTTACCAAAATCCGGATTTCGGAAAACAACTCAATGGCAATCTGGCTGTACAGACAGGCGCGAGGTGCCATCCGGGAGCACCAAGCAAAGAAAGTTGTGCCCACTACCGAAGATTCACATCTTGTACCCGAGACTACACCATCACACAAGACGCACGAAAGATACGATAGCGAGAATGGCATCGAACTTGGTTCTCCTAGAGCAAGCGACAGTCCAACGAAACATTCGAAGGAGAACGTACAGGAGAAAGAGGAGACGCGTCAACGGAACATACAGCAGTGGAAGCTGTTGATCGGGTTGATCCTACCAAACTTTCTCGCAGGTGTGGATGTCACCATTGTCGCGCCAGCTATCCCACTCATCTCATCTGACTTCAGTACATTGCACCCTCCCATCAGAAGCTGCTATCCACTGACCAAATTTTAGATCGACTGTCTGGTAGCTTCAACTGGATCATTGCCGCCTATACATTGACATTCACAACCTTCGTACCCGTTTCAGGTCAGTTCGCGGAGGCTTTTGGTCGCCATTCGACACTGCACTTTCAGATGTTCTGGATCATGATCGGAAGTGCATTGTGCGCAGGCGCCCAGACTTGGGGTATGCTCCTTGTAGGCAGAGCGCTCCAGGGTCTAGGTGCAGCAGGGATCATGAACCTCAGTCGCATTATCTTGTCTGACAATGGTGCTACGCTGGCTCAGATCTCGAGGAGTAACTCCGCGCTATCGTTGCTCAGTGGTATCAGGTAAGTAGATTACCCGGTGTATTCAGTGTTAGTTTTCCTGTACTGACGATCATAGTTACGGTGTTGGACCAGTTGTCGGCGGTTACCTCGCAGACGCAAGCTGGCGGTACTGCTTCGTGCTTCCCGTCGGTCTCGCTGCTCTTTCACACATCCTCATCGTTGTTCTCATGCGCAAAGAGCTAGTCAAGGGCAACGCAGCCCGAGCAGCAGGCAACGTTGGTAGCTCTCGCCGGACGAACTACATCGCAGGTCTTTTGAGCATTGACTGGCCGGGTGTGTTCCTCTTCATCCTCGGTGTCGGCCTGATCATCCTTGCGCTGCAATGGGGTGGCACACAGTACGCATGGAACTCAGCAGCGACCATCGCACCGTTCGTCTTCGGTGGTATCCTCGTCATTTCCTTCTTCTTACACGAGTATCTTCTGGGTCCTGGGCGATTCAATGCTCGCCTCCTACCGTCTCAAGTCCCCATGATCCCGTCGACGCTATTCCGGAAGAAGGACACCTTCCTCCTCATGATCATCAACTTCTCAGCCGGTATCTCGCTGGTCAGTGCCTTCTACTTCATCTCATACTACTGGCAGCTCGCAGAGGGCTACTCAACTTCGAAAGCAGGTGTCCAGCTCCTTTACTATACCCCAGGACTCGGTGTGGGCGTGTACGTTGCGATGTACTTGTGCAACGTTCGGCCAGCGCAGACATTCTTTCCCCTGTTTGTTGGTTCGATAGTGGAAGGTGTTGGCCTTGCGGTACTAACCTACGCCGTGTCAATTAGACACGGCACACTGGTCAGCGTCTTCCTTGCCATCTCTGGCGCGGGTACTGGACTTCGCTTCATGCCGGTCGTGTTGCACGCTGCGGGCATCTGGTCGACACGTGTCCCAGCCATGCAGTCACTGCTTTCGTTCATGTTGCCTCTTGGCGAAACCATCGGTATCTCGATGATGGGAGCTGTATTTACGAATAAGCTCAGACACTATTCTTCCGGTATCTCCCCAGAATATAGTGGAATTGGGAATCTTGCGACACTCGACGGCTTGTCAGGACCTGTCAAGGACGCTGTGCAAAACGCCGCAGCTAGATCAGTCATGTGGGCGCTGGTCACTGTGTTGCCTTTCGTCGGCTTGGCTATCATTGCTTCGGCCTTCCTTGGCAATGTCTGGATCGGTCTGGTTGCGAAAGAGGAGAAGAAAGGACAGGCCCAACAGAAGGCGACAAAGGGATACGTCATGTATGGCGTTTATCTACTCGCCTTCTTCAATGGTACCGTCGATGCGAATAAGCAGGAGCTGGATGTCAACGCAGGGTACGAGGAGGTCAGGCAAAAGGTTGCGGACGTGGAAAACGACGGAGTGGCGGCACCTCAGATTGCTCATGTAAGGCAAGAGAGTCGCTAGGTCTAAGTCGTCGGATTTCTCTGAGTGTCTATATCTATATCCATATCAGCAGCAGAAGCTGTAATGCAGTAACCTTTGATCGCTCAGACCAGCCACTGCTTCAACACCTCATCATCCACGTTTCTGACCAGCACGTGCAGGTGTTCCAAACTTCTAACGCTCTGCAAATTGGTTGTGTTCTTGAACCAGAGAACCTTGCTGTCTTTCTCTTCTTCGCCGGCCTTAACTCTGAACTCGTTGTTGATAAAGTTTTCCACCATTTTCCTTCCCTCTTGCGATAAAGCACCTTCCTTGTCGACTGGCAGTCGCTGCTTCAGCCACACACAGATATGCCGTATGCCTTCATCGTGTCCATACGGCCAATCGTTCCTGAGTATGGTGAAGTCTTCAGGGTCGGCAAATGGCACCACGTTCCTCACGTTGAACGCCATCGCACCGGACTCGTCATCAATCGGCTCCCAAAACAATCGTTGGGTAAGCAGATACGTAGTCGCACTCCTATACTCCGCTTTGACATGCGCAGTCCAAGCAAGATACGCTTTCAACTGACTAGGCCACCTCTTCAGCTCATCCAGCTGTCCCGTCGAGATCAGGTGACGCAGGTCCTCCCAGGAGTGCGGCGTGTACTCATCATCTTTTAGACTAAGTTGTTGCCAATCGATTACAGTAAGTGCAAAAGGCGGATTATCTCGAAGAAATGGCAGTGCGGTAGGATCTGGGTTTGATTTCCACGATGATTGAAATACGGATGGGAGAGATAATTCGTCGACAGGGTGGTGTGGCGCCATGTTTGGTTTGGGTGTGGTGTGAAACGAGTTGGATTAGACAGCGGGGCTGAAACACGTTGAAAGACACGCAGGGTCCATAGAAGCGGCCCGTTGTCAAGCTACGACAAGCGCGCCAAGCGTTCTTGACTTCTTTGCCTTTTACGTCTCTTTCACGATGATCAAGATGTCAAGTCTTCGTCGATTGAACGTTCGTAAACTGCCGTTCGAGCCGCCTTCACCCCAGTCGACCCCTATCGTCCCATCCAATCCCAGATTTCTCCGTCAAACATCTCGCCCGGCATTTGCCAAGGCTATAAAGCTTGGCAAGATTATCCACTTTCCTTCCCTCTCTTTCCAACTTCGTTCAGAAACAGGCGCATCGTCCGTTGCGGAAATTTGAACGGGTGGCAGAATGGATGATCCCGAGCACTTGTAAGGATATAATTGCAAGGATACAGATTAACAAACGGCGCAATTGCAGCAGATGTTGTCCAATGGCGAGGGAACCCTAGAGATGAACGCGTGGAGTATATAACGGCATCGACGACCCTGTCAAGCCTGCATCAAGCCTCGAAGTTTCTTTTCAAGCCTTGTTCTTTTTGCCATAGGTCCCTGTCTATAGTGCCACTCGTTTCAACATGCGTTTCTCCGATCTCAGCCTTGCTGTTCTCTCGTGCGCGAGCACTACTCTCGCTGCGAAGAACCACACAAAGTCGGCTTATGGAACATGGATGGCTACTTCGTTCTTGTCCAAGAACCAGGTCATTCGTCACACCTACGTTCCCGCTGTCACACTTGAGGGTATCCAAAGGGTTGCTGTCGTGAACAACAATGAGGATCTGCTCGAGTACGCTCGTAGCTCCGTCTCTTCCCTCGTCTCAGCCAACGGTACCGTCACTGGCTACAATGACACATACTACACCCTTGACGACATCCGCATGGGCAACAACGTCCTCCACTGGTGGAACGAGGGCGGCCGCAACGAGTCCAAGTACGAGATCGCCGCCCACAGGTACAGGGACCAGCTGAACCGCTGGCCTCGCACACCCGAGGGCGGTTTCTGGCACCGCGCCCCCACTTATGCCAACCAGATGTGGCTGGACGGTATTTACATGGCCGACACCTTCTACGCCACATACACCTCGTACTTCGACAACGACAACGTCACCGCCTGGAAGGATATCGAGCTGCAATTCGACCTGATCGAGGAGCACACCCGGAACCACACCACCAACCTTCTCTACCACGGCTACGACGAGACCAAGAAGGCCGTCTGGGCGGACCCCGAGACCGGCGCGTCGCCCTACGTCTGGGACCGCGCTGTGGGCTGGTACTTCGTTGCGCTCGTCGAGGTGCTGCAAGTCTACCCCAAGGAGCTCCCCGGCTACACCAAGCTGCAGGAGTACCTGACCACTCTCGCCGAAGGTGTCAAGAACGTCCAGGACGCGGAGGGCGGCTGGTGGCTGCTCATGGACCCCGAGCTTCAGGGCAAGGCGGGCAACTACATTGAGTCGAGTGCTACTGCTCTGTTTACCTACGCCTACTTCAAGGGTGTCAGGACTGGGCTGCTTGATTCCGAGTACCTGCCTGTTGCACACAAGGCGTACGGTCAGATGATTGATAACTTTGTCATCTATGAGAAGAACGGTACGCTGTCATGGAACGGTACTGTTGAGGTTGGTAGCTTGAAGGGCGATGCGTCGTACGAGTACTACACCACCGTTCCTCTCAGCTTGAACGACGGCAAGGGTGCTGGTCCGTTCATGTATGCTGCTTCAGAGTTCGATCTCACCCAGAAGAACGCCAGGGTCAACTCCACTCACTACCGTCAGTTGTAGATCTGTTTGAATGTCGGGAGTAGACGCTAGATGATCTTTAGACAGTATAGACACCTTGTACATACCACCTGTACTTAGATAGTTGTAATCCTTTACATGGCTGAAACCCGGTACTTGTTGGTGAGCACAACTGATACGCATGTTGCTAAACTAAGATTATAAACACCAAAACCAACCCTCGTCCCAAAACAATCGTGGTATACATGTCCTCATTCCTCCACCTCACAGCTAACCCTTACAACATAGCTCCAGCAAAGACCGACACAACAATCATACCCAAGACACCCAATCCCGCCTTGCTGACCTGCGGTACCACAACACCAGCCGCCGCACCCGCACTTCCACTCGCGCCAGCGCTAGCCGTCCCACTGCTGCCTCCCCGTGTGCCACTCGCCGTCGAGCTAGCCCCTCTGGTAGGTGTACCTGTCGCAGTCGCGGTGTTGTTGCTGTTGCAAAAGATTGTTCCTGGCGCAATACCGTTCTCCATGAAGCAGCTCTGCAAGTCAGATACAGACTGCTGGACTGACAGGCAGTAGTAGCCGCAGTCGCCATTGAAGGACTCGACGGGGGCGGACTTGCAGCATTGTGATAGGACGGAGGATGTGTTGCTGGCGAGGGTCACGGTGGTGCTGCCGACTGCGCAGGCGACATCTTGTGTGGGGAACTGGGCAGTTGTTAGTATGGAAAGGGGATTGGAGGATGGAGGAGAATTGTACCTGTGTGAAGTCTGCGGTTGCGCAGGATGCGCCGCTAGGTGTCGCGCTCGCAACGGCGGAGGAGACGACGGAGGAGATTGCAGAAGAGACTGCAGACATATTGACGATTATATTGTCTTATAACAGTGTGTCGAAGAAGAACTGAACAAAGTATCGGTGTGCTTGCAGAACAGTAAGTGTATTCAATGTATGCGTAGTAGTCGCGAAAGGGGTTTGCGCTCGAGCGATCGGGTGACTAAATACGAGTTCAATTCACAGGCAGCGACGATCCATATGAATATTCTGGCAAGCCCAGCCCCTAGCGTATCACCCCATCTTTCAGCTGGAAAGTTAGACCCTGACATGAGGCTGTGACGATGCGTGGCTCCACATGGTGTTGCCCGGACAATTCATGCCGAGCTGCAGCGTGCTATTTTTGTGAAATATGACGGAGGGCTCGGGTTAGGCGTGCCGAGATGGCACAATGTCTCAACTCCCAAGGCGAGGGTGGGAGGTGGAAGCGGAGTTCTTTCGATAGTGATATGTGAGGGTCGAGCTGAGTTGTTGGTGGCGACGTGAGATCACCTCGCTTCGTGCTTGCACTTCATGAAAGAAGGAAAGCGCGGCCCGTCACGTCTCGCAACTCAGCTCAAGCCTTCTCAGTTTTCAATAAAGATCTCTCATTAGATCTACATCGCCGATCAAAACGTCTAACAGGACCAAAACAATCACCGATCCTTCTTTGTTGTTGCAACGAACACTTTTCCAAGGTTACAACCTGCGTTGCCAGCATTGGCGCCTGTGTTTGTGAGGCTTCTAAGATCTGTCTCAGCTTTTAGGTCATTCGCGAAAGAGCAGGAATGTGAGAGAATAGCGCACCGCCTCATTCAGTTTGTCTGCTTTGTCAAGCCCTGAAATGGTCCGAGTAATACGAAGGCCTTCCATACTACCAATACGCCTTCAGCAGCAGACGCCGTGTAATTGTCGAATTTTATGACTTTCCCAAACACTGTCTTGAAGTCGTTACCTGCTTGTACTGCTTCTGAAAATATCTACGGTTTGTCTCGAGCATGTATAGTGAACAAGGAAATTTTGAGTACTGTAGAAGTTGTCCCAGGCATCGATGATGCCGCCATATTGTCAATGGATATCTGTATAGAATCTATGACATTGCTGATAGTCTTAGTGTGGAGGAGGTCAGTATCGTCGCGGAATATACCTCTGATACTACCAAGCTACTCAGCAAACGTCAGCTCGCCATGTTCATGATTCCAGACACTTCGTTGATGACTTGGGCAGCTTACGTAGTTTTCCGTCCTTTGATTGAAGGTTTCCACAAGTGCGCTATACTCTTTCGTGACTTGATCGAACCTGCGATCAAGTTTGTGCAGAAAATATTCCCTTGGGTCGAAACAAGGGCTGGAATTCATTGACCCTCCCCCTCCAAGAGGCGGATCGCTGCTATCTCCTTCGTCATCGCCAGGCATCGGCGATATGAGGTATGTCCTTAAACTAGGCTCAGACCCAAAATAAGCATCAACAAGAAACAGCTCAGTCCAGAACCACTCGTCGGTTCCCCATGAGAGGGACGACATCTACGCCCCATGGAAGTAAAGATTTTCGTTGTCGTCCGAAGCCTCTTGAAGAAGGAAGCTCTTCACTCTTCCGAAGTGGCTTGCTCTTGATTGTACGAAAGTCTTGGATCTCAGTTAGTGGCTTGCGACGCATGGCGTGATAAGGAAGACAACTCGAAGAAGCTCCATGACTGGCAGTATCAGCTCACAAACTTAAAGGTGCCGTAAGCTTACTGACAGTTGAAGACGAGATGATATGCTCCCGCGCCAGATATCGCTGCAGGAACTACCGAACAGGGGTCGTGGGCGGCTTCGCACCAGTCGCAATCAAGACTAACGCGCCATCTGGTATCAAGTCTGGTATGAATCTAGCTGATTAAGTTTCTTCACGATTGCTCGTGACACTTTGTAAGTGCGCGGTGCTAAACTTACATAATTCGCTTTTCCGCTTTGAGTGCTCTTCTCTTGCAAATGTTCAGCTTCATTCTTCACTGAGGGTCTCTTGCATGGTGAAAGCTAATCTACTACTTGGACCAAATGATCACGCAGTTGTGGGATATTTAGATTTCGTGAGAAAATCTTGCATGCTTTACATGCTCTATTGATCTTTTTCTCACAGTCTGGATGATCTTGGCGATCATCTATGAGGACAATGCAGTTGCTTCTAGCCCCAGTAACACCGAGATGGGAGCCAACATGCTATCACAAACAAAACGTCGGCCAAAGCAAGGACACAAAATCCCCAATTAGAGCAGGTGGAACTATTGCCGTCCCTTCCACGTAAATTCATACGACAAAGAGTGGAGACCATATGGCAATGTGTAAGCCAGTATGCCTTACTACAGCGAGGTCTTCAGTGACGTCCTTAGTGCCAATGTGGTGAATGAGTACCTGGACTTCTACCTGTCAAAGTTGTGGCCATCAGCGTTGCGGATCCTGTTATGTAGAAGAGCTCTGAGCGTGTGGCCACTTCCTCCGGTAGAGGTGTCAGATCTTGAGGGACCACAGAATGACTCAATCGAGTATAGTTTGAGCAGGTGTGGAATGAGATTCAACGAGGTCATGGAAGCCGTAAGTGACTGGAAGTTGTGGCTATTGACACCAACTCCATACTGCCCAGCTGATCAAATGCAAGATACCTTTGTCTGTAACAAGGACAGCCGCACATTAGCGTTCTAATACAGTATTTATACACATCATCTGGCCTAACGCAAGTAATTGCAAGCATGTCGTGCAGAGCCTACTCTTTCTTCTCCTCCTCCTTAGGCTTCTCCTTCTCCTCCATATCCATCCGTCTGCTCTCAACTGTAAAGTAAAGACTCCTACTCGCGCCCTCGAGCGCGCTGGTAAGACTACCACCGATGCCCTGCAGCATCTGTACCAGCGATGCGCGCAGGCCATCAATACCACCAGGAATGCTACCAACCCATTTCGTGCCCTCGATGTCGAAGATTTTGCCCTCAACTCGCGCACCTAGCAGCATCAGCTTTTGCAAACCAGATTGCACTGCGGGCTCGTAGTAGTCGGGGTTCGTCTTGCGCTTTGGCGCCGGGAACTCAGGTGCCATGGGCGAAAGAATGGAAAGTACGGTCTTAAGATGTTGCGGCGAAACGGAGGGGAACGTTACGACAGCAAGAGGTCCAGAGAGAAGGGGCTCAAGATCGTGCTTGAGCTTGCGGTTGTTGGCGATTTCGTAAGCGTGTCTCGAAAGACCATGTGTGAAGCGCTCATCATCCACCTTGTTGCCGGTCAAAGGTACGCGTGCGGTTGTTGGTGTGCGGGGATCGGTAGAGTGGTCGGTAGGAAGTTCGGAGGGGTTGAAGAATTCGACGACCTTGAGGGCGCTGGCAAAGATGTTGGTCTGGATCACCTGGAGCTTAACTTGGTCGACGATTGGCTCCTGGTCAGCAGCTACGCGCTCAGCATCAATCTTGCGCAGTGCAATTGCCAACTCTCTTCTTATGCTCATCCATTCTACTGCCTTGACATTGTTGTGTTGAAAGATAAGCATGAGTGGTGACGACTTGAGCAGCGACTGATATTGCCTATGCAGTTGCGTCTTGCGCTCCTCGGGGCGCTTGTGAGAGGGAGGTTGTGTAGAAGGATAAAGGACAATTGGGGCTGCCGGCCTGTCACCTCGCTCGAAAGCAGGCGCAGGAGTCGGCTTTACATGTGCTACCGATGCATAGCTGGCGACTGCGACTCGGGAGACGGGGGTGGAGCACGAGGTGCGAAGGCGAAGGGCCCGCGGCCTGATATGTATCCTCGGTGGCATTCTAAATTGGTATCAGAAATGGCCCAGGGCAGCAGTGTATCTGTATAATTGGCGCGAACTTACGTGATGTGTGGTTGTGGCGCAATTATGAGATGTCCGGCTTCAATCGAAAGATTTCCAGAAGCGCGTTCAGATTGGTGGTCCGTGCCCACTTCATATCTCCGGCAGCCATTTCGACTTCTTGCATCAATTGCATCTTCCGTATTTCTCGATACACTCGCTTTCAATCTGAGCTTTTCTTTAGAGGCCTAGAGAAGAGGCTCTCGTGTTTCAGACTTGTTCTTGGACTGAGCGCCGATGGCGTTGCACATTTGGAGGACTGTACCTCGAGCGCGCCTACTAAGTCCAGCTGTATGGGCTCGTGGAGTAAGATGCATTTCGGTAAGCGATGAACATTGCTCCCACGAAATTTCCTACAGCCACTTTGTACGAATCTGATGCGATCTAGACTGACAGGAGAAATCGACTGTCAAAATTCTGGACCCCAACTGGCGGGTTGAACCCACAAGATGCAGAGCAAGATGAATCACATGCACTACTCTTGCGTGGTGGCTATCTCCGACAAGCTCACTCTGGTGTCTTCCATCTTCTTCCCCTAGGATTGCGTGTACAGAACAAGTTAGAAACCCTCATCGACAAGCACATGGAATCAATTGGCGCTTCAAAAACATCACTATCTTCGATTACCACAGAAGAACTATGGAAACAATCAGGGCGTTACTCTGCCAATTCAGAACTCCTACGACTCAAGGACCGCAAAGACTCTGGTTTCTTACTATCGCCCACCCATGAAGAGGAAATCACAGTACTAGTAGCCTCAATGGTCCACTCCTACAAAGACCTTCCCCTCAGACTCTACCAAACAGGCCGCAAGTACCGCGACGAACGAAGACCACGCCAGGGTCTTCTGCGTGCAAAAGAGTTCATGATGAAGGATCTCTACACATTCGACTCCACGGTCGAAGCCGGACTGGAAACCTACAAATCCGTTCGTCAAGCTTACGAGAACCTCTTCGATGAACTCAAACTGCCTTATCTTGTCGCAGACGCTGACTCAGGCAATATGGGCGGAAAGCTCAGCCACGAGTACCACTTCGTCTCACCAAAAGGCGAAGACAACGTCTGGTCCTGCTCCTCATGCTCTTACGTCGCCAACGAGGAGCTGGTCGAGAAGAAGACCCCAGAAGTACCACCAGAGGTCAAGACATCGTCTTTCACATTCACCGGCATCAGCGTAGACCGCAAGACCGCCATCTCAATCCACATTCCGGGACCTTCAGACCTCGCGCCCAACACCAGCCCAAGCTGGGACCAGATCTCAGAGTTCACCAACCTGCACGCCCTAAAGAAAGCCACCCCAGACTCCATCGAAATAGACACCGGCATCGAATCCTCAACCCTCTCCTCCCTCCTCCCCAACACTACATCGAGCATCACAATCACCGACCGTACCCTTTCCCCCTCCCCAGACGCGTACGACCTAACCATCACCCGCTCAGGCGACGCCTGCCCGCACTGCCCCACCGGTACCCTCAGCGTCCAGAAAGCCATCGAAGTCGGCCATACATTCCACCTCGGCGTGCGGTACTCCGAGCCCTTAAACGCGTATGTTTCTGCTCCATCGGATAGCAAGGGTACGAAACGGGTCCCCATGCAAATGGGCTGCCACGGCATCGGCGTCTCGCGCCTAATCGGGGCCGTCGCGTCCCTCCTCTCTGACAGCAAAGGTCTGCAGTGGCCAAGGGCCATTGCGCCGTTCGAGGTCGCTGTGTTGGCGACCCCTCAAACTGATACCGGTGACGCGACTGAGGTATACGACACCATCGTTGGAGAAGGGAATAAGAGGGATGGGGTCGATGCGGTATTGGACGACAGGCCTATCAAGAGTTTGGGGTGGAAGTTGAAGGATGCGGATTTGATTGGGTATCCGGTTATCGTTGTTATGGGGCGAGCGTGGAAGGACAAGAAGGAGGTGGAGGTTCAGTGTCGGCGATTGGGGTTCAGGAAGGATGTTCCACTTGCGGAATTGAAGAGCGAAGTTGAAGGGTTGTTGAAGCAACTGTGAAATATCATGTGTTGTGTATCGTCATGTGCGAAGATCAGCAAAGCGTGTTAGGGTAGTATGTATGAATACAGAACAAGGAACCAATGTATAGTAATTTTACGTTTCGATTCATTTTATATCTGAACTCGTATCGTATCGAAATCCACGGGTATCATGAGGGACATTATCCCAAATATGCACAAAGCACCGACTCGTCTCAAGGTAGCTGAAACTAGACCGAAGAGCGAGGTAGAAGCTGTCAGGCTGAAAGAGCTGCCAAGCTAAAAGGTTGGAAGAAAAGACAATACTGCGATAAAAGTTCGAACCGCCGGCGCCGGATGTACCCCATATGTGTTTGTAGGAATGATTCATACCTGCATCGCTGTGCATTAGAAGTTGAAGTGAAGTTGTGTATGATGCATGGGCGTGGACATCTTGGTCGGCCGTCGTAGTGGCGTCTCGGTGATCGTGTCGGCCGTCGTCCTGGTTGCCTGCCCAGCGTAGTGTGTAAGGTCTGTTCTCGTGACCCATTTTTCTTGTGAACGTGGAGTATAGTGTCAAATGCGCCTGTGTAACGCCTGCTGGGGAAATCCAAAGCCCAATGCTCTATAATGTCGAACGTGCGAAAAGATCAAAATCAGGCGTTGTGTCACCGCCGCGCACCACCCACTTCGACTGAGTGTGCTGTGCGTTCAAATTGTGTCTTCCGCCTCTTGAAGCTTCCTCGTGCGCCATCTTCGCCTGTCGAGTCTGTCGCAAAATCGTCTCCGTAGCCTTCGCTGTAGCCTTGGTAGGAGTCCTCGTTGTACTGTCGTTTCGAACCTGATCTCTCTGGCCGTCGCGGTAACGCATGACTGTTCGGTGTCGGCGCCGATGATGGGAGCGGTGTCCGAGCCTGTGTGTCGGCAGCAGGTTTCGCGCGGAGAGTGTCGTCTGTGCCGATGTATGCTTTGTACTTCGAGGCGTCGGACGGTGGCAGTGCACCGGGGCCCATACCGCCAAATGCACTGTCGAGGAGACTGCTGAAGTCCGGCTCGAGAGCAGTCTGCTCGGCGTTCATTTTCCTCCACGGCTCTTTCCCAGCATTTATCGCGTCCCAATGGTCATCTGGCAGGCCTACCGGACCGCTGAACACATCGTCCATCTTCACCGCTTTCGGCTTGCCCGCAATCTGCAGTGTCTTGATGTGACCTTCGTAGGACTTCCGGAGTTTGTTGATCTTCTCGCCTGTCACTGGGTCCACTCGCGCCACAGATTTGGCTAATCTCTCCAAGCCGTACAGCCGGAAAAGATTTTGCGAGCCATGTGGTCTTGACTGCTCGTAAGTCTCCTCACTACTCAAAAACAGTAGACTCCCACTGATGCCCTCTGCGGCCTTCAGCCCTCCCTTCTCCGAGAATAGCGCCTGCCCTTGCCGGTCGTGATTGGAATGTGTGTTGATGCCCAGGCCCCGTGCAGTCTCTTCCGAGCCGTCCTCCATCATCGCATCGCCGTCGCTATCAATGTTCGTTGAGTAAGAATGCCCTGTGGTGCTTGCGGGTGTGAGAAACGGGTGCTGGGCTGCGGCCGATGTCGCCGGCTGAGACACAGACTGGGACATGGTCGCGGATGATGGCGGGGTCTTGCCCGGAGACGCAGCGGTCGCAGTCATGGCAGAGCGGCCATTTAACTGCGAATTCATCGAGGAACAAGGAGGGGAAGTCGGTGTGCGCGGTTGAATAGGCTTTGTCGTTTGGCCGCTCGCCTTGGCAGCGACGTCAAAGGGTGGGGAGGCTGGCGAGTATCTTCCAGAGTTGTCCAAGCGTTGACGTTTCGCGCTGTGATCCGACATGAAGGCCGTGAAGACTGCGAGTAGAGGAGCGGCAGTGCAGGACTCGAAGGCGGTGGGCGTGAGGCTGGTGGTGAGAGCGCTGCTCGTAATGAGGTCTTGGCGCTCTGCGCGGAATAATCCGCAAAAGTGAGGGTATGTGGCGCTCTAGACGGTGCGCATTCGAGGATTGTCGTTGGACTGTGGGTTTCCTGGTGTTTCCGAGGGGTTTGCTGGTCGTGGGCAGTTGGCGGGTGGGGACTGGGCTGGTGAGGTGAGTGACGGCGTTGAACTGCAGAGGGAGCGAACGGGCGCTGAGCCGAGATCCATGCATCACGTGCAAGCGCGAAGGCGTTGGGCGGGCCCTGAGACTCAAGCTCAAACAATCGCCAGCACTCCGCCAGTCTTGGTCCAACGTGCGTGCGCGCCCAATGCCTGCACCGTTCGGCCAGTATGGATGACAGGACCTCTCGCGCTGGCGACGCCGCCCGCAATGCCAGCACATCCACCGGCCAACCAACGCGTCCTATGCCCTCTACCACCACGAACCCCAACGCGCCGAAAGTGCTGCAGCCGAAACCGCAGGCCTTACCCTCGCGCTCAGGCCCTAGCTCTATCCTCGTTTCGCCGCGCCAAAAGGGCAACCCAATCTTAAATAGCGTCAAGTCGACTGCCTGGGAATACTCAGACATTCCTGCAGATTACGTCCTTGGTGCTACAACATGCGCGCTGTTCCTGTCGCTCAAGTACCATCGTCTGCATCCGGAGTACATCTACAACCGAATACGCGACCTGAAGGGCCAGTACGACTTGCGCATCGTGCTGACTATGGTCGATGTCGAGAACCATGAAGATTCGCTGCGAGAATTATCGAAGACGTCATTGGTCAATAATGTCACGATAATGCTGTGTTGGAGTGCACAAGAAGCTGGGCGCTACCTGGAGCTGTTCAAGACGTTTGAGCATGCTGCGCCCACGAGTATTCGTGCGAAGCAGTCGTCAACCTACTCTGAGAATATGGTGGAGTTCATCACTGTGCCGCGAGGGATCAACAAGACAGATGCTGTTGGTCTGGTCTCGAACTTTGGCAGCATTCGAACCGCGATCAACGCTGGACCGGAAGAGATTGGCTTGATCGCAGGCTGGGGAGACAAGAAAGTGCAGCGCTGGTGCAATGCGGTGAAGGAGCCGTTTAGGGTCAAGAAGGCTGCCAGACGAGGCCTTACCCGGGATAACACCCAAGCAGGCTTGTCGAGGGATGCCTCAATGGCGGAGGGCGAGAGCCAGACACCAGGAGAGCCTGATGTTCAGGCAATGGCACGCCAGAGACTGGAGGATGCTGTGCCGGTAGCTCTTGGGATGCAGCAGGCTACTACAACCTCAGCTGCAAACACAGACGCAGACAGGCGGCCTTCTCACCGTCCTGCTGAAGTTCTGAATGAGTTTGAGGATGATGAAGAAGCTCTACGAGAGATTAGTCATGCACCTGAGCCTGCTGCTCCAAGGCCTGCGAAGCGGAAACAGGCTGAAGAAGACGTTGGCGAGGGCGTCATGGCCGCGCTGAGTAAGCTGAGAAAGCAATGATAAAACTATCGCCTCAGCCGTGTACCACAAGGTGATGTATGTCTCTGCAAGACGTTCAAGTCATTCACTTCACTCCCTTGTGCTCACACCAAACGAGATCCTGACTAGCGCTGCCGTTAGCAGTTAGCGCGCCTTCCCCACACATGCACAGAGCAAACAACTAGCAGCTGCCTGCCTGACATCTTCCACGCAACAAACACTCGACATAACGACTTATTTTTGGAGCGCCAAAGCCAACATGCCTTTCGAAGCGCTGCCGGCTGAAGTTCAGATTGAAGTATTCAGCTATCTCGAAGGTTCGAACCTCAAGGCTGTGCGTGGGGTTTGCCGTGCCTTCAGAGACAACGCTGAGCCTACCTTGTTTCGATATGTCATTGCAACAGCACGGTATCAATCGCTCGGCGCCTTCCAAAAGATATCATTGTTTCCTGTATTCCAGAAGCATGTCAGAGAGATTATTTTCGATGGTTCTGTGTACGACCAGCTGCTTGCAAAGCATGAGCCGTCCTACCATAGGCAAGCCGCCAAGTTTCCCAACCTTGAACAGGGCTTTCGCTGGCATAAGCACAGTCGGTATGTACTGCGCCTTCAAAGAGCTCTGGCAGCGGGCTAACTCGTGCTCAGATGGAAACAATATGGCCAACTCTTCAAAGAGCAAGAAGAGATGAAGAGCGACGGCGTACTCGTGCATACCATATCACGGGCCTTGGAGTGGATGCCAAACGTCACCTGCATCACATACTCACCGTATCCTCGCCATCTTCCGGTCGAAGTCAAAGAAATGCGCGACTTGCTTCCAAGGGGTGTCTCAACCTCACCCACAGCTAGCTACACGTCCTCGGACCATCCTTTCCGCCAACTAATCGCTGCCCTGTATATGTCACAATTCACTGGGATTCGCGAGTTCAGGAGTGATGGTCTTAACATGGATCCTGGCACTGAATTTGCTCTTGGCATCTTCGGTCTCAAGGAAGACGACATGGCAGTCAGCAGGTTCCTATTCCAGCGTCTTGAGAGACTTGTGCTGAACATGGCACTGCGGGTTCCGGACGAGCATCTGTTTGGGGAGATTCTCGACAAGTTCGCTGAATTGCTGAGGATATCTACGAATCTACAACATTTCCACCTCCACCCTACTCACTGGAGGTCAGAAAGAGGCGCCCAATCTCTGTTCGCTCGTCTTGGCCTGGGGACGACATGGCCCCAGCTGCAGTCTTTGAGCCTTAAAGATGTACTTGCGGACGAAGAGGAGTTCTCCGGCACAATTAAGCGACACAAAGAGACCTTGGGCAATGTCAGGTTCAGCAAGTGCAGCCTCCTCAAAGGTGCTTGGGCTGATGTTGTTGATGAAGTGGTTTACGGCTCAAAAATCTTCCCATTCGTGTTGGATCGCGTGAACGAGAGAGCGTTACCCAACCTTGACTACTCGTCGCTCAGCACATCGGAAAAGGAGTGTTGGAAGTATGAGGGTCATGTCGAGGTGACGAAAGACGGTGACCGTAACTTTGTGTGTATGAGAGGACTCATGATCCACGATGTAGTACTAACGGATTCAGGTCGAAAGCAACCCTTCCAAGAAGTCTGTATATGACGCGAGAAAGCAACAGAATGATCTTCTGGAAAACTCCTGACTGACAGATGAGCCTTCAAAGCTGGTACACCGAGTCCATTACGGGCGAAATCTTGTCCCGACATTGCTACGACAATACTTGACTAGGTAGTCTGAGAACAAGAACACTTGGATGCCCGCTACCACGATCCGCCTGCCGCACACGGAACCCTATTTGGTTCGGCCAGGCCTGTCTGTTTCAGTACAACTTGGTAGGGCTACACGAATTTAAGCTTTCGGGTAGCGAATACTCTATTCCAGCCGCCTCGCATCTGTCACAATCACTCTTCATCACAACGAACAGATTATCCGCCAATATCATCACCATTCCAGTCATCATCGAGCTTGACGGACCGATCGCCAAGTCTATATGCGATCCTTTTATACCCAGCCCTTGTTTGTGTTCCAATGTTAGATGTGGTGGTTTTCGCCGTCGAACTTGGAGGCATACGTAACCCCGCACCATCATCTGCCCCCAGGTGAGATCCCGCGCATCAGCTTGAGGCTCAAACTCGTGGCATCAAATTACAGGTCCAGGAAATCGATCGATTTCTATTCTTTCCGCCCAATGCGACTTGTGCATATTTTGACGCAAACTTTGGGCGACTCCGCGCCTCTGGTTACATCGCTTAACAAGTGCACGTTAAGCCTCCTGCCATACCAGGTTCATGGGACTCGTCACCTCAATCGCTCCGATACTATTGAAAACCGCTTCTACAATGATCCAATTTCAAGAATTGCCCCCTCGTGCCACCTGGGCGTGCCCTCCATGCAACGTATCTCCTTGGCGACTCGCAGGACTACGAGACGGATACTCTTGCTGGCGCCCTTGCCCTTCGCGTTACTGGCTGTTCCAGAGAACCAAAATATTCCAGTTGTACATCCGGTGCGCGTCATACAGGATCTGCGCCATGGGATGGTGTCACGCACGACATGTGACTCAGGCTTTCACGCGCGTACGGAGGCATATCGGAATTACCACCTTCCGCGTATGCCATTCGCTGCCCCTCTGGAGGCATGATAGTACTATATACGAAAGCCTGAGCGCCTGAGAAGGGGCAAAAGAGAGTGGAGGCATATGCAGCACAACATTGAGGGCACGCCTGTGCCGTGAAGTCCCTCATGTTGTTGATATGAACCAGATGCGCCTCTCATTCGGTGTCCAGTCGTTCCACATTCCTCCTTTGGTCCTGCTCATCCATAACATCAGGTCGTCCTCCCTTATACTCTTTCCGCTGAAATCATTCAGTCTCCTGTGCTTGAGTCATCGGCACCTCAGTCACTCTACCTCCAATTCTTGCCGTCCAGTTGCGCGTCAGGCTGCCACCGTTGTACTTGCTTGACTGCATTTAGAGTTTTGGCAGAAGCCACACACCGCGTTGTCTTTCCGTTTCTGTACGTTCGGTCTAGCAACGCAAGATGACCCGCAACGATTGTCACCAGTATACTCGCCACAATGGCTCGGGCCAACGGCCCTTTCCCCAAGGAAGTAATTACTACTACTCAGCGGCTGATCGCGTCAATCATGAAGTATGTTTATGTTCGATCGCATGAAATTACAGTGGCTAATAGTCATAGTCTACATATCAGTCAAACGTCGCGCGAGACGTTGCCTACTCGCACCAAAGCGGCTCAGATACCTACTGCTACCCACAGGAGCTTGAAGTCGATACCCACGGATCTCATGCTTCTAACCAGCAACACAGCAGCCCGCCTCCGCAAGCATACTACGGCGAAGCTTCACGATGTTGGAGATCCGTCAACCCCAATATCCAGCAGATAACCACCGCTCCTGCCCTGACCTACAACTACAGCTCAATCCCTGCACCAATTCAGACGTACTCCAACCCCTCATATGCTGCTATGGGCACAGAGAAAAGGCGACCAACGCAACCTAAGCTGGAGATCCTTGACTGCATATCACCGCCGACGAGCGGCAGGGTTCGATATGAGCAGCAGGGCCAACGAGCCGGTCATTGGGATGGTGTTGCGTATTTCAGGTAAAGAAAAACGCAAGAGGTGAGGACACGAGACGTATGAAAGCAGTTCGAAGGCATTGATGAAAAGAAGAAGCATATATATACATTCTTCGCATCCGCGTTGAAGTGCCGTACACTGATGTTAGGATCCCCAAGTGTACGCGATGGGGGCCCAGATAAGGGCGCTAATGTGCAGGCTGTGCATTGTGGTGGTCATGCATATGGTTAGGTGCAGGCACCGACCTGGCGTACATTGGGGGCGGAACATGACAGGCTGACATTCATGGTCTATCGATTTCCCACTGTTGGACTTCAAGCTGGTGTCTTCAGGTTCAACGGGTGGTTGAGATTCTTCTTTCTTCTTTAATTTCGATAACGCGATATGTTCACTGTTAGTTCAACAAGACATCTTCATCTGCACGGTAGTGATAACTTCTATTCACACACGACGCAAAGAATCGCCTTTTAGTCCACTCTAGCAATGGACTGCTAATAAGAGCCATCGAAGTAGAGAGTTAGAGTGTGTTGCAAAGTCAAAACAGAAAGGTAGTTGGGGCATCGTGAACCCTTGGAAATCTGACATTGCGGCTCTGCTTGTGCTGACGCAGGTCCCCCCTCACCGGTCAACGTTGCTCGCCTTTGCCAATATTCGACCGCGTCATCTGAAGGACTGGAGGCACACATCCGATCTCTTTGGACGAAATTTGAACGTATACTAGCCACCCGTTCCTCGAAGGACTACTTCACTAATGCGTGGTGGGGGAACGTTCGAGGCGTGCAAGGGCGATCTTTGCCCCTTGGGTTGCCCTTTGAGCCTTGGCGTAGAAGTTACATGCGCATGATGGATGTTGTCAAAAGATGACCCGATCGCAGAGCCTCAACTTCGCCGAAGTAAGAAGGGCGAAGGGCTAGAGGGGGCACAATGTACGCCTGCCAAGAGACGAGGCTCTTAATCTTGATGATGAAGGCGCAAGGCAGCAATTGACCGGAACTCCGGGTGATACGGGAACGATGTATCTGAGCAATACCACACTTAATGTCACTTTGGAGGGTTAGGTCGTCAAGCTATTGTGCTTAGCGATGGTCGCATTCGTACTGTGAACAATTCGACAGTGACAGCTGCTTGCGGAGATAATGCGAAATCGTCGGTCCATGTCGTCCCGAGCCGAGGGTGGGGTCGCTAGTGTGGCACGGAGCATTGTGGGGCAGGAGCTGTTACACAGCTTCAACGACACCTTGTCAAGCTCGTTACCGCATCCTTTGCGAACTTGATGCCTCGTTTTAGTGTTCTCGAGCGATCCTTTGGAGAGTCAATTCGACCGGCGTTACGCGAAAGGCTGTGTTGTCTCCACCCAGCGGCCGCCCACAAGGCACAGTTTCAACTTTCATTCGCCGGCGGCCAACGCTAGTATCAAGTCCTCCAGGACAACACGCCATCCAGACTTCAACGATCGAGTCCGTCGAATCCTTCGTCACTCTTCATGCCGTTCAATATGCATTGACTTGATCTGGAAGAATCAGCGATGTTGACTCGATCCACAAGCTTCGGACATGCCGGTCCCGTCGATTGATCTGATCCGTCACTAGTTCGTCTGCATACGAGCATGGCTCCCACTCCAAATGATCAAATCTGACCCGAGCGCAACTTGGCCCTCATTTTGATTCGGCTCCACAATTTGGTTCGGTCATGTTACAGCTTCAGTTTCGAAAATAGATTCTCAGACTTAGGATCTGTAGGAGCTCATGTCGATAGCTGAAAATAGATCCTAGAGATGAAGGATATCAAGAGCATACGCCTCCGTCAACTTGAACGAGAAGTTTCGAGATGCCTATTGCCACTACAGCACATCAATTGCAATGCTACCGCAACCCAAACGGATGTTGCTCGATCGATCAACCACTCACCGTGGGCTAAAGCCATTTTCCTCCCGTGGTTAGTATTTGACAACAAGGCATTCTGTCCTCCAGAACTTTGCAGAAGCTCTCTCGACTCTCTGCGCCGCAACCGTCTGCGCGCGTACTCTGGCTGCTGGTCTGAATGCCAACTCGCAAAGCTTGCCAAGCTATGCACAGCACCCTCGGTACTCGGCCTCCATGTTTGACTGTTGCCGGTCACCAACTCAGGTCTGCGCAGCGCAATAGTAGCCCGAGGTGACCCAATGTCGACGCCGGTGAATGATCGCCATCTTACCTGCCTGATTGGGTCTAGGTCTCTGATGCTTACCTAGCTAAAGTATGCCTTACCTCTTCGCCCGTAGCCCTTCGAGGGTGCTAACAAGATCAGAAATCAACCATGCCTGGGTCAGAAATGACCATGGAGAGTACCCACCAATAATCCTACACCGCTGGGGTGAGCGACGCCAAGCACTGAGTTCGAGGGTGTCGAAGAAGGCAACCACGAGGAACAAGTCAAACTATCGATGGGTCCTGCAGTGACTCGAGAGAGCACGAGACCAATCGGCGTACGTTCTCATCGTTTGCCTTCTTTTCGCGAGCACTGCTCATGCAGTCCGAACAACGATTGCACCTTCCCGGACGTCACCCACCACATCCTATCACTCCATAGCGCCCTCGAGGTCGCTGCCCAGCAATTTCACATTGCAGGAATGCAGTGTGTCCCACAAGTTCCTCAAGTACACGCAAAGCGGACCCCTTTGAGACGCGCGTTTTGTGTTATCGTGGGTTGCGACGATAAAAAGTCCCTCAATGTCGCTTTCCTGAAAGGAGATATCTTCAGACAAATTCCCAGCAAGTGGCAACATGCGACTCTTGATTCAATCACACAATCGCTGGACCATTGAGTGAGTTCGTGCACCTTTTCAAGTACTCCCTCGCAGCAATAATGGTGACTGACATATGCAGACTCACATCGACCAAGCATCATACGGTCGAATGTTCAACACAACATCGTGAACCCACATTCGTTTCGCACACTTCCAAAACACAGTCAATCACTCGACCATCCGATAGCAAAATATCTGCAACTCCATTAGATACGGAACCTTTTGTTTCTGAACAGAGGATTGACGCTGGACCTTCTCCAGCTCTTTCACGTCACAAAAGCATTCGCCAGCGTTTAGGTCGCTTCTTCCTCCACTTCACTCGAGCGCATCCGGAACCTTTCCCGAACGCATACGAATATCGTCACAGCGAAGACGCATCAGAACTACCTGCTGGAGGAACACCAATCGAAGGCTCAGCTACCGTTCAAGAGATGCCTGCACCATTTGCCAACCAAGGTACTTTCGAGCTGGAACAACCACAATTGTACGACATCTGCAGTTATTCACACACAATGAACTCTGCGTGCGATGGAAATTCGACCAATTTTCACCAGAGCTACTGCAAACCGACTTGTATGGATGAGCTCGCCATGTTCCGCGGTCCTTTACAAGTTGCGACTCCCAAACATCTTCCCCGTCTCGCGGTTCCGGGATCGATGCATTCTTTACCTGCTATGATCGCCGATCAATCTCCAAATTCGGCATCGTCTATATCACCAAACACACCAGTGGGTCACTTCAACAACGGGATACAGCCATATTGGAATCTGCAGCCGGCTACACCTACAATATCGCCATGCGAAGTAACCAGTACGTTGCCGTGGTACGATCGCCCCAGCTCTCGGCATTATCACACACAGCGCAACTTTGAATCACCCATGACGCCGAGTTCTGCAGGTTCCTTCAACGTCGCGACTCCTCTCTCGGCACATCCATCATCAGCTCACGCACCGTTTGGTGCTTGGCCGGAGCCTGGGCCTGAGTACTTACGATCGGCGTTTCCTCAGCGGTGCCAACCTATGAATTACGAGTCGAACACACATTCAACGCCGAATCTTCATCAGAGCACGTGGATGGCTGACGTGGACCCGCGTCAATACCGTCATCATAATCAACCCATAGAGGTTCGAAACCAAGCCACAGTTTCCGACATGATCCTGAGCCCAGGACCTCAGTGCAACCCACCGAATTACGGTGTCCCATCCGCGAAGGAGAAGTCGTTATACAGTGAATCGCAGCTCCTTCCTGCTATCGACAGTCACGACACAACCACACGTATATGCCACAGAAGCGACTATGCGCCACCAGCATACACTTCTATTACTGCATACCCCTCACAATATCCACCAGCCACATGCCAGCACTGTGGTAAGAGCTATACAGGAAAGTTTGCGAAAGGAAACTTGAAGAGGCATGTGCAGCAGATCCACCAATCATTCATGGACAGAGCGATCCACTTGTGCAGAATTTGTATGAAGACGTACAACCGTGCAGACGCTTTAAGGAAGCATCAATGGAAGAAGCACAGGCAAGAAGATGCGAGACCGAACAAGAGGAGAAAACAGAAAGCTGGGTTGGAGCTCAAGGCGTAATTCCCATTTCTATGTTTGCTTGTATATTATGATACCTAGCCCAAATGGCATATGAACAAGTTTCGAAACAACTCAATTTCCAACAATGTCTAATTCGACCTGTTCACAGAATTGCTGCGTGATTTCCGTTCGTACAAGCCATCGATTTGCGAAATAAATCTGTGGGGCAAGATCACTGTCTGCACCCTTCGCCTAACGCCAGGCAGCAATTCCATATCACAACCTGGTGGTGATGTGTACTGTGCAGTACAGCCTCAGTCCTCGTGCCGTGCTTTCCGGAAGGGCAAGCTGCGTATAAGCAGCCTTCGCCATGAAGTGTGATTAAGCTCAATCCTCCACGGATGCCCTGTGCATCAAGGGGCGCGAGGAGGCTTACAACATCGACCCCGCTCCGTTACAGTTGCCCTTTCGGACAAAGACAGGGGGTTTGGCGCTGGCTATGGTGGATCAGGCTGCTCCAGCGTGCCCGGCAACTTGATTGAGCATGTAAAATGGCTAAGAGCTCGGTAGTCTGTTCATACTCATATATACGAACATATGCCGGGGCTTAGCCAGCTGAAGCAGGGCGGTGTTTCGAGCGGCAGATAGGAAGCGGAGTCGATAGGATATGAAGACAGGGCAGCACCGCGTATGACCTTATGGCTTCCATGTTTGGGCTTCGTGCTGCGTGACCTGCATGTTGGAGGAGTCGGTACCACCGAAGTTTGCGGCTCTGCTGCGTCTATACGAGAGAGGGTGTGCTGGCTTTGGCATATGTGAGAGGATAGGGTTTGGCCAGGGCATTACGAAAGGCGCACGCAAATCGAACACTTGCGGCTCTTGCGGTCGGACATAATCATTTCCTTTTGGTCATATGTTACGAGGCCGACGTTTACTGGGCGCAGCTCAGCCTGCTAAGCCTCGTCGTCAAACTTACCAAAATTGGAGAAGGCTGTTCGTCATAATGTAGTGTGCGGAGGACGTGGGTCGTGGAGCGTTGCTTCCCGGGTTTGACTGGCTGATTTTAGATACCCTTGCAAAGTGTATATCCAGTCAGCGATCATGCTTCTATGTTCTAGGGGTCGAGTGCGGCTCTGCTGCATGTCAGCAAATGAACAGTGCAAGAGGCACTTACATTTGTCTCCTCAGTCATTTATTCTTGTGTGGAACTAATCTTGTGTTGCCGATGAGGGATTCATCTTAACTGAACAGTGGTGGAAGCGTAGAGGGAAGGCCGAAGGATGGCGTTGGAAATCACGATCTCATTTCGAATTATTCCCGGCATGCCACATCCTTGAAACTTCACACCTGAGGCGGTGTCTAGCTACGGTTGGAGCCGAGGAATACCCATAAAGTGCGCGCTTCGCTGTGGTTCAGACCTCTGGTTTTTGATGTTGTTAAAAATCATCCGTACATTGTCGTGGCAACTCTGGATGAGAGGAGCGCAGGTGATTGGCGCACGCTTCTCATCAACTCACACGCGCAAACCGGAAGACCAGAAATAAAGCCTTGCGGCATTCGTGCGAAGCACGGGGTGCGACAAAGGTCGAGACTTCCTGTGGCTGACTGACGAAGGTTTGTCGGGCTGGGTACGTCGTCGAGGGCTTCTAGAACACCTCCACACTTCACCCACAACTCGTTCTTGCCGCATTGATGCCCCATGTCTACGATGTCCAAATCAAGCCAGGCGGTCGCCCAAAGGCATATCGGATGAGTGTTTTCGTCCCGGCGGCCTAATACTGATTGGCTGCGCAATGTATGCCGCCAACCCACAACACCGCTACTCGTTCGATTTATCTGCTGTGGAACGGGAGCAACTACGCAAGCGTGTTATGGCAGGACCGGATAGTGCCTGCGCCTTGCAAATGCAAATTGCGATGCAGCAGGCCTGCGCGACCCTTGCTCCATTCGGACTCTTGCAAATCTTTCCTGTAACTGCGACTCTGCAAGGGTATGAGAAGAGCAACCTCGTTGCACTGAGAGGTCCTCAGACCTGTAATGCATGTAGGGATACAGGTGGGTCTAGAGCATGAGACAACAGATTGGTGGAGTTTCCTGTCTGAGATCTCCTTCGGAATCGCCGTCCACAAGCAGATGGTATGCATGCCCAGGCTCCACTATGCCGGCTCCACGCGAATGTAACTCGACCCATCGGTCTGCCACCGCACATGCACGTAGGAAGACGTGCAGTACAAGCGGCGTCTCCAAGATTCATGCGCTTGCTCGAAAGTCCGCATGCTGCGATTAGCCGATCGAAGGAGTGGAGTACCTCGACTGCCCTTAAGCGTGCTGCTGCTGCGGCCCTGTTGGTCGTTTTCTTCGTTTCATACCTTAACGTCATTGTGTTTTTGATTTGTTTCTTGTAGTGCATGATCTGAAGCCTACCCTGATCTGCACCGGCAGCTTCGGAGACGATCTAAACACAGCCTCCCCTTTGCTGCCTTGAATCACAATCCCTAAGCATCGCTCCCGGCCCCCGGCCTTAGCGCAAGACTTAGCTGATGATACGATGACCGTCGGGCGCGGAAACATAAGTTGTGGAGGATAAAACCAAAGGGCTCATAGCGCAACTGTGTTGTGTTGCCCAGCTGCTACACGTGGATGAGCTCTAGCAGTGAGCTCAGCCCAGCGGTCGGTGTGGCTCGTGATAGGTTTGTGGATCGTCTTTATCTTCTGAGGTGTGATGATGTTCCGGTACGAGATGTGGTTTGCTGGCGGCTTGGGCTCCAATCCAGGGTATCTGAATGGTCCACAGTGGAGGACTTTGTGGGGTATCGTGAGTCCTCTCCTCTAACATGAGAATGCATTCAACACACCTCGCTCCCTGTTCAACATTCATCACAAGAGCATCTTCATCTTCGTATCCTCTTTCTGAAAACATTCTCGGCCAAAATCGCCATTGTGATAAGCAGCCGACCGCCTCGTGTAAGCCCGCTCGTCTCCACTCTAACGTCGTGGTTGCAGACAGCTAACCTCTGTCAGACGCCGGCTGCAGCTCCGTCTTGAGTGAAGCCCAACGTCCCGCTTCTATCGTCGCCTTGTATCTCGACAACGGCGTGTGACCATTGCTGTCCGTCACCAGTCTGCAGGTGTGTCAGAGCCAGACTCATAACAGCAAGCTGGTACCTGCGCATACCGAAAGAAAGGCCCATCAGTCTGTGGCGTAAGGCTGGGGATTCTGAATCGACAGTAGCTTTCAGGTTGCCTTCGGTCTTGAGTGTGGTATCGACATTACCTCGCCTACCCAGGTACGGACAGCTTTCGACCCTCGCCTTCTTCACGACGTCCACGACCAACACAACCGCCGTTACTAACCACACCAACACTCAAGCCTACTTTGTGGACACCGTTGCAAACATTCTTCTTGCAGCGCAACGCATCTCAGTTCCATACCATCTCTTACATCTTTCGCTACCAGGAACATACCTCTTTCGGAGATAGTGACTGATCACGGTCTTGCTTGTCATCACACCGCGACCACCTTGGCTGAGCAGCTGAAAGGAACCTGGGGAAAACGGACGACTTGTACTTTCTGGGCTCTGCAAACCTAGAGCACAGCATGGAGGGCCGGCATGGACGAGGCCGAAGGTCCCACCACGATGCATACCATAACTATGATGGCAGCATCCACAACCCCGATACTGTGTACGACACAGAGACCACAACTACAGGCAACAGCTCGTTTGAACACCCGCAGACAATGGGTCGCAACCGATTCGTACCCCCATTCGGCGTGAATGGAAGTGATCAGGTTGGTGTACGACCTATGCCACGGGTTCAAGACTGTCAGTATTCCGACTCAAACGTCCAGGTCGCCTCCAGTACATTCTTACAGACTGAGGCCGAGGGTTTCGCAAACCAAGTGTCATCGATCACCTTCGGTATGGGTGGCCATGCATATACAACAGCTGGTCCACCCTATGCGACAAACAACGTTACTGCGAACGAACCGAGCAATGTTCCCAACTATTACGCCCACCGACACGATTGTGTCGATTCACAGAGTCAATCCAATAATTCGGATGGATTTGTGAATCCTCGGTTCCTGACACTAAGTGTCGAAGACTACGACGAGCTTCAGGCTGGGGTCCGACAGGAAACATCAGCGTATCCTGACAACCCAAATCTGGATGCAGGTAGCGACACCCCCTTCTACATCGGCGATGTGCCAGGTCTTCATGGTGACCTCGACACATCTCAGCCGCCTCAAGGGTCTGTGTCGAGGTCCATATCGTCCGATACTTCACTCTTACTGTTTGACCAAATGACGGCTAATATGCCACTCTCCCCTGTTCCTGCACCCATGCCGACAGAGTTAGGGGATGTACCGTTTGCGCAAACGAGGCGGCAGTTGAACATGCCCTGGTCGACCGAGCAGAGCAGGCTGGATGTAGCGTACGATGAGGGCACCTTCAATAGAGGCCAGCAGATACCTTCGACAAGGGTAACCTCATCCGGAAGCCACAGCTACGATCAATCATGGATGTCGGATATGGGATACGTGGCGACGGCAGATACCTCTTGGGATCCGGGTGCGATCCCAACGAACCCTGACGCCGCGGCACATCATCCCTTGCCATTCGTAATGCATCAACCTGCAAGTATGCATGCGTTCGAACGCCGCCACTCTCTGCAACCACATGTCTCTGGACCTTCGCAAGACCCCTGGTTTGAAAACCCTTCTCTTCAGGAGGATATTGGACCTATCCTCGACAATCTTCACATCGATGGTCGCTCGGGCCCTGCGTCTATGACCAGGTAGGCACAGCTCTAAAGCTGTAGAAATATGAGCTGATATGTTCCATTTAGGTTACCAAGCGACCATCTGTATGCACCGGACAGCACTTTGTTTGCTAACAGTCCAACCTCACCGACTCCGTCTGAAGTCAGCATGACTCCTTCCGTCGTGCGAGCGTCTTTGATGTGCCATATCGGTGGCTGCCACGTCCTATTCACAGGCCAATACCGACGCGGTAACCTTGCTCGCCACATTCGACTAGTGCACAACCGAAGAGAATTCCCGTGCGGAGTGATCGGCTGCAATAGAATCTTCAAAAGGCAAGATGCACTGAAGAAACACTTTGATAAGAAGCATAGAGGCCGCTAGCTTTCTCTGGGAGCTTTTGCCTTCTGCAAGCAAATAGCCTGGCCTAGTGCACATGTTTTGCACCAAGACCATGTCCCGTATGAGACCAGCGGTGGCCGGAAATCCGCTGAGAAATAGCGTCCAATCGCTCTGCATGCAGCTTCAGACGCAGACACAAGCGCCCTGGACACTTCTAGTAGCTTCATTGCTGCCAGATAGTTGTTTTTGCTTTCGTTCTTTGGGGGATTTCGTTGTAAACCGTCCGTTCCGTATACATGGCTGCATCTCTTTCTGCCCTTCTTCTTTCTTTTGTTATCACACTCTCAGCATGATACCCATTTATCCCCTTTGCATCTTTTCATTTCGAAGCAGCACCTTTAGCATGTCCTGTATAGTCTGAAGTTCTTGTCGGCCATTGTATTGACATCCGCTAGATCAGTCGGTTGCATTACTGTGCCCCTTGCTCTTTCTCTCTTGCTTCTTTATTGTTGCGATCTTTCTCTCTTTGCGCTCGTATCCCTGTTCTCTCTTGCCCCATGTCTTCTTGAAATACCACATCCACACTTGTATCGACGTAATGTCCATGGTTCCTCCTGTCATGTCTTTCATTACGAAGTAACATCTTGAATATCTTATGTAGGGTCCGGCGTTTCGGTATTCCATACGTTGCTTTGCTTTCCTCGGCGACGGTCAGTCCTCTGTTCGAGGAGGGCGGAAGCTTTCGAGTCGATGGATTCGGAAGGTTTATGTTAGGCGCACCAGCCGAGGTCACTATCAATTGTTGCTGCCTCTCAAGGATACTTCGGTACGGATTATGCCATCGTCTCATCACTACTCTCTCGCATGAGGGTGAAACCTTTGCGTCATTCATGTGAAGGACGACAAGGGTGAAGTGACGAGGATGTTGTCGGAGAAGGTCCGACAACTTGGAACGGTACCGACGGCCCGAGCAATGTTCCGTAACCACGTGTACCTGTCGACGACGACGACGACATATGCCAACACTCGATGTTCGTCATTAAAGAATCGGCGGGATAACCTTATCGTGCTTGTGATGCTTTTGATGATTGGCGGTGACAGCTTCACTTTGGCGATCGACAACAACCGACGGACGGCCACTGATCGACACGACAAGGAGTATAGGTCGAAGTGAGAGAGCAACACTAAAGAGTGGTCAATATGCAACGCTTCAGATGCAACCTTCTTGCATATTCGATCGGTCATCCGAGCGTTGGCTCCTTCCGACGCGAACTGCCTCAGGCTTCGAAACATTAACACCAGTCCTGGCTGACAACGTGGGCTACCTGGAGGGTATTAAGGTGAAAGGCTGGCATGATTGTAACGTCCTATGTAAGATCGATGAGGTCTGTAAGAGGCGAGGCGTCGATATTCATCGGTATGTTGCGTCGTTGAGATTCTGTCCTTTGTTCGGTACAAGTTCGCTAACCTTCCAGGCTCCAAGGGCTAGTCCAAGTCGTACACCTATATATGAAGGGTTGCAAACAGCCTTGGAGGATAGGAGGACTTCGAGGAAGGTCTGCTTTATATATGCCGGCGTATCGAATGCTTACTAGTCTTTATGGCGCTGGCGCCTGCTGTTAGCGTATGCGATCTTGTAATGCTTACTGGTCCGCATCCGTATCATCAGCCTCCTGTTCAATACTCGCCGCCCTTTCTGCCTTCTAAGAGGACAGCCGCACGCAACTACTGACATACTAGTCAAGTAAGCCACCAAAGAGCACTGCGTGTACAGAGAGACCATGTCCAGTACCCTGATCTGGGCTTGTCGCCTCGTCTGCTTCCTTTCGGTTCTGCCCAACCCTCATGACAATTGGTTGATTGGGACTTTCATCCTGGTCTCGACCCGCACAGGTGGCACAGCCCACTTGGGCAGCGTAACCCCAGAGCATGGTCTGCCGGACCACGAACGGTCACATCGATTGGTAAGTGCTGAATGGAATATCAGAAACTATTGGCGATGATCAGATAAGACTGTTATGCATGTTCGTCCACTGCTAGTGATGATGACGATGCGAGGCGAGTTTTCAGCACAGCCACAAGAGCACACGCGAGCTGTGTGATTCAGCTTCGTAATGCGTCGGGGACTCCGAGAAGATTCATTGCCTCTGCAGCTCATATATAAACATGTGCGTAAATTTAAAAACTTCAGTATCATGGCCATTGCCTGAGGCTCGTTGTCAGTCTTGAGGTCGCGAGGCTGAATTTTGCACGCAACGTGGCGGACGTCCCGCTTCCGCAACCTATCAGGAACCTGGTCACTTCTGTGAAGTGGCTTCTGACAGCCTATAGACGGGACGTCGACTCTCTTGATTTGCAACATATCTATGACTCCTGCCACATACATCGCAACGATATGACGAGCCGATGAGAAAAGTCGAGTCACTTTTGGGTGCATGGTGACTCCTGCATGCAGATCTGATAAGTATGCATGCAGTGACCTTGTCGCAGAACAAAAGGTGTGCCCAAGTCTGATGCTGCCCGAGGCTCCGTAGTGACCACTGGGTACAATGGCGACAGTGAGATTCGTTTGCCCACTCTTAATAGCTCATGCAGACTCGCAATCTGATCCCGTTTGCTGCACTGATGCGCGGCTTGTCTCCTGAATTTCATCATATTCAGTGTTCGTGTAGTCGACCAGCTCAATGATTGAAAGCTGAGGCTATCATAGTCGTTAAAGGTTTCAAGACCCAAAGCCAGCATGTTGGTAGACCGTCGCTTCAGCCTAACTGAACATTTCCAACAAAATTGTCGGGATCCGAGGTAGTTCAATCGTAGTGTGATGGTCTGCCTCTTGAGCGTTGTAGCTATGGTTTGCAGACTTGCACTGCAGCCATCTCGCCCAGTGTATGCATGTCTACGAGCTCCGTATCTCTTAGCAGACGATTCGTTCAGCCGTCGTTAATTCACAATGTTGCCTGACATACCGAAAAATCTCAAGCTTTGATGACATTGCTCAAGCCTTCGTACAAAAAGCGAATGTCTGCTTAGAAAGTTCCAAGTCAATCCCGTCTCTTTAAAATACAAGGATCCACGACCGGAGTGCCACTAGCTCTTACTTAAAGAAAGACACACGTATGATCTATAAGTTGAGCAGAAGATCAAATTGTGATCTCACGTACGACAGCCTGTATCTTGCTTCCAATGATAGGTTAAACACAGGAAGGGGTTCTAGATACCAAGCGCAGGTTAGCGTTAGAATCCACTATCATGTCCACTCAGAATGATCATGTTGGTGATAGATCGACATAGGTAGGAGACTAGTTGCTTCGTTGAGTAAAAATTTGCCAGCGGTTTATCAGCGAGGACGCTGAGTGGGACATAGCAAGTGTCGGTGCAGCACCAGTCGTCCGTGTTCGAGATTTCGTGTCATCCAATCATGATCACATTCGCGGTCCCAATCATTGTGCTGTCAGTAATCGAGGTAATGGTAACGTAGAACCGGAATCTTAGTCAAACCCGTTTCGATGTTTGGGAAAGACCTTCTGACGGCAAAACTCAATTGCGTCTCCGATCGATTCTCGGTTCATCAAAGTGCATCTGGGTCCGGGCCGTGCCTAGCGCAACCATGTCGAGGAGGAGGTCGAATCGCGTAATGAAAGGGGGTCCTGCGAGTCATGAACGTTGTTGCTGAAGTTGGTGGCAGGCGCTAACTGCTTGGAATCATGAGACTGAGGTGAACGGAAGCAAGCAACGCGATCCTTATCGGTGAATACATCTAATCAGTGTGAAGGAATGGAGAATGTGCTGCACGCTGCACGCTGCTGACGAATGATTCGCGTAGATAGGCAAAGGTGCAGCAACGAGTGGGGTTCATGCGAGAGATTATTGTGAGGCGCCTGCATCCAAGCCTTGCAATCGCAGCGAGAACAAAATGATTGATGGAAGGTTAACGCTGTTGTTGCTCAAGCAACGCCAGTGACGGGTCGGCTCAGACGCTTGACGTGATCGACGGATGGTGATCGCGCTCGCTTATGCTCGCCAGCTTGAGTAAGACAAGCAAGCGCATTTTCAGCCTCGCGCTCAGCTACGTATAACTAACTTGGACAGAATACACGCCGAACGGTAGCCACTCGGAATCGCATGCTCTAGGCGCGCTCCTGGAAGCGCCATTGTATGCACTGATGCACAACAAGGCGCGAGGAGGCGGCAAGGGTAGATGAAGTCGGAACCCAATCCTTCCTCGGGATCACGCTCGTGCCAGTGTGGATACTCTTCTATGCAGCTAGGATAAACTGAATGACTTTCCATACATCTACTTTGTACAAAAGCCTAAGGCTTGTGCATTACTGGGGACTTAAATTACACTCGTACATGCCGACTCAAAGGTGTTTGGAACTGCTGACGCCATCATCTCCGTTTCTGCCATAGCCGCACGTCCAGCGCAGCTGTATTGCCAGAAGCGCTTTGGTATGAGATGGCTAGTTTAGTACTTAGCTTGAAACATCACAATAGCGTGTAAAGGTCCACTGCAAATGCCGAGTACAAAAGTAGATGACGCGGGATAGAACTAGCAATCGGCACCGTAGCTGCGTGCATCACACCCTCACAGACGTGTGTGGCTTTGATCGCCCAGTTCCAACTTTCCCATGTGCATGGGAGCAGGAAGCCCTTACTTGGCGGACCCCGTTACAATTAAGGGTTCACATAACCATTAAAAGAGAGCTCGTAGCCGTACGAAACAGAGTTTTCGATCCTTGTCGCGCGCATTCGCGCCCATATGTTTTTGGCAATTCAGTCAACGTATGGGATCCTCTCTTTGGCTGTGAAAACAGTCTTCCTTCGCTTACAGTTCGTTGTCCGGTGTGTTCGCGTTAGCTACGCCGCTACACCTTGAGCATGGCTCTGCCCTTATGCTTCACCTTCCTTGGGAGGTGCAATTGATTCGATTGCATCGGCACCTGCTCCTGTTCACTACCCGATGTGGCAGAGGTATTTAGTCGTCCGCGTAGCCACTTGGACAGGCCTAATCTTCTCGTCGCTGCGCCTGTCACGTCTGTCTTGCCCGACGGAGTCGTCCTCTCATATCTCGTGTTCGTCTCTTACACTGCCGGCTTGATGTTCCTGTCAACTGTCGGAACGAACGGCTCTGCCCGTCTGGTGCAGGTCCGTGTCGGCGTGCCACATGAGAGTAGGCAACCACATGGTCATTATGTCGCATTGGATCACCAACAATCTGTTTTGGCAGATGAACGACATGTTAGAGATATCCATCTTGTGTTACATGACCAGCCGGACTCAGTAAGTTGGACGACAACATCCTTGGTGAGTCCTTCGATGGGAAGCGTAACGTAGCAGTGCCCCGGGCCGTGATTGGTGATAAGAAAGTCCTCCTTTTTCGGCTCACCCAAACTTGACTCTCGTCGTCACACCGCCATGTTTACAATCGAGTAGGAACTGATGCCGATAGCGAATGACAGTCCCCACCCCCCGTAACACTTCGCTCCCACATGGTGTTCTGGACTCTAGTGTAGCGTCTCCCTTCCCCGCACCTTCTGGAAGGGCCATCGCCGTCGACAGATTGAAGCAAAGCCCGAAGAAGTACTCCATGCTAGAAGAATGAGGCGGGACTGAGTTTCCAGTTAAATGCGCTCCCAAAAATAGCAGTCAACTAGGAAAGTGGGTAAGTGTACTTCTGAGCTTCCTCCTTATCAGGCTGATGGAAACAGCACATCTTGCTCCACATCAACACAGATAGCGAGCAGCTTCAGCGATCATTCTTAGTTGTCGTAGCCCGACTCTTTCACCACGTCTTCGTGTTGTTAAGAAAAGTAGGCCTACGAACCTTTCTTCGTACGAAAGCCTGGCGACGGGTGACGCCGAACGAGCGCCAAGGTGGACGCCACGATCGACCTCGCATAATCAACGCGTTCTCCCATCCATCGACCGTTCTCATTCTGGACTTTCGAAAAGCCACATAGCCTTCTCTTAACAGCAACGACCTTGACCGATTCTCGAATATCTGTTCTGCCGGGCGCCGAAGGAGAAAGCATTGTCGACCACCGCGTAAGAGTCACCCTCTTCCTAGCAGCGAGGTTTGCAACTCGTTCCTCGTCACGCCCTACAAGAGTCGATCCCCGATTGATCACTCTTCCCATCTACACGTCGAAGTTTTGTGAGCATGTGCGGTCTCTGGGACAGCATGCCCCCTTTCGATGCACTAAACTGGCAAGGCATTCAACCAGGCACAAACAACGGCGGCAATACTCAGCATGGAACTGAGAACCACCAAGAGTCGGACCAAGCTACGGCTTTTGTTGACTTTGAGGCATTCCTCGTGGAAGAATACATTCCAGCTCCTTCGCAAGTACCCGATCCTCGATGTGGTCCTGTGTATGGTGAGGATATCAACGCAGTACCACCGGGCGGTACAAATCTAGCAACGCAGTATCGACCGGTAGATGAATGTCCTCAATTCGCGTGGCTAAATAGCAACATCAGCTCCGGCGGCCACCCACACAACGATCGTTCGCGCGAAACTGCAACGTACTCTTTCAACAACTTGCGCGGGCAAGCCTCTTCCGTCCCTCCCACAAGTTGGACTGCGCAAACACAGCCCCATAAAGGATCTAGACTTGGAGAATGTCAAGCCATCGTGCCGAACGAGCAGGTGCACTTCCAAAAGCACCATCGAGGGTACCACGACCCGTCATTCTCACAACAGCCTCGCAGCACCATGCCGTATGCCGATGCCCATTTCCATCAACGCGACAATGGTCCTGTTCAAACCTCTAACGCTCAGGGGTTCTTGCAGGCGAACATGCCAGGTGACATCCCCAACAGCTTCACCGGACAACAAGCAATGAACTCGATAAGCACCATCGATGGAGCGTGGTCACCCATCAACACAAGATTGGAAGCTGGCACCCAGATGCTCCTTGGTCTAGGGAGACCACAAGCAGATCCTACAGGAGGTTCCTCTGAGGGTACACCAACGTGGCCTATCGGCAATGCAAGCGGCGGCTCGGCCCTTCGAGACCTAAGGGACCCTACTTCAGCATCACTCATTTCGGAGATCAACCAGATGCTGAGCAGCCAGCCTACCGTCCGGCAAGCTGACAACACGAATGAGGTGGCACAATCGTACAACGCTGATCAGAATGCTTTCCAGGGATTGAGCAGTCCTTTGCCACTACAGGGCTCCACACACAGAATGAGGTTCGAGGTGCGTATTCGCGAGGGTACGCCGCTCGATGCAGCAGACCAGGTTCCATCCATGGAAGACGTCAGCGGGTGAGTGTGGTCCGACTTGTGGCGAAGCATGTTGTTGACAGATCCTAGATATGCAAACGAACAAGACTTGCTTCCCATCCCTTCATCAGAGCCACCTACTTCAGATGCGTCGTCGCCGATGAGTATTACCTCACCGAGAGTCCCAACATCCCCGTCAATACCCCCAACTCTGTATTGTAACGAGGTAAACTGTGCCGCCGAGTTCAATGGAATATATCGACAAGGAAATATTGCTCGTCACAAGCGGCTCCTGCACCAAGGTCATGCTGGCTATATGTGCGAAGTGCAAAGTTGCTCCCGTAACTTCAGACGGCAAGATGCTCGTCTCAAGCATTATCGGAAACATCATCCGGAGCTGGCAAGGGCAGCTGTACGTCGTGGGCCTCGGCGATCAAACTAGATGCATCGATCGAAACAATTGTCGACACGCATGGCATTCGTCTGTCACGGCCAATGCATGCTCCTTAAGGCCGATAACTGCAATAGTGTCTTGAAGGTGCAATGCCAGATAGCACTTGCGCCAAAGTCCGTGCTGCGACCCCTCTTATCGATCTTGGGATTATATTGTGTTGCGTTTTCGAAGAGGATAATGCGATGCAGACACGGCCCGCCTGCCACTGTATATTTTCAAACTAGTCGTGGCATCGATATGATCGGATATTCGGCGTTGATTGTTGGTATCTTGAGATTTTCTTGTACGTCGTTCGAGATGGTCGAGACGTGTCGCGGCCTCCTTGGCTTGTGGCCGCTACCGGAGCGAGGCTTAGGCAGTCGTCCCTCATGATGAGCAGTATCATCTACGAGGGCGTACAGCTGCCCGCACGGTACACGCGGGTATGCAGGCCGTCATGGTCGTTGCGATCGCGGTCTAAGAGCAAGCTGTGTCTAGTAATGGTGGTGTAGAGATGGTATTTCATTCAGGACTCCAAGACGAAGCTCTAGCGGAGAACGCTAGGGCTAGTCAGTTTAGGGACCGAACCGCTTTGAGGATCTGAGCGAAAACGCACGACCACATACCTCGACTCATCATGATCGAACGTCTGCCTACCGCAGCGCGACATGCTTACTTGTCCCGGATACGATGCCATGAAGCTCGGAGGTCTCCTACACCTAGCTCAACAGCGTTCTTTTGCCCTCGCATATTGCGCGCGATAGAAGAACAGCTTCTCCTTACAACACGCGGTGGCTATATGTAAGAGTACAAGAAAGGGGTATCGTAGTACGATCCGTTAGAGATTGTGTTACAGATTGACGTGGAAGGAGGATGTACCGAACCCCTTGAGGGCTATCAGCGGGAAGAACAACTTCCAACCTTGGCACTTAGAACAGTGAAGCGACGCGCTTGTCTGGTATCGGAACTTCTCTGTGCTTCGCTTCGTTCCTTTACATATCTCCTATGTTCAAGTTTGTCAGTACGGCCGACTGCGGGCCGATTGGGTTGTCTTATACATACGGTATTGCAAAGCTAGGCGTCTGGGCAGAGGTAGGAGTCAGGTCTTCTTCTTTACAGCAATGATTCAAGATGTGATTAGTTTCTCTCGGTGTTAGGAGCGGCGGTAGCCGCTAGTGCATGTCACCTGTCAATTAAACGCGTGTAGTCATGCTTCGCTTCGTAAGTGCTTGCCACACTTGCGTACACTCTCTCAGGCCTCCATCCAAGAACGCCAATGACCGGTGACCCGTACGTATGACAAGTATACACTACTTCGATCTGCATACGCCAAGCGTTATGAATACGCAGACTATCGTTCCCCGCTTGTTAGATTCAGGCACGGAAGACCCGCTACACCAATACACTCTCTTGCAGCGCACTATTATTCTCCTAGGATCATGATTAGCTGGCATCAAATCAGCTCCTCACGGCACTCAGCTTCGAGATTCGAGGCGACCGCCGAAAAAAGAAGCTGCAAGTGGTCATTACTATGTGGCTCTTACATTGACTTCAGACACAGCCACACTGCACCATCAGCTTCGCATTCGCTGATAAGACTTGCGTTAACCGGGAAGGCGCTCGCCACCTTCTTGGAAGTTGCCATCTTTCGAGAAGTGGCCAACAACAGCTCAAATCGAAGGACGTCAATTCCTTTTCCTAAGCTGAGGTTCGATTTGAGCTAAAACTAGTTCGCCGTGTCGATGCGTGCATGAGGCTGGAGTGGGGACGCGCTTACCGCCAATCATCACACCGCACCCACGCTTCTCGGTGTGACGATTCACTTTCTCGACTTCGATTGTCCATTATAACTTGACCGCTTCAGAGGTCCTAGTCAGGGGCTCAATGTTCCAGCTACTGCTCTCAAGCAACGAGTATTCCCAAATACAGACCAGAAGTGCACCACAGGACTCCTCCAAATCATTGCCACTAGCGTACGTGAAGCCCAATTATATAGCCCAAAGTGATAGCTTAACAGCTCAAACAATCTGACGATGTCTGATTGTTGCCCTCGAGGACTACATCATACAATTCGACATCCAAAGAAAGCCTTAGAACTTTCCTTGGAATATGCACCTCCCTGCAACCTCCATGCAACTCATATGCAACCCTCCACGCAGAGACACATGTTGCTGCACTAGAGGTCAGAGCAAATAGTAAAAAACCTCAACCCCAATTTCGGTGACGGAAGCAGTCTTTCGCGGCATGCTTTAAGCGCAAACATCTGGGCTGGCCTGCTTGAACATTGACAGGACCATGGCGTGTGATCCCTTTGGCTTCGTCTTCTTTACAACACTGGTGAGTCTACTTGTTCAGATGTTGGTGTGATACCAAGCTGCCAAAACACTCTTTAAAGGCCGTCCATCATTGCGTCTACTACACTTCCTCTTGGACACTGGACTGCGATGTTTGTGAATCATCATCCTAGTTCGACTGCAGCAGGGAAGCCGTGAAATGGTGAACAATTTCTGCTCGCTCGTGATGTTTTACATGTCAAAATATGTAAGCGTCGTGATTTGTTAGCGTTTGTATGTAAAGCAAGGCATTCCTCGGGTCTTCGATTTCTTCGGGTACGTCTCTATCTCCGCATAGCTTTCCCACACATCATATATAGGTATGAGCGACGGCCCATCATAAACCACATCGACTGAGTCTATGTGGCTTACGGAGCCTCGTCTGAAGATGAGTCATCCCGTGCCATCAGGGCTGTACATTGAGATGTACTAGCCGTTGTCAGAGGCCTCTTGTTGATCATGAATATCACAGCTCAGAAGATTCCCTCGATATCGAACTTACCTCTCGATGTTTCATGTGGGGGGTAGTCAATATCGCATATAGCAGCAGTTTGAATAGTAGATTCCTCAAAAAGATTCATGCTCTATGGCAGGACTTTCCATCGCGCTAGGCCTTCGATTCTTTTTCGTGCCAATCGATTGTCGATTATGTTTATTCACGATATCTGCCGAAGCAACCTTGTGGGCTACACCAAGAGCTTTTTCAATCTGGTTCCGTGAACGATCTTTGGCCGGCGATGGATTCTATCTTTTGTGGAGTCTCGTAGTCCGCTTGAAAGGCCTCAACGATAATGTTTCGCAATCGTGAAGAAAGCTCCTCAATCTTCACATGGATACAGAGGCCCATCGGTTCATTGGGCTCGAGGATGATCGTGCCTCCCTGACATGGCTCGTTCAGTGGTTTCTCTCATTCGTTACAGTGTTGATATTCTGAGGGATGACTGGCGAGAGGAATGGATTTGTTTGGTAGCCCAAGAATGAAAGGTCTTCGACGAACAGCCTGGCTTCCCGGACCGGACCTCTCCTGACCCCAATCAGCCCCATGGCTCCAAGAAATGGCATCCTTGTGAAGCGTGCGCCATGGCATCGGACCGCACCTAGCTCGTTTCGTTGGCTATTTTGCAAGCCGCCGGCCCGGTCCACGGTTGCAAAAGGTAGCTCATGCTAGGATGGAGATCGTCGGATCATGTTAGGAGGTTGAGATCAGGGAAAGCTCGGATTCCCGATCTTCGGCCGTCAATCAGTCGGTCGTGTTGTTGGGAGAGCTGCAACAACGTGAAGATTGCGCGCACGTGGCTGACTCGCTGCAATGACGTCTATTATAGTTCGTGGGGGCTGAATCGCGGGTGGGGATGGTGAAGCCGCTAGGATCATGCACGGTGTATTGAGGCTTGCAGCCTCGTGCACGAGGCATCTGTGGAGGCGATTACAATGCGGCGCCATATTACCGATGCATAGCAAAAGGGGGTTGTAAGTGAAGTGTTCAAGATAGAGTACAAAAGTGGTGGTCTAGACGAAGCGGATAAATTTCGCACTCTTTTTCACGTTCGGAAGATCCCACCACCGCAATGGCGATCATCTCAATGACGCTGCCCGCCTCAGCTGCTCGGTGTCGTGCACAAGCTGAAGATTGCGTTGCGGCACGAATCATGGCGTTATCTGCGCATGAATTTGGTCATCCCACAGATGCGCTGAGACAATCCGATGGCGCTCACCTTACTGCCTGTAGATTTGGCCCAGCAGCTGTGGATGCGATCCTCATGCAGACACGGACAATCGTAGCCATTTTTGTAGCCGTTGGAACATCAAGAGCAGCAGGCTTAGGCGAAAGGAATGGAGAATCGTCTTTGTGAAATCTCCGTGTGAAGCCTGGCTGGTCCACTTTGCCGAGAGGTCCATAATGACAGTGATACAACATGCAGTGCGGACGATTGCATTGTGGTGTTGAGCAGCAGCAGCACTGGACAACCGAACAACATCACGCGGAAGCAGCAGCCCGCCATACCTTTGACACAACAACCGGCTGCAGATCACAAACGCACGCACTGACCTATCCAGGGATAACCTCGAATGAACTGCCGCTACACACACGGAACGTTGATCAGAGGATAAGTTCGACGAGGCGTTGTGGCTCCTCATCCCGATGCAGGCTACGCCAATCCCCCTTGCAGCTCTTGCTGGAGCTCCGTGTGATGTGACAGCCACTATGCAATTGACCTGCACCTCATCTAAGCTGTGTTGATCTGCATTAGTGTTCAAAGGAAGCGGGGTGCCCGACTGCTTTCTTGTCGACTCTGCCCTGCAATCGCTTCTTCGATCACTTACAATATACCTTACCTGTGATCCGCCGCCTCGATGCTGTCGTACTTTCTTCTCCTGTCACCCATTACAAGGTACACTCGGATGTCGGCTGAGATAGAGCTTGAGCTCAGCCGATTGCCCGAGTGAGTACTTGAGTCGCTGCACCGCCTCCAAAGAAGGCCCTCATACGTCGTCGACACCTCCGCCCACCTCGGCTTCACTTGCTGGGTTGCAAGTCACGAATGGTTCTTTCGGTGCAAGATAAACCGTCGTGGATATACTGGGGTGTGGGAGACACCCCATTGGTAGTGTTCACTGCGGAGCTCGACAGCCGCTTTGACAAGCATATAGGCAGATGAAGAATCTGTTGTCGACGCTCCAAACTGATGAAGCAGGTTGATCTTGTGACGTGACACATCAAACAATTCCTTGTTAATCAGTCGTATAGCCCATTCTTTCCGGTTGCGTAGTCGAATAGCCATGCTTCTCCGCTTTTGTATAATGCGTTTCGTCGTTGGGCTAACTAGCAACCGTTAGATGTTTAGTCCTTCGAGCCCGTGCCCTCCGACACCACGTACATGTCGTGGTGACTCTTGCACATCAGCACGCTCCCACAACTTGTGGTCTGTTTGAGCTTCGCATACTCCTTATTGTGCACAGTATCGGCGCCACCAGAACCGCTGCTCTGCCTCCCGTTCCACCACCACGAAACACCCACCCCCGCAGCCCGCCATACCCGAACAAGACCCCCTCCCCAAGACGAAGAGACGTTCTCCCGAAGCCTGCTCTGCGGAGAACTGCAGCAGCCTGTGGGTCGTGGGTGCTCATATCGGGCTTCTCGTCCGTAGAAGACTTGAGCCTTTAGCGCTCTCCGCAGACGTCTTTCGACATAGCAGCTTGCGCTCCTTCCTGCCGAACGACATCACCATCTTTCGACATAGCAGCTTGCGCTTCTTCCTGCCGAACGACATCACCATCTTCCGTCGCGTACTTCCCGCACCCCTCTCTGCTCTCTGCCTCTGACGAAACGAACGCATTTCCGAGGTGTGAGGCGGTCGGAGGTGCTTGGCATCTTGGCTGTGCCTGAGGCATACCAAACTCCTTGGTACTTTGCAAGACAACGCTCGAATACCATCCAGGGATCTCTGGCGTCCATCTCTTATCGTCGAGGCCCCTTTCAAGAAAGTAAGCGTCCCCACATCGACGGCGAAGGTGCTCCCAATCGTTTGCCGACTCTGCTGCTGCCACCTATCGCGGCGTCAGGCGACCAGTGCTCCCGAAAGCACTCTTCTCCTCCATCGAAACCCAGATCGACCGAAAGACACACAAGCTCTGTGAGCGTTCAAACCCTATAACATGCCTGGATGTCGCAACCTGAAAGGGCTGCCAGGCGAGCGCAGTCGCTTCTCGTATGGTCAGCGCTTGGACGATCAAGCTCCGCAGCTTCCGAATTGTCGAGAGGAGGGCGACACGTATCACCAATATGAGCATTCCTCCACTAGGTACACCATGTACGGCACCGACATACCACACCCTGTCACAAACAGTCTCGGTAGCCTGGAACAGGCCTGCAATGTGACCTTTGTCCAATCGGTGAGTGTGTTTGGGAACATGAACTACGACTCCCCAAGTGCAGATGCGTGGCAGAGCCACCATCAAACGTTCCAGCCGATTCAAGGTGGTCCAGCGGCCCTTGCGGATCCCGAGACGCCTCAAAGGCAGCATCCCCAAGTTCAGGCGCCTATCAGAGGAAGCCAACCCATCGATGGTATCGGACACCAAGACAGCTTCTCCGTGCAGCCCAGTCATACACAGACCGCTCTCGATCTAGATTGGCAATACACCGCCCAGGATGATATTGAGTCGATGGAGGCTCCGGGCCAAGATGGTATACAATTAGCCGAGGACTGGGGAGAGAGCATGCAGCACCACGGCTGGTGCAACAACGAGTCCATAGACTTTGTTGACACGGCTGATACGATATCGGAAATGTCGCTGAACTTGGATGACTTCGCCGGACAGACCGATGCCGCCACGCCTGACTTGAAGACGTTGGCGTCGAATCCGATCGATTCTGTTGGCAGGAATATCCAGCCATGGTCGCCGTACGCTCCAAATGACCATGGCTGGCAGCAGTGTCAGCAGAACGTGAACCTGCTGGTCAACCACATCGAGTCCGCGACCACAAGTCGATCAACGTATACTGCCGGAACACTAGAATCCAGCTACGTGTTCATCAATACCCCAGGAATATCAACGATGTCGTCCATCAGCCAACACACGCAGGACATGGTTGATAGCGGCTTGACGCTGCGTCCAAATCAAGAGGTGTCGCTGGATCCTGAGACCGAGTTCGATGATGGCGACCTAGACCAGATAATTCTCGGTCTGAGTTATCGTATCGAGCCTCCTCCAGGCGGTATTAATGGGTCCGTGTCCAACCCTGGGATGGCCAATCAAAGCCTGCTGTAAGAATGCATTCTCCCTTGCTGTGACCCAGGTTGCTGACAAAGATAGTCCTGTTCAGAGCACCAGCTTCCTCCAGCCAACACCTGGGAATAGCGTGTACGATTATGCAGCTTCCACAACGGCTTCGACTCCCTCCGCACCGGACACCATACAATGTCGGGTTTGTGGTAAGGAATATAGTGGAAAATTCCGCGTGGGCAACCTCGCTAGGCATAAGAGGTATAAGCATAACGGCGCTGTTGTGCTGGGGTGCCTGGATCGCAGTTGCAACAAGGTCTTCAAGCGCCAAGACGCTCGCCTGAAACATGTCAGGAAGCACCATCCTGAACTTGCTTCTGATCCTGTACCGAGACCGGAGCAACGCAAGGGACCCAATACCCTGATACAGCACCAGTTTGATCAGAACTACGAGCTCAACAACGTGGGCTCCAGATTCGAGCAAACCAGTCGGGCGGGGCAGGCGCAGGAGGGTCGTCCAAGTCGAGGAGCTACACCAAGAACTAGCTCTTTCTGACAGCCATGTACTCTAAGGCCAGATATTTCCTTTGTCTTGACGGGTTTCAAAACTTTCCAATCCCAAAAACATTGTGCTTTTATGGTTCGGCGAGCTGCATAGGCGAAGGCAACGTCTTGGCATGTTGGAGTGGTAGCGCGATTCTAAGCCGCAACACCTTCTGCCTTCGGCAACAAGGATCGACAGACCATGACTGGTGGAAAAGTTGTTCTGCTTCGCTTTCGTTGTTTTTTTATTCTGGGCTGTGCTGCGACTACTGCATTGGTGTTGACAGAGGATGGTGCAAGCCAAACATCATCATCGCAACACTTTGTGGTGCTTGTAGAGCGGTTAGGCTAATGGGCGTACGGCGTCTGGCGTTTCTCCTTCCATACGTTGGGGTGGGATGTCGCTTCCTTTGGATAGTTTGTGCTTCCGCATGTGGTTGGCGTGGGGTATCTGCAGCTACAAGGCAAACGAGGGGGACGCCGGTCAGTGCAGGTTGTGACTGCAACTGTCTTCAAGCCTCTCATGCAGTCAAGGCTCTATTTCTTGTACTCTTGTCGTCTTTGTTCGCGGTAGCTTCCGAGTCGAATGTGGTGTGAGGTGAGGTGGAAGACTTCAGGGTGTGGTCGAGGCAAGGACGTCTGAATAAGGGATGAGCAATGGACTAGCGAAAGCGGAGATTACTGGAGCGGACCAAACTCCTCGTGATGGCACGGACGACACGTCTTCAGCGACACATCGCCACACCCCACACTGATCAGCTGTCATCGCCTGACTACCACAGACGTCTGGCGCATGATCCTTCAGCCTCACAGCATATGTCGTTGCGAGGTCTTCCACGAAGGTTGTCCATAACCATCCGGTGTGACCTGGATAACGGTATTCGATTTCGATCGTCTTGGTCCGCGAGTGTGAAACGCAGTACAGATGAGGGGTCGCTCGAGTGATATACGTATCGTTTAGGGAGTGTGTCGCAAGAGCAAGGCTTCCATCCTCAGGACACAAAATTGGAGTTTGCGGCGCCTTGGCGTTTGATGCCCATGGCGCTGATCGTTAAAGTGAAGCGGTGTACAATGGAGCACAGATAACCAGTGCTTCGCTTTGCCTTCAGAAATTTTCTTCTTTCTTTTCTGTTTGACCTTCATCAGAGCCTGTTGTTCATTGAGTCTTATTCTGGGTGTATGAGCGAGGAGGGACGCCCAATGGTCCAAGTCTTCCTTTGGGGCCATAGTGTCTAGGCAGACAGGAGACCGGCTCACGTCTGGCTCAGCATACCCGGTGCTTACATGCATGTTGAAGTTAGTGGCATTAGTCGCTTAGATTCGGTAGCTGGACTGTCGTGTAATGCAATCGCTTTGCACTTTGAACCACTTGCCTACCCAGATCATGACAACGGCGGAAAACACAGGTGATTTGACTGGCTGACAGAGGCGCATAGGTCAATTCAAATACACGGCATGTACACCAAAGACGCGTTGATGAGAATCATATGCTCCTAATGACGCATATAAAGCAGGCACCATATGCTTCGGCCTTCCCACTACCAGTTCACGACCACACTATCCAGGTGACCCTGCACGAACCACACTTTTCAGGAGTACGTAGCGTCTAAGACTCGATATGCATCTGGCATCCTGGTTCACTATTATCAACACGAGCCCTCCGCGAACCATCCAACTTTCAGCTCTTCAAGGCGCCAGACTAGCCCTAACAGGCATGTTCAACTCTTCGGTGAACGATCCAGCCTCAGCTACGCCTCCATATCATTGGCAATATGCCAAGGTCGTGATTTGCCCTGGCCAAAAAGTCCAGTGCCATTTAACTCACTCTTCGAAATAACTCTGCCAGATCGCCGTCGGTGGAGGCGAACTCTACTAGCTAAGCCACGTTGCTGCAAATCAGCTTATCAATCGACTCGGACTTACGCGGCCTGCATCATTTGCCGCAAGGGCTTCAAAGGCTTCTTGAAACTTCTATGCACTCAAAGATACTTGTCTACTCTTCGTTCGGTGTGGAGATGTCGTTGGCAACACTAGGCTGTGGTTTGGTGTGGAAGCCTGCAGCCTCATGCACGCCAAACCCGCCTTAGCCACAAGGGACCGAGAACGAAAGATCCCCAACGAATCATCGCATTGATCACATCTTCGAGCAGTTTCATCAATTCTACCGGCGACAGAGCAAACCCAACAAACACTACACCGCTGCGACACGCAGAGACCGCACAAGCTACGCTTCTAACATCTATCGACAAGACGATGACCGTTCAAATCCCCTGTAGGGCCAATGCTCTTCTCATCAAGAGGCCGGATGGGGAATGCTGACACGATCGACTTCGGCAAGACTATGTACTCATGCCTGAGGTTCCGTTGGTATCACACTTGACCGTCGAGCAGACCATCAATGTCTGGACCTGCAGCAATATGACAACAAGGTTTTACATTGATGCAAGCGCTGTATGCGTGCCGTCCAACCTAAGGCCCTTCCTACCCCTCACATGCAGCCATACCTCGATGCAAAACAGCACCCCGCGCCCTGAGGCGTAGGGACAACGACAAGCGCACGTGACTATGAACCCAAAGTCCTATCCAGGGAATTCATAAACTAACTTCCGGCGACGAGAAGACACACATGACTCAACAGCTGCAGCCACACGCCCTAGTAGACCGCGACTTCATCATGCGCTATGCGGCCTACAATGCAGGAACGATGACAATAGAACCGTGTGACTCTTACAATACACGATGACTGCGTCAGTTCAATGGGGCGCTATAGAGGGATGAGTTCAGAACGTAGTCATACATCGACTACGCCCAGACCCCCATGTTTCCTGATACTTCATATCCGCTACGCCCAATACGTAGGTCCGCCGCTTCGGCAAGTACTGGATCCACTCTATGTTCTCCCGATGGTGTCAGTCTTCATGACGAGCATCCATACCATATGTGCAGTGTGCACTCGAGTGGCAGCAATGCCAGAGTGACGGGCTGCTTTGTCCACCACGACCGTACTTTTGCCTGCAGAGCAAGCCCCATCATACCTGATGTGGCATATACAAGGGCCACAACTGTTGCGTATGATTATACATAGTGAAGACATCACCTTAGAAAGCACAGCATTATGCATTGATTTGGCGCAATCACAGAGGTTTGTTTCGTCAGTGAACGTAGGTCCTGGGTGTTTGTTCGATATTAGAATAGCACCAACCATCATCTGAGTAGAACGCCAGCCAATGGGGTCATAATCCCTCTCGTTGAAGTTACACGACATCAACCATGTTGCGATCTCGCGAATGACGGCTGGACAAGTCGGCTCCTGACAAGCGACAATTCCATTGCGCAGTTCCATGCACAGCTGCCCGCTTTGTGCCTCTCAGTGTGAAAACAGATGCCTGTTAGTGAAGATCACAAAACGTGGTCAAATGAGCAACAGTAGCAAACGTCGAGTGGCGCAACAGAGGAACAGCACCACGGACGGGGCCATGGGAAGGGGCATAGGTGCTTGGGAACGGGTGCAGAAGGAGATTCCCTCATTTCAATTCTGTCCGCCTATATCGTTACTTCGTCTATACTAATCCTGTGATGCCTTTCCATCCTCAGCAGGCACCCAAACCTCCACCCTCCCCTTATCTTGCCTCAAACCCTCAGTAGCTTGCACCCTTAGCGTCTTATTGAAGTATCGATCAATAACCTTCAGGTTCGGCACAATCCAAGCGCCCTTCGCCATTGGCAGAATGTTGTAGCGCACAGTCTGCCTGCTCATAGGCAGCAGATGCACGACGCGCAACTTCGGTCCGCTGAAGCCAAACTCCTCGCTGGCTTCCATGTTGAACTCGAAGGTGAGGAAGTGCATCGTGGGGTTTTCGAGTGTGTAGTCCAGGTGGAAGAGGTCTGGGACGGTGGTGGAAGGGAGCGAAGAAGCGAGGACGCGGGGTTCGCTGGAAGGTATTTGTATGCGAGGGATGGGCAGAGAGGAAATGACCGGTTCTGTGTCTGGAGATGAAGAGCGCTGCCACGTGATGTTGAGTGTTGTATCGAGGGCTGTCGAGCGGCGCTCTTCGAGGTTGTTCTTGCGTATGTCGAGGCTGAAGGACCATTCGTGTAGCTCTTGGAGGTTCATCGCTGTGTCGGTAGGCGAGAACTCCTTGACAACACCACATGTTGCGCCGCCATGGATACTGTGCACTTCGATGGCGAGGTCTTTGAGGATGAGCTGTTCGTCAGCAAAGGCAGCAACCTTGGCCCGCAGGCCCCACTTTTGGGCGATGCCGAAGGCGTCTGTGGAGTCGGGGTTGTTGTTGCTCTCAGCTTCTTCCAACTCGAAGTAGCTGGGCCAGGGATCGGGGTGGACTCGAGCGTTGAGGTCGTAGCTGGCTTCGAAAGGGGAGTTGAAGACAAGATCAGCGATCATAATCTTGGATATGGGAATGTCGCGATCGCTGAGCAGATGATAGAGGACTTTGACCTCTAGAGCATAATCTGCTGGATCGGCAGGCGCAGTGAAGCGTATCTTCTCTGTTGTTCTGGCGCCCTGCGGAAGTCTCCCAACAACATGGCCGGGCAGATCAACGTCTGTTGAGCCATCCAGTGCTGGCGGGACCTCCTTCATAGGTGAAGATGCAGGACGATCGACCCAGGTGTATGCGAGGGTGTCCTTGGAGCGACCCAGCAGACGGACTTCGAGTACAGCTTCTGTTTCTTCTTCTTCCTGATTGGAAATCTCTATCGCCAACGTGACAGGCTCATCGGTGAAGTACTGTTCGCGTACATCTGGTAATCTGATCTCCATCTTGGGTGGTTTCGGCAAGATGTGTGTAGTGATGCCAGACAGCCGTTTCACTTTGCGTGGTCTGACTCCGGATTCGGCTTTGATCCACCATGTCGAATCAGGCTCGGTCTGAAGGTCGGTATTCGAGCAGACCAGACCGAAGCGTTCTGTATCAATCTCGAGAACATAAGCTGTTGCCTCGACATCGCCTGCTTCGCGAAAGACGAGTGGGAAGTTGTACACCTTAGTCTGGCCAGGATGCAACGTCAGGTCTGATGCGCCAGTCCACTTTGGCTTCTCTGGCAGCGCAACGCTCTCTTGTAATATGCAGTCGAAGAAACTAGACGAGGTATTCTCGTCGGCCTCGTGAGTCAAACGTACCTCGCTCAAGCCGCCCTTGAACTGCACGTACAGAGAAGACAATGTGATAGGAGCAGAATCCGGTCGTGCTGTCGAAGTGACTACAATCTGCGATCGAAGAGGTTCCCCTACATTGCCTTCGCTGCCAAGAAGAGCGAGGTGTATAGACACTACAAGATCAGCATCAGGATATTTTCAAGTCAGGTCTTACTTACAGCATGAGAGATGATTTTTGGTATCGAGACTGACCGTGACCTTCTCTGAAGAGGCCTCCTCCAGGAATACGTCCAAGCATGACAGCAAGTCATACTTGTATCGAGTCTTTCCGGTCACAGCTTGTTCTCGTTAGTATGCACTGGCCAATCCTGCTGTCAACATGTACTGACCTTGGTTGTAGAGCTCCCACTCTGTGGCGACGTATGTTTCTTGATCCTGAACGCGTAGTGCGCACTCATGGAGAGCCCAAAGCACCTCTGAGGCGAGGCTCCACCAACCTTCTTTCCTCCAAGACATCGAGACCCACAGCGGTCGCAGAACCTTGAACGCCTCATCGAACTTCTTCACGTGCAGTAGAGTCCTAGCAGCCTCTAATCGCAGCTGTTCTACCTTGCGATGTTGTCCTCGAGCTTTGAACTCTTTTACGGCAGCGTTAAGTTTGGTGGAGATGTCATTCCAGTGTTGGAAACCTTCACCATCACTGCCTGGTAGAGGGAGCTCTTCGTGAGGTTGTGGAACCAGGTAGTGATCATATACCTGGTTTCGATTCGACACTTTTGTCGCAGGCGACACACCAGGAGGTGTTCGGTCTTCGTCAGGCATTTCGCGAGCTAAGATGTATCGCCTCTTTGCGTGATCCGCAGAAAGTTTGTGCCAATATCCTGCATGATGAAGCAACTCCCAGGGTGGTAACCTTTCGCCCATGAGGAATTGTTTCTCAGGTGGCGCATAGATCAAGCCAGTCTCTTCATCTGAAGCATCGCCATGTGCACCGAAGACTGGCAGCTCTGTTCGCTGAATGAGCTCGGCCATCAGCTGGGCCCACCTCGACTCCCAAGCCTGCCACGCGTAGTTCGAGGTTCCTTTACTTCTGCGATCGAGGACGTCCTGGAGCCTAGCTTTGTATCTCAGCCACGTCTGGGCTGCAGAAGTCAGTTGGTAATTCCACAGCTGACAACGGATGTGTCGAAAGGCAATCGTATCGGCCAACAGGCGAATCTCGTCCCACCTAGATGACCAGCTTGCTGTCGTCTCGAAGATACCCTCTGAACCGAAGAGAGCAGCAAGTGCAGCACTGTAATGTCTCTGTGCAGCATCCATCTCCTGCCTGAACTCTGCAAAGACGCCCAGCTTAAAATCATAGCGCACGCCCCAGCCAGGGTAAGACAGCGTCTGAGACGTGCCGCGGGTCGGTGGCGCTGTTGGAGGAGGTACGGTGCCTCTGCCCTTCTTCCTCCTTGCATGTTTGGTGAGGTCCCGATAGTACTCTATGCAGACGGGCTGCAAGGTGTTGAGAACAGATGTGACGAACGCTCGTAATTCGACTTGGGACGTGTTCGGTGGAAGGAAGAACAGCGAGTTTTTGGGATCAAGACCAGTGGCGCGTCGAATGACGGCCAACCGCTCCTCAATGTCTGGAGCCTCCAATATCGTCTTGTTGCTCAAGAGCACGACCACGTATCGTGTGCGATACTCGGACTTCTGTATCTGGCCCTTGATCTTGTTGATTTCCGTCTTCAGCTGGTTGTCATGCAGGCTATTCGTGACAGGGTCGGCGGTGAAGTCGAAAAAGGACACAAATACAGAAGGTATGTAGTCTTGGTGTTTGGCAACCCAGGAAGGCGCAATGACACCGTCCGGAAAGATCGAGGCTCCTGGTGACAGAGGAGAGATGGGCGAGTGGAGGATCCATGATGTTGCCGCAGCGATGGTCGGGCTCCCAGGCGGGGTAGTTTCTGAGGTTGTCGGTGCGTCTGCTTTTTTAGGAGGCAGCACATAGTCCTATATATCATCAGCCCATGCCCACTGCCAGTTTGCACTACACAAGGCGCCTAACCTACCCTCCCTACAGCCCGTATCCTGAACCCATGTGCTAGGTCTCTGCGACTGGGCCCTCTTGCGTTCCATGGCGCATTGGTAGCGTCAGCGCTCAAGAAGTCTTGCAGCAGCTGGTCTGCGCGCTCGCCCGTCACTGGAGGAATCTCTGAGCTGGTCTTGACGGCAGCCCTTCCTGGGAGCACATTATGGACAGGTGGGGGCGCATCGAGCTCGGTCTGAGACCCCAGACCAGACAATACAATGAATGGGAGGTTGTGCTGCACGTATGCGGGCGGATATGCCTCCATTGGAACAGTTGAATGCTACCTGTCCATGAAGTATGGTGGTTGTGGGCTAGAATGCGGGCAGCAACGAGACCCCCGGTATCGGTTCGGTGGCTATGTGGAACAGTTCGCGCAGGCGCTCGAAGCGTACGATGCAGAGCTTACGTGCTTAAGCTTTGGTTGTGAACTCTGTGTTTGCTGCTGCAGCTGGCCAAGCACATGCGCGTGGATTGGGTGTGATGACATCGCGGGCACCTTTCGTCCACCGGCAACGCGCTAAGGCCGTTGCCGGTCATTGCCAGGGTTCTCCGCCCTCAACGCTCTCTACGCACACTCGCCAGCTGCGCGCATAGCTTCCCTGGTACCGAAGACCCTCGTTGCTCATATTATTCTTCCCTTCTTCCTGGTCAACTGCGCGCAAGCTTGCTTTTTGGGCGACAGACACGCCATCCTTCACACCTCCCACGAAACCACCGATTCCTCGTTCGAGCTGGCTAGGAGGTCGTTGGCGCCATGGCAGGCCAGCAGCAGCAGATCATAGACACTATCTTCTCTATGAAGAGGAAGATTCTGCGCGGAAGCGACTGTATGTACCAGCCCGCGCCATGTTCAGCGTCGCGCATAGACTAACAGTTGCAAGCGGACCTTGAAGAAGAAGATTCGCCCTTCGTCGACTACAGACAAGACCTGAAGCGCAAATCCCAGTATGCGCGCGCCAGCGATCCAGATTTCCTTTCAGACCCTCGACCCTACAAGAAGGTGCGTCTTCCATCTCCGCGCTGCCTCGGCACAGACTGACGATAATACCCACAGCGCATTGAACACGCTGGTTATCGCAGGTACATCCTGCAGCGCAATCCCCCACGATACGATCCGGACGGCGACGTCGTTGAGCCCTCAGACGAGTACGAAGATGAAGACGACCTCGAGGCGGTGGAGGAGAATCCGTACGCAGACATACGGTTGGAACGTACGTGGGCTCTCATACTCACGCGCAAGAATGGTGGAACTGATCAGATCTGCAGGACTGCTGAGACCGTTGACGTCTGCCGCCGACTTACCAAATCATCGATCCATGAGTGTTCCGTACACGTCCAAACACCTGACCAATCTGGCGAACGAAGCTGGCGCACTCTGGCGGAGAGAGCAGATCACAATCGCACGAGCAAAGCAATTGTTCGTTAAGCTACAAGGCGATTCGGACTTTGCGCCTGCAGCCCTGGCGGCTATGGTGGATGCGCCCCTCGGCAGCTCACGGTCGAATGGTACAGCTCAACGAGCCTTGAATGGTGACGCGCACCCGGCTTCGCGCAATGAGGCGCATGACACGTTAGACGGCGCCCAAGACCTTGAGATGGAGGATGCGGGACAATCCAACGGTATGGTGGAGGATGAGGGCAAGGTTGCGGCAGGCGCAGAGACTGTGAATGGCACAGGTCCTACGACCAACAGCACAGTGCACGAAGCAGACATGGACCAGACACAAGACAAGGACGAGGGGCTACATTCTCCAGCCGGCGACGACGCCTCTGACGACACCTCACAAGCTGCGCACCGCATGACCACGCGCGCCCGAGCTCAAGCAGCATCGACCCCTTCCCCGCCACACTCACCCTCAAGTCTTGCTGGCCAGATCCACCCGCTCTTCCTCTTCTCCGCCGACTCGCTTCCCGACCGCGACTTTGGCCTGCCACTGAACGAGGCCGAGGAAACGCGCATGCTGCTCATGGCGTACGTACAAAAGCAGGAAGAGGTCGCTCGAGCCACTTCAGACTTGTACCAAGGCTTGATGCAGGCAGACCGTATGCGGCAGGATGTTTTCAAATGGTGCAAAGCTGAGGCACACATCGGCGAGATGAGCGATGGCGAAGATTGGTGCGACAATGACGAGTGGGGGCTGGAGCATGACTTGATCAAAGGCCGAGACGAAGAGGAGGATGAGACCGCAAACACAGGAAAGAAGAGTACAAGACAGAGAAGGAAGCCTGATAAGGAAGACCGATAGGCTCGGTCGAAGCTCGCAGGAAGCCGCGCAAGTGTGCGGCTTCTCAGCAAGCGGCTGCTGCAGTCCGATTCACAACAGTCATAGAGACATCTTCACAGTTTTGCATAACGCAGCGATATACCACGATACCAAGAATTCGAATGCATTTTTACCCTCTATCAGGCCGACCACCTGCACCGCAAGCGCTCCTGCCTCACCAACGCAGCCCACGTGTTGACGCGCCTTAGCGCAAATTGCACTTTCCTTCAGTTTGTCGAGTTGTCCTCCTCTCACCTCAACTCCTGTCAGATGGAGTTCGTGCTGAGGTGCAACGACCTCAAGTGTCGGACGCAGCTGCACGAACGCGCTGTCGTCACCACTTGCAGGTATGGCCCTCGCCTTCAGCTTACATTGATCAGTAGCTAACAGCTCGAAGCCATGTCTTCTGTACGCAATGCGCAGACACAACTGGCCTCTCGAGGTCGCCAAACTCTCATAGGATTTGTCCGGCATGCAATGCACCACTGCAGAACCCGGACGACGTGGTTGTGGCTGGCCTCAACCCGTCAGAAGACTACAAGACAAGCGTGCTGAGCGGCCTCAGTCCGACCATCATCATGGAGTGTGCGAGTCGTAGTTTGGCTTTCCACAGCTACCAGACGTCCCAGGAGATCATCTATCAAGAGCACCTCGCGAAGGGCCTTACTGAGAAGTACAACGTGCTGAGCCAGCAGATGGACCAGCTCATCCGCGATGCCAACTCTCAGATCAAAGTCCTGCAGGACAAGGTGCAAGGTGAGTGTTTCTCCTCCGAGGGCAAGCGGGCTGACTCCTGATGCGTGGACAGCTCAGCAGGCTGACCAGATCGACCTCGAGAACAAGAACAACGAACTCAGTGAAGCGTACAAAGAGAAGGCCAGAGCGCTAGGACGTACTCAAAAAATGTACAATTCGCTAAAGCAGCAAGTGATGGTGTCTCAGGTTGCTGTAGCAGCAGGAGACGAGGCAGAACTGACCCTTCAAACCGCTCGAGGCAACCGCTTCATCGATCGAATGCCGGGCGCGAGAACCGGCACGGGCGTGTACAGTCATCCAGGTGCTGTTCAACAGCCAGGAGGAAGCAGGCTACACAACAGGCAAGGCAGTGGAAGCTCCGGCAGCAGTGGGCAGCAGCGAGGCGGTGTTGGTATTGGTCCTGCACCTACCTACGCTTCGCGTTTGCAGGGACGTGGCGCGAACGCTCGAGTTCACACCGGTCGTAAGTCTATGCTCTTCCACAATCCTGAGCTTGAGTAGTAACATTTCTGACTGTCTCACAGAATCCGCGCCTGTCGGCACGCCACGGCAAAGCCGCCTTCCAGTCCTTGGTGGAACACGTCAAGCTCCTGTACTCAATGTAAACGTAGGGCCGCCATACCAGGCCTCACCTATGCTGCAGCGACAGTCAATGGGAGAGAATGGGCTGAACAGAGGCTTCGGAAACTCCATGCTAGGTGGACCGAAGGCATCGAGAAGGAGTGGTGGTCCGTTGCAGAGATGAAGAGTGATGCCCAAGGAGAGATGTTGAGGCAGAACTGTGCGAGAAACATACGTAGTAAGCAGTAGTCGTAAGGTGCCAGCACATGACAGGGCGCTAAATGGGCATGGAGGGAGAAGGCTGTATAACCATTTACGCGTGAGAGCCCGAGGCCAACATGAACCCAACTTTCCGAGAAGGGGCTGGCTTGTGATGGCGAGTAAGACACTATAAGCTTAATTCAACATACCTCCTTCATATAACAAGCTCTGTTCTGTGTGATTATTGGTGGCACACAATGATGAGTATGCCTGGAATAGTGTTTGGCCTTTACCACAACTGAAGGGCTTCAAGATTGCTTATAATCACGTTTGGTGTACCTGCTTTCTCTTTCCGTTTACGATGAAGTATTTTTGTTTTCGCAGTGCATGCTGGGTCTCAATCCTTAACGCACACTAGCCTTCCGAGCTAACCTCCACCGCCCATGAGCGAGAAATGCCCCTCAGACGACTCAACCCTCCCACACGCGTCTGCAGATCCTTATTTGATATGCTCTTGTTCTTTGGACACTTCTGCCTCACCTAGCATATTGCAGCAGGAAAAATACAACAGTCGTGGTCATGCCGGCGATCATCTAGCGCGCGGCCTCATAAACCACATTGTCTTCCGCTCCTGCGCTATCACCACCATCTGCACTTTCTCTAGATCTAGAATGCTCGAACAATAGGCATAATCTAGACGTACATTACCCTAGGCTGTAAAGACAGTCGGATGTAGGAAAGGTATATTCCGAGACTATCTCCGTATCAGACGTTCATGCGCTCGGCGCTATGCGTTTTGGCAACGGGCTTTTGGTGCGGTTACGTAGCACACAAATACGACAGCAAGGCTGAATGTATTGTATTCAACGCTCTGCCCGATGGGCTTGAGGTGTGGCGCTCTTCTCAAAGCTTCGATGAGCATGCCACGTGAGAGCTTTTTTTTTTTTTTTTTTTTTGGAACGGATCCCGTATCCTCCCAGATCTCAAGCGGCTGCCTTCAGCTTGCTTCTTTCCCACATCAGTGCTGAAATGGATCCAGCCAGTCTGGAGACGGTGCAGACACCTGCAATGCCTGTAACGCCGGTGACCCACAGAGGATGTGCAATCGCTACTCAACAGGATCAAGCGGGATGCTGAGACGCTTGACGAGCCAAGCAAACGGGACCTACTCAGATATGCGCAGATGATGGCGAGTGCTACGAGAGTAGCCTTCGCTGAGCGATCTCTTTTGCAAGACCACAACCGATTCTTGTCGAAGATCAATGGCGAAGTCAAAGCACGGCGGTCAACCAAGTCGTTGGTACTAGGCGTGGCGAAGGTGATGAGCTACAACGAGCTCGAGGAGGAAGAAGCTGCTGCAAGCAAAGAAAAGCACGGGCGTAAGCGCAAGAGTTCTGCGCTAGAGGCAGGTGTGCCAGAAGCAACGACTGAATCGGCGCAGAACAGCCCTGTGTCAAAGCCTTGGAAGGCCCCAGTAGCGCGGATGATTGCAGGCGACTGGTCTTGATGCACTTGAGATGCATTCGCAGGGGTCGTTTTACACAACGAGTCGCGCAGATATTGACAACATTGCTAGCCTGGTATTGCTGCAATGCGCATTGCATTTACAATAGATCGATCTTTAAGCCTCTCTTCACTGGTCCACTAATTGCGTTGGGTCAGCCCTCTTCCGCTCTACTAAATCAAGCCCGGACTTTGAGGTGTGGGCAGCCGCTGGTTTGGCCGCTGTCAGCCTGGACGCCTGGCACTCTGGCGCGTGTTCTCAACCGTGTCTGCCCCGCCTGAGGCCTGTTCTCTCATCTCCACTGAACCAATGACATGGCCAAGAGCACCAGCCTCGGCTTGCAACGCTGTCGCGGTCTGCTACTCTCTAGCAGGCTTCTTTCGTATCGCTGTGCCACTTGCTGATTACGAATGCAATAGAGCAACGGGCCGCTGCACTCTCTCGCTAACAGACCGCCGCATCAAGTCTCTCGAGTGTTGCTGCTGTTGCATGCGCCTGCCACATGTCCACGCGTAACGATGCGGCTTCTGTACTACGGAGAAGATGAGCAGCTTAGTGTCACTGCCGACTTGGTCGACGAAGGCGCGATACCCCCTTACGCGATCCTGTCTCATACTTGGGGAGCGGACGAGGAAGAAGTGACCTTCGAAGATCTCACGAGGAACGCAGGCAAGGAAAAGCCTGGCTACAGGAAGATTCAGCTGTGTGGAGAGCAGGCAAAGCGCGACGACTTGCAGTACTTCTGGGTAGACACCTGCTGCATCAACAAGGCGCACAAGGCTGAGCACTCGCTGGCCATCCGGTCCATGTTCCGCTGGTACCGCAACGCAGCACGCTGCTACGTCTACCTGTCGGACGTACGGCTGTGGGACTCGGATGTCCGAGAAAGCAGGTGGTTTACGCGCGGCTGGACATTGCAAGAACTCCTCGCACCAGGCTTGGTCGAGTTCTTCTCGCGCGAATGGCAGAAGCTTGGTGACAGGTTATCGTTGAAGTGCCAGATTCACGACATCACGACCATTCCACATGAAGTACTCGAAGGGGCTCCCCTCTCTCAGTCTAGCGTCGACGAGCGGTTTCGCTGGAGACAGAATCGGCATACGAAGCTTAGGGAGGACGCAGCGTACTCTTTGTCCGGCATCTTTGATGTCGACATGGCGCCCGTCTACGGTGAAGGCACAGAGGAAGCATTTAGACGGCTTCGTGACGAGATTCGGAAGCAAGAGGAATGCCTTCGTGACTTACGCCCTACAGATCCCCGCGACGATAAGAAGCGCATCGAGGACACAAAAGGCGGCTTGTTGGAGGGCTCGTACCGCTGGGTGCTCGACAACAGCAGTTTCCATCAATGGCACAACGACCCACAGAGCCAGCTGCTTTGGATCAAGGGCGACCCAGGCAAGGGCAAGACGATGCTGCTCTGCGGCATCATCAACAAGCTGCAAAGGACGCTCACTAGTACTGCATCTGTGTCCTACTTCTTCTGCCAGGCCACTGACTCGCGCATCAACAGCGCCACGGCTGTGCTGCGCGGGCTGTTGTACTTGCTTGTTAGTCAGCAGCCGGCGCTCACCACGCACGTTCGTAAGAGGTACGACCAGGCAGGCAAAAGTATGTTCGAGGATGCAAACGCATGGGTTGTCGCGACAGAGATCTTTGCAGGCGTGCTGCAGGATCCAAATCTGGGCGCTACGTACATAATCATTGACGCTCTGGACGAGTGCGTCACTGACCTGCCGAAGCTGCTTCACTTTGTCGCAAAGCAGTCGTCTGCGTCTTCCCGCGTCAAATGGATAGTATCTAGTCGCAACTGGCCAAACATCGAAGAACAACTCGAGCAGGCAGGACACAAAGTCAGGTTGAGTCTTGAGCTAAACGCAGAGTCTGTATCAGCGGCTGTCAGCGTCTTCATCCAATACAAAGTATCTCATCTAGCACAACAGAAGAAGTACGACACGCAGACCCAAAAAGCGGTGTTCGAACACTTGACATCGAATGCAGACGACACCTTCTTGTGGGTAGCATTGGTGTGTCAGGACCTTGAGAAGACAGCGAAACGGAACGTTCTGAAGAAGCTGACATCCTTCCCGCCAGGTCTGGACTCGCTGTATGAGCAGACGATGCAGCAGATTGGTGCGTCAGATGATGCCGAGCTTTGCAAGCAGGTGCTGGCTTCCATCTCGCTTGTGTATCGGCCAATAACGCTGGCGGAGCTGGTGACCCTGACTGAGCTGCTCGAAGATGTTGCTGACGAAGCGGAGGTACGGGAGATTATCGGCCTCTGTGGATCGTTTCTCTCTCTGCGACAGCACACGGTCTACTTTGTGCACCAGTCCGCACGAGAATTTCTCTTTGCGAAAGCGTCTGACGAGATCTTTCCACATGGGACTGGGGCTGCTCATGGTGTCATCTTCTCGAGGTCGCTTGCGACTCTGTCGAGGACGTTGTACAGGGACATGTACAGTCTGGAAGCGCCAGGATTTTCTATTGATGATGTGGAACCACCTACCCCGGACCCACTAGCAGCGTCGCGCTACCCATGTATCTACTGGATCGACCATCTATGCGACTCGAAACCTAGGTCTTGGGAAAACGATGTTAAAGATCTGCAAGTTACCGGCATCGTCGGTGAGTTTATAAGGAAGAAGTACCTCTACTGGCTAGAAGGCCTCAGTCTGTGTGGGAGCACGGCAAAAGGTATAGTTTCAATGGCAAGACTATGCGCTCTAGCTCAGGTACATCCCGTATAGACGACCTGTCACTCAGTGTAGATGCTGACACAACCAGGAGATGCAGGGTCCGGATGAGCTCACTAAGCTTTTCCAAGATGCCCGCCGATTCATCATGTACCACAAAAGGTCAATCGAAAGCTATCCTCTCCAGTCATATGCATCTGCGCTACTGTTCAGTCCGACCGGAAGCGTGATCAGAAGTTTGTTCCGACACGAAGAGCCAAAAGGAATCACTGTCAAGCCAGCGATGAGCAGCAGCTGGAGTGCATGCCTGCAGACGCTCGAAGGCCATAGCAGTTCTGTCAGGTTTGTAGCTTTCTCGCACGACTCGACTAAGCTGGCGTCAGCGTCATATGACAAGACCGTCAGGCTGTGGGATGTAACTAGTAACGAGTGTCTGCAGACGTTCACAGGCCATAGCGATTATGTCTGCTCTGTGGCCTTCTCGCACGACTCGACTAAGCTGGCGTCAGCGTCAATGGACAACACTGTCCGGCTGTGGGATGTAACTGGTAATGAGTGCCTGCAGATATTCACAGGCCATAGCAGTTGTGTCTACTCTGTAGCCTTCTCGCACGACTCGACTAAGCTGGCGTCAGCGTCGCAGGACAACACCGTCAAGCTGTGGGATGCAAGCAGTGACAAGTGTCTACAGACGTTCACAGGCCATAGCAGTCACGTCTACTCTGTGGCCTTCTCGCACGACTCGACTAAGCTGGCGTCAGCGTC